TAATAAGTAATTCCTTAATATATTATATAAGGGTTTATAAGAAAGCTTAATTCCTTTTTTATTATTTTCTTTTAAGAAATTAATATAATAATTTAAGTTTTTTTTATATAATAATAAGTTTATTACTTTATTTTTATTAAAAAATATAGTAAAATTATATAATTTTTTAAAAAGCTTATTAAATATTTTTTATTTTTAATTTAATAATAATTATACTTATAGTAAATATTATTATAATTTTATATAAACTTATAGTAAGTAAAAAGATTTTTATATTATTTTTTTTCTTTTTTTATTATATTATTATAATAAAGGTTACTATAAGAATATATATATTATTAAGTAACTTAAGGTAAGTAAATATTTCTTTTACTTATATTTCTTTTCTTTTATTTCTTTTAATATATTATTATTAAAGGTTTATAATAACTCTTTTATATTATATTTATAAGAGTTTTAATAAAATATTTTAACTTAACTATAATATAATATAAAAAAATTTAAAATACCTTTAATTATTTATATTTATTATACCTTTAAAAATATAACTTATAGTTTTTATTTTATTTTATTAATAATAATAATTAAAATTTTATTAATAAGTATTTTAATAATATTTAAATTTATTTTTTAAGTTACTTATTTATTAATTATATTATAATAATTATATTTATTATTAATTTAAATATTAATAAGTATTTAATTATTAAAAAAAGCTAAAATAAAAAATAAAAGCTTATTTATTTTTTAAGCTATTTTTTTTATTTTTAATATAATAAAATTTTAATATAAGGAATATTTAATAAATAATACCTTAATTTACTTTTATATTAAACTTAGCTTAAAAGTATATTATTTTTTAAATTTAAGTTATTTTTAATTCCTAAGTTATTAATTTATTTTAGGTTTATTATTTTTATATTAATTAATTTCTTTATAGCCTTTAATAAGTAATTTATAATTATATAGCTTATATAATTATAATAAAAATAGTATTTATTTTTTTACCTTATATTTAAAATACTTTTATTAACTTATAATACTTATAAAGTATTTCTTTTATTATAAGTAAAGGGTTATTTAAATATTTTTTATTTAAGGATTTTATTTACTTTAAATATTAATATATTTCTTTTTTTATTTTTATTAAACTTAAGCTAAAATTAAATTAAAGTAATTTTATTTTAAAACTTTTCTTTTAAATTTTATACTTTTATTTTTATATTAATTACTTTATATATAATAATAATAATATTATAATTATTTTTTAACATATTATATTTTAAATTATATTAATATATTTTAATATTAAATACCCATTATAGCTAATTAAGCTTTATAAAGTTATTTTATTAAAGATTTTTTATTAAAGTTAGTTTTTATTTAAAATAAATATATAATAAAGTAAAGGTTTTATATTTTACTTATTAAAGTTAATTAAGTTTTATAAGGGTAATATTTTAATAATATAAGTTAATATATATAGTTATAAAGTAATTTAAAAAGTTATTTATATTATATATTCCTTAATTAAGTTTATTTTTATAATAAATTATATAATAACTTTAAATAGCTATTAATAAATTTTATTAAATAAAAATAAATTAATTTTTTATAAATTTTATAAACTTTTAATTTATAATTAACTAATATATAATTATTAGCCTTTAAGCTATAAATATATTTTAACTTTTATTAAGGATTTTTATTAAAAGTAACTTTTACTTATTTTATAATTATATAATAATAATAAAAAAGTTATTAAGCACTAAAGTAATACTTTTATTTTATTATTAGCCTTTTATAAAATATATTTATTAATTTAATATTATATTCTTTATAAAGGAAGTTAGTACTTAAGTTAGCTATTAGCTAGTTAATTATCTTTAAATTATTATTTATATTTATAAGCCTTTTCATTTATATAAAACTTAAGCTAATGCTTTTTATATATTACTTAAGTTTATAATAAATTTACTTATAAAAGTATTATTTTTTTATAAAGTATTTTTTATAATAAGAAAATATATTAATTATAAAAAATTAACTTTATAATAGCTATAAATAAGTATTTATTATAATATTAATATATTTAAAAAAAGTATAATTATTTTATATTTATTATATATTTATTATATATATACTTAATTAAAGTTATTACTAAGCCTTAATTAAGCTTTATTTAAGCTTAAATTAAGCCTAGGTTAAATTATAAATAAGGCTTTATTATTATTTATTTAAGTACAGTCTTAAACTATAATATAAGGTAATAATTAATATATAATAAAAAATTAAATTAAAATAATATTATATTTTAATAAAAAAATATTAAAAAAGTTTTTAATAAAAAATTACTTAAAATATTATAAAATAATTATAAAAACCTTTTTAAAAATTTCTTTATAAAAAATAATAATAAATAAATAATTATAAAAATTTAACTTTTTTTTACTTTTTTAAACTTTTACTTAATATAAGGAATTTATTTAATAATTAGCCTAAATCCCCTAGGGTTTCTTTTAAAAATTTATTTCTAAGGCTTTTATTTATACTTATAAATATAAAAGCTTTTAATAATCCTTTAAAAAATAAAAGAAATTAAATTATTAAGTATAATTTAATTAATAAAGTTTCATTATAATATATAAAACCTTAACTTTAAATTATTTTAATATAATAAAGTAACTTTATAATAAAAAATAACTTTATAATTAATTATAATTTTTAAATAATAATAATAAAGAAAATAATAAAGTAATAATAATAATTATTAAAATTAAAAAATAATAGTAATAAATTAATAATTAAATTAAAATTAATAAATTTATAAAAAAAAATAATAATATAAAAAATAAAAAAATAAAAAAAGTAATATTAAAGTACTTTAATTACTTAAAAAAATTAAAAAGCTATTAAATAAAACTATAAAAATATAATAAAAAATTATAATTATAATAATAATAATAATAATATATTTAAAAAAAAAGTTTAATAATAAATTATAATAATAAGTAATTTATTTTTTTATATTTAAAGAAATTAATAAAATTATTTATTATAATTAATTATTTTTTTAATAATTTAATTAATATTTTTAATTAATTAATTTTATAATATTAATTTTTAATTTATTTTTAAATTTTTAATAAAAATATTTTATAAAAAAATTATAAACTTTAATTAAATATTAATAATATTTATATAAATATTAAATTATATATTAAAATTAATTTAATTTATTTAAATTTAATTTATTTTTTATTAATATATTTATAAATAAATTTAATAATATTTTTAAAAACTTTTATAATTTTTTAAAATTTATTATTTAATATTATTATTATATTAATATTTTTAAATAATTTTAAAATTTTAATTTAATTTATTATTTTTAAATATTTTTAAAAATTTAAATTACTTAAGTTTTATTTTAATTTTTAATATATAATAATAATTTTAAAATATTTTATTTTTAATTTAACTATTTTAAATTATATATTTTTATTAAATTAATTTTAAATAATATTTAAAATTTCTTATTTATTAATTATATTTTTATTATTATTTAATTTTTAAATATAATATATATTTAAATAAAAATTATTAATATATAATAATTTAATTTTAATTTTAAATTATTATTATAGAGTAAAAGAATTTTTAAAAAATAAATATATATAATTATATTAATAAATAATAAAATATTTATTATTATATAATTAATAATTAATTATTTAAGTTATTAAATAAATATATTTTAAATATTTTATATAATAATTTATTTTATAAAAAATATTAATATTTTTTATAAATTATAAATAATAAAATATTAATATAAATTAATTTTTTTATAAAAAATACTTTTAAAATTTTTTTTTATAATTAATTAATTATTTATAATTTTTTTAAAGTAAATATTATTTATTAAAGCCTTAAAAAGTTAAGTTATAATAATAATTATATTAAAGTTATAAAAAAAAATATATTAAAAATAATAATAAATAAATTTATAAAAAATATAAAAATATAAAAAAAAATATTATTATATTATATTTATATTTAAGTTTATTATTATATTATATTTATATTTATATTTATAATATAATTAATAAAAAAAATATATATATATATAAAAAAATAGCTTAAGTTTAATAATAATAAATAAAAAATTAATATTTATTTTAATTTTAAAAAGTTTAATAATAAAATTATAATATAAAAATTAAATAATAAAAAAACTTTAATAAAATAGTCTATAATAAATAATTTAAATAAAATTTTTAATATAAACTTAAAGTAATATTTATATTAAAAGAAATTAAAAGAAATTAATAAAAATTATAAAAGTATTACTTTAATAAATTAAAATAAATAAAACTAAAAATTTATATATATTAAATATAATTATTATTTTATATATAAGTTATTATAAAACTTTTTAATAAATTATATTAAATAAATTATAAAGCTTTAGCGCTAAAAATAAAAAAAAATTATATAAAGTATAAAGAAACTTAAATATTAAAGATAAATATAAACTTTAAAATATATTTACCTTTCCAGTAACCGCTAAGTAACTGCAAGCTTACTGGCCTTATACCTCTTTACTCTCTTTTACATTCCCACTTCTGACATAAGTATTAGATAGAACTTATGGCTGGGAACTTAGAATAGGTACCTAGCTAATGTGAAGTCTAACACTTACCTATCTTACTGTTGATTGAAAAGGTCCCCGCATCATGAGCATTTACTAAATTAAGTTAAAGACTTCCTAAATCGTAAAAATCTCGCCGAGACAGTAGTAGTCTCTATAACATGGATTATAAACTATACTTTTGCACTGTTGCGTATGACTTATAAAAGTTAATACAGCTCGCACTTTGCTTTTAGTGAAGGTTTAATCTATTGCTTTATAGCACGCAAACGCCAGATTTACACCCCGTTACATGAAATAGAAATAAAAGTCTTTTCACGCCGAGGATACCATATCTCGAAGCATCATGGGTGTTCCCGATACATTTAAGGCAGCTGTGGTGCCCAGTCCACGTAAACAGCATGTCATCGTCGATAGATCACTGCCGCCTCTCCAGTCCGGTGAAGTGGCTATCAAGATCACTGCTACATCTATCAACCCCATAGACTGGAAGATGCGTGATCACGAGGTTTTCATTACAAACTACCCCGCGGTCCTGGGATCTGATGCCGCGGGCGAGATCGCGGCCATTGGGCCAGGCGTCTCAAACTTCAGCATTGGAGAAAGGGTTTTTTTTCAAGGAATAATTGGAAATTACGATGCATCTACATTCCAACAGTATGCGAAGATCGATGCAGCACTGGTGGCCAAGACCCCTAGCAACATTAGCGATGACCAGGCCAGCGGAATTATGCTTGCGAGTCTAGCAGTACTCACGGCGTACTACGACAAGACGGGCCACGGATTGCCTGCACCGTGGGACAACGGCGGGGACAAAATCGGTGATGGTGCCGCAATTGTCATCATTGGCGGGAGCTCTTCCATGGGCCAGTATGCGATCCAAATGGCACGACTGTCTGGTTTCTCCCAGATCATTACCAACTCGAGTCCTGCGCACCAAGACTATCTTCAGAAGCTAGGTGCAACAGTCGTGCTCGGTCGTGAGGCCACGGTGGATGATTTCGCTGCCACCATTGGCGATAATGTACCGCTTGACTTCATCCTTGATACCATCTCCGCCAAGTCCACCAGGGAGCTATCTGTTGGCATTGTGAAGGCAGTCAAGTCGACGAAAGAGGCAATAACCAAGATTATTGTAGTTCTACCGGAAATCTTGGATTTCGAGAACTTCGACGCCCAAGGCGAGTCAAAAGTAACTCTCCCTAGGATCATCGGCCTTGGAAGTGTCCCTTCGCTTCGATACTTGAGTGAGCCGTTCGCAAAGCATCTTGGCGGCGATAACGGCTACATTGCCCGAGGCCTGTTTGTACCAAACCGACCAGTAATTGTGCCAGGTGGTCTAGCCGGTGTAGAGGCTGCTTTGGCAAAGAACAAAAAGGGCGTATCTGGAAAGAAGGTTGTTATTAGACCATTTGAATAAAACGTTCATGTTATTAAAAATAGATATTTAACTATATATCAAATATGTTATTTTTAACACTGTTATTACTTGTATTTGATATTTCGGCAGCTAAAATATTCATGCTGTCGAATATTGGCGGGTTTTGTTGTAGATTCTGGATTGCTTTAGCTGCATTTTGGCTGACCAATTGTGCTTGACGCAAATCTTCTGTAAAAAGATAGAAGCCTTCTGTGGACTCGACTAGGTAAGACTGCAGGCCTTTGCTTTCCAGCAAGACGTTAACGTTAGTGAGAGGATAGTTATTCTCGATGAATCGTGCCCATCCCCTAGCAGCCGCTTGGACATGGTCACCATCCTTGATCCTCTTCCAGCTTATTCCAAGGTGTAGTGTGAAGTGGTCGATGACTATCTCGTCATTAATACCGTTTTCTGAGCCGTCTGCGTTTGGCAATGAGGTCGCCGATGTTGGTTTACTAGAAGACGCGTAGTCGCTCCCAATGAGGAGCCTTTGGGACTTGTGGCTTCTCAGAGGTCGGCCATTCGCTAGTCCACTCCCGTCCTGTTCAGTGGTCACATCGTCAAGCTGAGCGCCAGATTGGTTATCTGATTCACCAATAGAAACCGCACGCGGTTTAACGAACACCATTCCCTCACCATTCATCCCGCCATGTTGCGAATTGCAGTGTGATGTATCTGGCTCGAGATTATGTGAAGCCTCCTCGTGAGACCGCTTCTTGCCAATGGCATGAGAAGGTTGTTGGAGGAATGATGAACTCTGCGAAAACATTGTCGACTGCTGGTGTGGGAGAGCTGTCATTGGTAAATAAAGACAGAGAGAGAGGAACAGCAAATCTTGAGAGTGAGTGAGAATCGTGTGGGAGTATTTGGTCAGCCACCGGTAGGAATGTGGCAATGGCGATAGGGAATCGTTTCAAAGGGTAGTAGAGTAACGTGTAGGTAGAGGTAGTAGGTAGTCAGGCTGCTGAAAACAGTCTGAGGCTGCGGCGCGCCGAGTGTTAGTACCAGATCTTTGACTACAGATTGGGTTTAGTGGAGACGGCAGTTAGTTCGTGGGGTATTATTAGATCAACCGCTACTTCGTACGCCCTAGTAAAGCCTCTAAATAATTACCTAGGTATTGAATATTTAGAGTGTCTGTCAGTCTGGATGGGCAGTTGTCCTAATTTATCCATTGTAATTTATTTACGCCCATCCAGAATGTGATCCTAGTGCATGACCCTTAGTTGCAGCAAGCATTCTAATGGGGTTGATACTACCTAGGTACTCTACTAGTAGGAGTAGAGGTGGTAGTAGTACTAGTAGCAGTAGTACGGCAATACGGGTCCCTAGTGGTGCCTTCATTATGCACTATATCCCCTATGGGGGCATGAAGCATCCAGCCTACTAGTAGGTATCATGTTGCCTTCCTCCTCAATACCCAGGGATCTCTGCTACGTTCGCCGCGAAAGTTGTATTCGCTGTCGCTATGCTATAGCTTTAGACTGTTATGAAGACTGGATATCTCAGACGTCGACAAGCATCTTCTGAACTACATGTCGAGCGAAATGCCGGCTTACAACCAGCGTGCCCAGGCGGCACTCCTGAAAGCTGTCAGTACTTACGAATCGACAATCTATGTATCTGGACACAACGTGCTAATTTCAATTTTTTCAGATTAATCGAGTCTTCGACCTAGACCGCGATGCCGAGTCCCTCGAGGGGTTGGCGAATGGAATAACTCTTGGCCACATCCTGCATGAGCTGGATCCCGAATTCGACCCTTCGCACCTCGAGACAAATTCGGGTATACCGAAACCTTTGAGTAATAAACGAAATATACAAGCCATCTACAAAGGTCTCTTTCGATTCATCCGCCGCCAAATACCCGAGCTCAGTTATCAAGCCAAGAAATTCGACTATCATGCCATTGCCGAGAACCCCGAACCACAGGGCATTAGCCAGGTACAGCTTCCCATAAGTTCTATGGCGACCGATTGACTCTAACATATCGCATATCTAGCTTCTCGCAGTTATGGTTTCAGCTGCTGCGATGGGCCCCGGCAATCAAAAGTACGTCCCTAGAATTCAAAATGGCCTGGATCGTGATACACAAGCCGAAATTATGCAGATAATTCGTGCTATGCAACAAGATATCGCGAACTCTAAGGAAGATGATGACTTGGATGAAACCATTGACGCTGCCATGGGAGCCCGCGACATTGAACTTCTCGTCGAGGAGCAAAACGCTGCACTGCGTCAGCAGCTTGATAACATGAAGAAGACCCTGTCAGACTACATCACTCGCCTGGAACATCTCCAACAGAGCCACGAGGAGCTTACTTATGACAAGGAGAAAAATGATCGGGAGCTTGAGGTTTTGCGGAAAGCAACCCAAGATGGGGCACATAGTGCGAAAACTATTAAACATCTAGAGGAACAAGTCCATGAGCAAATGGAGATCATTGCTAGGAACGAGGAAGTCATTCGCAGTAGCCAGAAATCGGTGTCCCAGCTGGAGAGCGAAGTACAGCGCCTCGGACAAAAAAACATACAGGCAGATGAGCTTCGCGATCAGATGGCAGAGTGGAGGCACAAGGCGGAAGAATTCGAGAAGAAGGCCAACATGGCAGAACGGTACAAGCAAAAGCTCGAATCGCAACAGAGTCTAGTGAGAGAGGTGCAGAACTTACAGTACGAACGAGCTGAGCTTCAGGAGCAGCTTCGTTCACTCATGGAGGAGAGAGAGCGGAGTGACCGTACCAAGAAAGCCGAGGACGAATTGACAAAGATGATTACGCAGTCGGAGCAGCATTTGTGGGACGAGCGTAACCAAAAAGCGCAACTTCTAAAGGATGTAACGGCTCTGCAAGAGGAGCTCATGCGCTTACAGGCTCAACGAACGCACGACGAACACTTCATCCAGGATTTGCAGGAGCAGCTTCAGCATAATGGTGGCGCCAGTACGGTTGAAGAGGCTGAACTGAGCGAAACTTCTACGCCGTTCAACCTAGAAGACGAACTTTTGATCGCATCCGAGGGGGGTCCACAGGCTAACCTACCCTTGGAGGTATCCAGACTGAGAGCAGAGAATGAGTTGATTAGGAAGACAGTTGGGTCTCCGGGAGACGTTTCCACTCTCCGACGAGAGCTGGAAGAAACAAGACGCCAACGGGAACGCCTTCAACAAAACTTTAACGGATTATTCGAAAAGTATACTATCATGAGCGACAACTTGCAAGCTTTGATGAGCGAGAGCACCGATGAAGGGTTAGTTTATTACGCCTGTCTTGTTGTGCAGAGCGATTGATACTCATTTATTTATTATCTAGGGCTGAAGCGTTTATTAAACTTCGACAGGAGTTGACGAGACTGGAACTCGAATTTGAACAAGCTCGAAAACTAATTAACAGCCTTGAGGCACAGCTGGGTGATAAGAACCGAGAATTACTTAGCGTACAAACAGACCTCTCCGCTGTTCAGAAGGATAGCATAGAAGCATTGAATGAGCTGAAGAATACGGATAAGTTGATATCGACCTCGTTGACAAGCGAGCTTGAGCGACAGAGGGAAGAAACTAGCTTTATAACGAATGAAAGAGACGCTCTGAAATCGCAACTTGTCGACACTCTATTAGCGAACGACAAGCTCAGAAAGGAATCAGATGAGAACAAGGATTTGAATGAAGCTGTTTCGCCAACAGAGGCCGACGGCTCAGAAGCCGCCAAGAAAGCTACCGAAAAGGTCGAAAAGCTACGAGCACGCCTTATCCAGAGAAATCAGGTATTTAATATGTCCTATACAAGAAACATGAGCCTCATACTTACACTTTGCACCAGCAACTTGAGCAATCGGAACAGGAAAGGCTCGAATTACAGACCAAACTGAAAGCAGCACAACTTGGCGAAGGATCAGCAGCACAAAAGGTATGATTTGCTCTATGATGAAAGCTTATTTCTGTTGAAGAGCTTCAATTGATTGAAATGTTTAGGCCGCATCGGATCATATCATCAAGAACCTCCAAAGAGAGAATGCACTTATTGCGACGGCTTGGTATGACCTCACAAGCCGGCTTCAGAGTAACCACGTCGTACTTCAGCGCCGACATGACGCCCCCAAGAGCTGGCTTAACAAACAGAGGCAGTTGGTGAATGGTCAGTTGCGCCAACGGGACATGCTCTACCTCTACTGACTGACCTGACTCTTCAGCAACTTCGAGGAGATAGGATTTTAAAGGGCTGAGCTCCGTCTGTATATCATGGTATCTCTTTGGGAGTATAACACTTGCTGGGCGTATTGCGAGCAAAGAGTTGATTGTTTAGCGATGCCGTATTCCTGTCATACACGTTAGAAAGTAGATGGCTTTCACGGTTACAGTCTCATTTCTGTTTAGAGACTAATCTTCATTTCTAGAACACGGCCATTATCATTTATCATACATTGCATGCAAACTATATAGAAATCATTTCTTCTCACAATCCAACATTCAATTATCACTTGGCGAGCCCATTTTGCATGAGAAGAAGAAACATCTCTGGAGCTATTTTCTTACTTGAAGCTCTCTCTCGAAATTAATAGTTTGATTAGTAAGCAGAATCAGCGTGGCAGGCTTAGATTCCCATATGCAGCGATATACAGGACATGATCCTCAAGTGACCTAGCTGCTTCCAGCAATTTTACTAAAGATAGAAGAGCCATGAGACTTCTTTCCTTCTAGAATATCCAACATATTCTTCCATACTTCGCCGGGTTGCTGGCTGGCATCAAGACCCTTCCAGATGCCATTCTTCTGGTAATATCCAACCACGGGACTTGTTTGCTGGTGGTAAGTGACAAGACGCTTCTTCAGCGCCTCAGCATTGTCATCGCTTCTCTGGATAAGAGGCTCTCCAGTTACATCGTCCTTCATAGCCTGCTTCGGGGGGTTGAAAGTTGTGTGGTAGGAGCGGCCAGACGCGGGGTGGATTAATCGACCGGTAATGCGAGCAACCAGCAGAGCATCGTCGATCTGCAATTCGACAGCATGCTGGAGAGTTTGGCCACGCTCATTGAGCATTGCGTCGAGGCCTTCGGCCTGAGGCACGGTACGTGGGAAGCCGTCGAGGATAAAGCTATGCGCTTAAGTAAGAACGAGTCCCGGTGTCATGCAGATGAATGATGGTCAACATACCCTCCTTGGCACTCCTTGTTATTCTCAAGTTCCTCCTTGATCATGCCAATGACAATATCGTCACTGACAAGGCCCCCTTGGTCCATGATTTTCTTGGCTTCCCTTCCGAGAGGCGTCTTCTTGGCGACTTGTGACCGCAGCATATCGCCTGTGGCCTACACAGAAAACACTTGCTGTTAGTTCTATGTGCGCCATTCATGAAGTCTCAATCGACATTGACATACCAGATGACAGCAAGAAAAGCGCTCTTTGATCTTTGGTGCTTGGGTACCCTTGCCTAATCACTTGTATGAGCAATGCGTGCTACATTCGACGCCGAGGTGCTTCGATAGCACAATTGAAACACGTACCGGCTCCAGGAGGCCCAATCAAGATCATGCGAAGGCTCTCTGCGTCAATTGAGGTAGATCCTGTCGCGCGCTGCTCAAGCTGCTTGATGCGCGAATCAAGGCCGCTGATAACATCGCGCAAGTGCTTGAGCTCGTCTTCTACAAACCCCATTGTGTCTGATTTTGTGCACGCCGGCAAAATATTTTACAAAGAATAAAGAAAGTAAAGAAGCAATTTAGCACCGGAGAGAAGAGGCTGTGGCGTGGATGGAAGCCGTGAGAGGAATTTAGGAAGCCGTGCTGAGCATAAACTGGGCAATGAAGCTGCGCAAGTAAGTTTTTGATATACTATTGCAAGGATCCATATACGGCACTAGCGTAGATGCTACTAGTAGTAGTAACAATACAGTCTAAATCTACAATAGAGAAATCTTAGAGTTCAATAATAGAAGTATAGGACTTAACATAAGAATTTAATCTATTATATATTTATTTAATAGTATATTATTGATGTTATTTATGTTAGTTATATAATTTAATAATAATAATAATATATATATATTTCTTTACTTTATTATATTAATAAACTAAGTAAGTCACATATATATTCCTAAAATTGTACCTAAATCTTAAAATACTTAATAGTAGTATTACGTCTCTTTTAGTATATAGTGTATAAAGAATTAGTGTATTTTTTCTCTAGTTATATATACCATAGTCGGACGAACGGACACATCGATAAGCTATAATTCTTCGCAGATCGATCCGCGGCTTATAGAGAGGGTAGAGTACAGACTAGGCGCAACGGAATCGTGCACTACTACCGAGGTAGCCTCAGCGTGTAATTCAATCCATGTCTTACTTCGGAAGCGCTGGTAAGACCGGACCGGTCGTCGGAAGTCTAAGTTTTCTCTGCACTCCAGAGTAGTGCTCCCTGTCTTGCTTAGATTCGGGCCGTTACATGATGTTCCTTCTAGTATTGCGGTGATGTGTAGGGAGTATTAATTTACCTATTACTAACTAATATACTAGTCTACTGACGGGTAACAAGACGTCATATGCGTATCTACTTATCCTGAGGAGTGGCAGCATCACTCCACAAATCTTTTGTCTCTTCCTCTACTGCTCGCATGGCCACTGCTACTGATTCAAGTTTGGCAATAACGTCGATGACACCGTCATTGACGCGCTCAAAATATTCATCGTTGGCCTCTCGTCGCTTTCTCGCGAGTAGAATATCGGCCTCCGTTTCCTCTACCAACTTTGCCCCTAAGCGGTCTGCTCTTTTTTCGTCACTTCCCTGCCATCCACTTGATGTGCCCATCATGCTCTTTGCTGCATCAGTCCCTTCTCCCCTCTCAGGTCTTGACGAGTCCAGTAGCCCGTCTCGTAGATTAGGCAGTTCATCACCCTTGTCGTCATTCATATGGTCACGCAGAGCAGTCTCTATGGTATCGTCTGCTTCACTTCTGGCCCAGGCCTGTGCAAGTACAATTTGAGCAGTCCGCAGTTCTCCTAGTTTGCGGTCGTGCTCGGGTCCAAATACATGAGTGCCTTCGGAGGCAGATAATTCCACCTTCTCCAGCGTGGCCTGCATTTCTGCCCATAGTGCATCTGTCCTGTCAGTGCCTCCATAGCTCCCCTTGGTCTGTAGGGCCCACTCAGGACGCCGCTGTTCTGATGGCATATCTGACCCCCCCGAGCGCGAGGCGTCTACAGTGGTAGGATTCCATGTCAGATTGTGTCTTCCGAGAGCTTGAACGCTAGTTGCGAGGGAGCCGGGAAGCGAGACACGAGATATGGATGGCGATGGAGGCATAAACAGGAGAGGAGGTGGATCTCGCTCCTTTGCTTTTGGTGCGCCCGTGGACGACATGGCATTTCAGTCAAGGACAGCCAATGTTAAACGTATTTGGCATGTGAGGATGAGGACGGAGATGTGGGGCCCGTCAGTAGCTCGCCTGGCTTGGGCGGTGGATAAAAATACGGCCGCGCTCGAGCTACCAAGGTCACGTGAGAAAATTTCGCCGCTCTCGTCTTTTTGGCTCTAGGGCCGCAAACCCTATCGGAATTTTCGTGGTCTGCAACTGCAACCTTTTGGCTCTCGGTGTTGTCGCATTACTCAACCCTAGGTGCCATATTAGCATAAATCGGTATGTTGGACACCCGTTGACCCTCATCGACACTCACATCACGCTTTCTTAACTGGCATCTTTTTGTACTGACATAACATTACGAAGCAATCATGGCTGGTGGCAAACCCCGAGGTCTCAACGCTGCGCGCAAGCTGCGAACCAACCGAAAGGATCAGAAATGGGCTGATCTCGCCTACAAGAAGCGTGCTCTGGGCACTGCTTTCAAGTCCTCACCGTTCGGAGGTTCTTCTCACGCCAAGGGAATTGTTTTGGAGAAGGTTGGTGTTGAGGCCAAGCAGCCCAACTCCGCCATCCGAAAGTGTGTCCGTGTTCAGTTGATCAAGAACGGCAAGAAGGTCACTGCTTTCGGTGCGTAGAACCCGATAAAAAAAAAAAGCTCTGTTTGATAGGTGCACAACTAACTCAAAGCTTACAGTTCCCAACGACGGTTGCCTCAACTTTGTTGACGAGAACGACGAAGTCCTCCTCGCTGGATTCGGTCGCAAGGGCAAGGCCAAGGGTGATATTCCTGGTGTCCGATTCAAGGTCGTCAAGGTGTCTGGTGTTGGTCTGCTGGCTCTGTGGAAGGAGAAGAAGGAGAAGCCCCGATCATAAAAAGGCAGTCTTTTGGGAGAAGAAGGTGTTATCATACGGATCGCGAGGAGCGAAGGAAATTGGCTCGGTTATACTCGCACAACTAGTCATGGCCCTATAATGGGAGGCTAAAATTTTGAAAGGGATTATGCCATCTCTTTAGAAATACTTTTCAGCATGTTCAAATACCAGATGGCACCGAATTGGGCATCTTCTCACATCAACATTCGATCAATCGAGTGCAGGCATCGGGTGTTTTATTATCTAATTAGGCGTCTAATTCTCTTCCATCCGGCGTAGATTGCGATTCAGCCTCTTTAAGAGACCTCGAGATATAGTCAGCTGCCATGCCGATGCTGACAACCCCACCTGTTATCCAGCAGCCGTTGACAAACCACCACCAACAGTTCTTGACGCTCTTGAGGTTCACCCGCTTGATCATGATTCCCAGAGTAACGAGAGCTCCGCCACAGCTTCCAAGGAAGAAGATGGGACCTGCTCCGGCTGCCATTCCGGCTGCACCTAGTAAAGCCACTTGTGTAACGGCAAGTCCAGTCAAGACTTGCTTGGTCTGATGTTCATGTTTCAGGGCGATGCTTTTGATACCGGCATTTGCATCATCTTTGATATCCATGTGCGCATAAATCATGTCGTACAGCACAACCCACGAAATATTCGAAGCATAGAGACACGCTGCGGCTGTGAGCGCGGCTGAGTTTGAAAGCAGATCAATGCCAAGTGCAGGGAAGCCCATGATTGCTCCCCACGAAAAGGCCAAGCCAAGGACAGCTTGGGGATAATAGGTGACTCGTTTTGCCAATGGATATGTCGTGACAAGGGCCAGACTAGGTATGCCATAGGCGAGACATGGTAAGGGGAATTGAACCAGAACGGCTAGCCCTGCAAGTAGCTGGAATCCAGTGAATACAATTCCCTTGAATGGGGTAATTGCACCACGGGCAATTGGCCGCAGCCGAGTCCTCCTGACATGCGGATCAAGATTTCGATCCCAGAGATCATTGATAGTGCAGCCAGCACCACGCATAATCAACGCCCCACTAAAGAACAGGGCCGCAGTGGTAGCTACTGAGGCAAACGAAGCAATAGGCTCTGCCATTGGCGCCGCCAGTAGCGTAGAAAAAAGGCATGGGAAAAAGAGATAATAGGTGCCAGCAGGTTTGTCGATACGGATGAGTTCACCGTACGGGACCCATGTTTTCGGGACAATTGACAATATCCCAGTTTGGGCTGGGATATATTCCGCTAGAGGTTCATCGTTCGTGGGTTTATGGCTATTGGCGACGTCGACGACCGGCTGTCGTTTGCTCGAGACTTGGTGGAAAGCGACAATTCTTTGACCCTGAACCGGCAGTCGACTTGGTATACTCTGTAGGGCGGACGGTGTCGGACGAGGAAGTATCCGGAGCGGACTAATCGAGCAATTGCTCGATCGCCATCGCACTCGGTGGTGGATTGGCACTCTGACAGCTAGCCTAAGCGTCATAGGGTTCCAGAGAATGTCGATGCAGGCATGCAAGTAAAAGTGTACTGCCAGGAACCCGGTATGAATGATTAGATTAGCGATTGGCTGATTTCACTAATAAGGTCCGATTTTGTGGCTCATGCATATAGAGCTTATTATAGTGCAAATTATCAGGAAAAGTATCTTAACTAAGTTCTAAAAATAAACATTATAATTATATAGTAAATAATATACTTATTAAACAACCTAAGTTAAGAAGTTAAATAAATAGAAAAAAAATAAATTAATTATATAGTATTATTTATTATAAACTTAAGTTATAAATTTATTTATTTAATAATTGCTTTTAAGATTGGTTTTAATAGAATAATCACAGGTAGTCTTTTATTAATGCAATTTAAATGTTTTTTATCTTTTTAGTATATTACTAGTTAGGTCCCTACCTAGTTATTAGTAACTCTTTCTTTTAATGTTGCATTAAGCGGCTATTGCATGTGATTGTATTACATTTATATGCCAATGGATACCTCGGCTAACACTCTTATTATGTACATCCCACTTCCTACCGTGTGTCAATAATTCTTCAAGCTCTCCAACAATGAAAGACTCATCGCTGAACCGCCATGAACTGGAAGATGCTGCATCTTCAAGTCCATCGAATGAAGAGGATTTTCAAGGTTCATATGGAGATACTAAAGGCAAACAGAACGAAACATTAGCAGCAGCGGCTGCTCATCTAGAATCGTCTAGGAAACTGGTTGTGAACGCCATAGCTACATCACGGGAGATGCCCAATCTGGGACCAGAATCCAAATCTTCTAGTGGATTAAGTCATCTGGGATCGTCTTCGTATCTTTCTGGAGAATCCTCTTCGTATAAAGGACACCAGCAGACATCATTCGAACCGGCTCGGGGGACTGCAAACGAGTGCCAAAACGATTCGTTCGATGCATTCATTGAGTCCAATATTGAGGCACTGGTGACCGATTGCCAAAATGGGTCTTCATTTATAGACCAAGAAGCATCAGATGGCTTAGCTGTGTTAGAACTTCTCTCTCATCAGGAAGACGAGTCGCACAGCCTAGCATTCAATCTAGAGCATGACTCCCTTGCGCCTGGGGAAGATCTATCATGGAATGCGCCTTTAGAGGAGATTCCCAGCGACCAAGAAGAAAAAGAGAAGGAAGAGCGGCTCGACTTTACTCCCGACTTTATTACTAGACCTGAAAATTCGCAGCAAGCTGAGGCCTATCTTGGAATCGGCGATATTCGAGAAACAAGCAACACATGGCTTGGGTACTGGCATGACGTCTTCACAGCATACAATGCGCGAGTGTGGGGCAATTCGCCATTAGAGACGACTTCAAGAACACCTGAACAGCAAGGCGACGACAGCAGCGAGCCAGCAACGATCACTCGCGCGCTTAGTAGACTAAAATTAATCTTCCATCATCTGAAAGGTTAGGTAGCTATTGCAGTGGAGCACAGTTCTATTCAAGTTGTAGCAATCGCAAAGCGCCCGACCATTTGGAAAAAAAAGTACAAGCGTTGAATTGAAAAGGTGACATCACATTAAATACACTTATATCATTACTCCTTTAGCTACATGTAGCTACCTATATATCATTACTAGTACTAGTAGTAGGTATCTATATTACTACTCACCTACTTACCTAGGTGCCTACCTAGGTACCTACTGTATCAACAAAACATTAATTTTGTGGTACTGTTTGATTCTTCTTTCGCAACATCTTTCAAGTTTACGTACCTACCTTCCCACACAGGCTGGGGTAAGCTGGTAGGATACCCCTGTAAGCAAGACCCTATTGGACGCAGGCTTAGCTCGCGCTAAGGCTACTGGATTGATTGTTTTCCATCTTTCACATCGCGCTTACCACTGGCATTGTCGAGTGCCTGGTGAAGCTTGCGCCTCGATCCTGCCCAGAGCTCTTCAGTTCGCGGGATCAGTTAGTAGGCCTTAGAATGGCCTACTGGAGGCCACGTCACGGCATGTTCGGACGCTGAAAAGCAGCACCCCCCGCTACGACTGACTGCATCACCGATTACCTTCTGCCGACTGCTCATGATCAACGCCGTTGAACCTTGTCGCGCGAATTAAGATGCCTAGCGCACAGCATCCCCAGGCAAAATTTGATCCGATACCTCCAGATCTTGACCTTCACTCTCTGGTAGACCGTACACCGAATTTTCGATGGGTCCAGCGGGTGTCCCGGCCTCAAATCAACAGCCTTGGCCAGCAAGACTTTGAGAAGCTTGTGGCGATACATGTCATAGCTGGCGGGAAGCCTCTCGTTATCGAGGGCTGGGATGATGCTCTGCCCTCCTCGCTATTTAGCGCAGGATGGCTTGAGGAAACCTACGATAAGAAACGTTCGTTATTTCCTCAAGCTACTATGAACCTATACTGATCTACCTGTCTTGCCAGAGGAGAATGTCCGTGATATTTCCAATGCCTCTGACATCCCGATGACCACTGGGCACTATCTACGCTCCATGAAACAGCTCACCAATCAATGGACTCCAAACACGTATCGTGACGAGCGTCGACAGCGGTTGTATCTCAAGGATATCGATTGCCCCCCCGAATGGCGCGATATGCTACAGAAAATCATACATCCTAACCTCTTCTATCTCAACGAAAATGTTGCAAGTAAAGGAGACATGCGTGCGCGCGATAAGGAAAGTTTTGGGAGCATAACTGCCGCTGCCTCTGCCGGAGATCTTATGTCTAGCCTACCGGAAGAAATGCGCGCCCAAAATCTCATGTGCTACATAGGCCATGAAGGAACCTACACGCCCGCCCACCGAGAGATGTGTGCATCGCTGGGACAAAACATCATGGTTGAAGCATCACGAGATGAAAATGGAGAAAAGAAGGGGAGTTCGATTTGGTTCATGACCGAAAGCAAAGATCGTGAAGTGGTCAGAGAGTATTTCTTGTCGATGCTTGGCCATGATATCGAGATTGAGAAGCATTTCGCACAAGTCAACGCCTGGAAGAAGGCACCCTTTGACGTGTACATTGTGGAGCAATGTGCGGGCGATTTTATACTTATTCCACCTCTCGCTGCACATCAAGTTTGGAACCGAGGCACGAGAACAATGAAGGTTGCTTGGAACCGCACGACGGTGGAAACCTTAGACCTCGCACTGCATGAAGCTCTTCCCAAGGCTCGCTTGGTGTGCCGAGATGAACAGTACAAGAACAAAGCCATCATTTACTATACCCTTCAAAAATACCACGCGGAGCTTCAAAAAGTTGCAAAGACGGCAGAGATTATGCAGATTGGCTTCATGGGCATTGGGAGAGACATCTTCAGGAGCTTTCCGCGTGTGAAGCAGCTGGCGGCTGACTTCAAACTTTTGTTTCAGCTATTTACTGAAATCATTACTGACGAAGTCTTTGCATTTAAAGAGAAAGACATTGAATTCTTGCCATTTGATTCCTGCGTTACTTGCTCTTACTGTAGGTCTAACATTTTCAATCGATTTCTCACCTGCAAACACTGTATCAGATACCTGCCTAATGGAGAAGAGGATGCATACGATGTTTGCATGGAATGCTACGCAATGGGCCGGTCATGCGTCTGCCTCTCTGGCCTTCAATGGTGTGAGCAGTGGTCATGGTCAGAGCTGGCTGATAACTACGAGATTTGGAAAGCGACTGTTATCGCAATTGATGGCCACGTGGACTTGGAAAAGTCTCCACAGCCACTTGAGATAGCAAGACAGAGGGCAGGGAAGAAATCACTTGCTCAGATCTGTCAGGAGGCATTAAAACGACGTCCTTGGAAGGACATAACAAAACCAGACCGCGAAAAGTCACCCAGCGACTCTGAACAAGGCGAGGGCGATGATAAGCCCAATAAGAAACCAAAGAGAAAAAAGAAGAAAGGCGAAGTCCACCGCTGCCATGTTTGTTGCCACCCGGATTATAGCTACCGAATACATCTGTGCACGAATCCTGGCTGTCTCGAAGGATATTGCTACGGCGTCCTGTATCGGGCTTTCGATCTCATGCCACAGACTGTTATGGAAGATGAGCATTGGCAATGTCCCAAATGCTTAGGGATATGCAATTGTGGCCATTGCCGCCGTGCAGGCATTACGCAGCCATATATGCCAAAGAACACGTCTCTCGGGCATGACACTCGCCGGATTGCGGATGATCGAAGTGTAGAAGCACTTGTTGATTTTCGAATTCATAACTTGTCTTGGTTGAAAGCTGCGGGAGAAGAAAGTCGTAGCAAGGACAGCAAGCGAATGCAGCTGCTGAGAGAGCAAGCGGACAACGCCAAAGCGCAAGATGTCCTGCAGCAATCTCACGCGCAGCCTAGGATGCAACCCAGTGCTGTTTTCACTGCCAATCTAGGCGAACCTTCCGCGATAAACGGGTATGGCGATCAGAGCCAAGTGCTTGGCCACGATAGGGGAGACATATCCAATCTGGCTTTTGACGTCTCCGACAGACATACCTACAAGGCCGACAACGTGCCGCAAGATATCACAGCTCCGCCCTTAGCTGATGCCTCAGCCGATGCCTCAGCCGATGCCCCAACCGATGCCAGAGAGCAAGAGAGTGTAGATTCATCACAGTATCCTGACCCATCGGTTTTCACACGGCATCGAATAGGAATGGGATACTACGAACAAGACGATACACCTGATAAAATACTTTTCGACCCATACCAGGCGCCCTCCGCAGAGTCAATCCAGGCAGACGAATCTACCATCCCGGATTTTGTTAAGAAAACTATTCGGGCAGCTAAGAGAAAAGCTAAACGGGAGAATGACGACCCCGATTTTATTGTTTCTAAAAGCCATGCGAAAAAACAAAGGCTTATTCCACAGGAATCAAATTTCCTTGACAACATGGATCCTGCTCTTTTTGTCGCTGAAACTTTGTCAGCAGTACCTAATGAAGCAACAGCGCCTGCTCTTCTAGATAGGGAGCATTCTGTTGGGACGTCTCGAGGAGAGCCTAGCCACAACATATCGAAGACATATTTTGCACCATATGATGCTAATGAGCCAATTCTTCGACATGCCAAACCAAGGGCGTCGTATATCGAAATCGACGATCTGGATATTGATGAAGTAGAAGAAACTGAGGCAGCGCCTCAGACCTCACCAACCTTGGCGGCGATAGAAGCTCATGACTCAGCAGTCGATAAACCCCACGAGGATGTACACGTGAACGGAGAAGTGCAAGGACTGAGTAGTGCTGAGGAACAACGTCCAAGTAGAGCAACCCAAGAGGCGACCGGGGAAGTTGCTCCGAAACGTCGCGGTCGGCCACCGAGAAAGTTGCCGAGAACAGCATCACCAGTAACCACCGAGGATGTGCCGCCGCGAGTTGAAAGCGGAAACAACAAAAAGGCGAGAGGCCGCCCAAGGAAGTCGCTGCCTTCATCGTTCATGGAGGCAGATGGTAGCCCGCAGGACGACATGGCCTTTGCTCCCGATGCAGAAGCTCGTGAATCGAATTCTCCGGACTCGGATGAGCAGACCAATACTCGAGATGGCAATTTCGTTGAGGATTCACGACAACGACGTCGGCGCTCCAGAGCTTCAGGTGTTGCCAGAATTGGCGTCGGCATGTCACGGCGAGAGCTGCAAACCAAGACCTCCAAAGAATCAAAAATTGAAGACGAAAAGGGAGATGTTCTTCCGAAAAGGAGGAGAGGTCGCCCTCCGAAATCTGTGGCTTCTTCAAGAAATAGATCTTCTTTAGATGTAATTTTGCCATCAAGTTCTCAGTTTATGTCTATGGCTGAACGGATGGCTCTCAAAGGCAAGTCGTTCAAGATTGGCTCGAGGAAGCGTCAAAGCAAGGTGAAGGGTCCAAGCTTGGGACAGCAGACGATGCCATCAGTTGGAGAACGCCTCGCCGAGAAACAGATACCCAAACGAGCCCCTGGGGTGGATGAGGCGTATCAAGAACACGAAGAGGGAGAGAGCGAAAGCCCATATGGCAATGACAAGTCCCAGGGGCGCACTAGCAGAAGCAGAGAGGCTAGCAAAGCAAGAATATTGTCTCGGTCTAGCAGCTCTAGGGAATCAACAGATGACGAAGACATACCATCCCATGGCCGTATTACCAGAGGCACTCGACGTTGAGGTATGGATTGACGACATAGTAGAGAGTTGCGCAGAGCGGAGATACTAGAGATGTATACATAATCTCGTGTTAGATCAATAGCAGCTAAATGCAAACAATATATCTCTTGGTAACTTGATAGCACTCAAAGTAACTTGCAAGCACTCAAAGTTTGTTTTATACAATGAACTTCCAAGTACTAAAAATATTAACATTTGTGTAGCAATATCAGATTTAGCCCCCCTCCCTTTACCACTGGAGTGGCAAAACTCATAAATGGCAATATCTTTTGTTTAACTTTTTTTTTGTATCAACTAGTAATAGTATGTCTTAATTCAAGGTTATACTGTATTTATAATCCTCTTGCTCTTCTTGCCCAATTATACTTAGGACTTTAATTGACTCTTTCACTATTCCTTAGTATTGACTATCATATACAACCCGTGAGTTGCTTTTTTTTTTTTTTTTTGGTTTAGGTATGCTCTCCGGTGTTCCAAGATTTCTACCTTTAACTACAGTGCTGAAAATACAAAGAGCTGCGAAACGAGCTGTTAGCATCCATTCAGTGAAGACTTTCCATCCTCCATCGGCCTGGAAGGAAGGGGGAGGGGGTAGGGACTTACATTATTGGTCGCGGCTATGGCAATACTATCCTCAAACGGATGCCAACTCATGTGTAGTATCTTCTTATTGAAATCGATCTGGTCCGCGTCCGTCTCTTTCCGCATCCTTTGGCCCTGCGCACCACCAGCCGGGCTGCCCGCCCGTGAACCTCCCTTCTTGCTACCGTTCGCGGCTGTTGGGCTTGTGGATGAGTTAATGGGTGTAGGAACGCCCACTTTCTTTGCTTTGAAAGCCGACTTGTCCGCCTGAAGAACCACCTCAACTTCCTTATCCGGATCGGAGGGATAAATCATGAAGTTGTTGTTGTAGCTTCCAGTCATGACATTCTTGGCGTCGCCGGAGAATACGACCTCGAACTTATCAAAAATACTATCATTTTCATACGTGTCGCATAATCGGGGTCGCAGATGCTCGTGAATGGGTATCGTCTTGACCGGTTGCCGCTCCATGTTGATGTCCCAGATTTTGACGGTGAGGTAGTCTCGTGACAGGACATATCTCCCGTCGTAAGAGAATCTTACATCGGATATTGACGAAATGATTTCAGAAAAGAATGACCTTGATGAAGGATCTTCTTCTTGCTCGAATACTGGGTAGTACAAATATCATGGTCAGTCACTTATTCTCGTTTGGTCAAGGGTGTTTTATGTGATGCAGTCTTGGTACAAACATTTTGCATGTTGGTCGCACAAAGCACTTTCTCGCATATCAGCAAGTTTGATTGTGCCCTTTGAGCTGGCATACATGAACCAGTTGCAGCTGATTGGGTGAAACTCGGCGGCGGTGATGACCTCGGTCAGCTCTTCCATGTTGGCGGGCTTGATATCGACTATGTTGAAGCTCTGGTCCTGGATGTTGAGATTCCAGAGGTTGATACGCAAATCGTCACTGCTAATGAAGGTTTCACCATCGCTGTTTACCGATATGCTGTTGATGTGATAGGCGTGAGCGTTTGCATAGGTTCGTCTGGGGACGGCGGCAACAACAGTGTCATGGTGCGTGAGGCGAGGCAGCTTTAGATCGGCGGCGTTCCTGAATTGCTGGGATGTAGGGAGAGCTCGAAGGGCGCCGCCGCCGCCGCCTACCGCACCCCCGGGCGTTATATCATGGGAAAGGTTGTTCTCAGCCACCACTTTAAGAGACTTTTCGAACACTTTCCACAGCTTAATTGTCTTGTCATTGGTGGATAGGAGATAATGAGAGGCATTCTGTCGACGGCACCACTTGATCTTGTTGATCTTTTCCTCGATTTCCAGAGACTTGAGGTAGTCAAACTCGGGCTCGTGGGATTGAAACTCGGTGTGAAATTTGTATTCGCATGATTTTTTCTACAAAAGCAAAAGAGTTAGAAATTCTGCATCCAGCGCTGGGAGGGGGGATTGGAGCGGGCTGAGTAGAAGTGTACCGTCTCGTTTCGTTCAAATAGAACCACTCGCCCGCCTTTGTCACCAGTGGCAAGGTAGTTCCCCGTGTGATCAAATTCCACCGTCGAGATTATGTCGGCTGGGCCCCGCGGTCAGTATCAGGCAGCATACGTCAGAGGGGAGAAGGGGAGCTTGTCCGGCGGCGAACCTTCAGTGATATCCTCGACATCGCCCTTGTCGCCGAAGCATCTGCGGGCATCCTAGGTCAGTTGCGGCTAGAATCCATTGGAGCGGCGGCACATACTGGGTAAACTTCCAGGTTGGTGAGTTCGCTTCACTGTCGACCATTTTGGTTGGCAGCGATAGCAGGGATCGGGACTAGAGGTGGCACAGGCAGCCGGGGTGACGAGATACAGCGCGAGACAGGAAGAGGGCAGTGAGGGGTGATGTCTCGAGAGATGGGAGGTCGGCCGCGGCGGGTTGGGGCTTGGGCCGGGAAGAGCGTCGAGCGTCGGGTCGGGGCTTGGGCGAAGCAATCAGGCGTTGATGATGCGAATGATGTCGTTTGGCGTAGCACTGGTGGGCTGGAGGAGAGAGCACACAGCTTGATGTTACTAACAGGTGCCACACGGCGCGGGTGAAGGAGAGCTACCTAGTCCTGCTGCTGGTGGGGCACGAGAGCAGCAGCACGAGTGCGCAAGAAGCCAGATACACTAGAGGTAGAGGGGCTGGGCTTGGGCTCGGATATGATGCGCGTGCGTTGGAAAATCCCTGGCGGCAAAAGCTTGCTTGCTGCGTGGGAGCCAAGGTAACTCTAAAAAGACTAGCAGCCCGAGGTGGGATGCTCTTCAACCATGATAGTAACAATATCAATCAACGTAATTGGGAAAGAAACTTTGGTATCAAATGAATATGTATAAAGCTGAGTGTATTTATGTAAGCTACTATTCATATTGCCAAGTATGCGTTTGATTAATTATCCCCTTTAGCATGAGAGGTTATGCTGCTACAATATCTATAGGTAGCATCAGTAGTGCTCGTATACCTACTACTGCTACCAGCTGGCATCTATAAGCATTTGGTCTCGCATCGTCAATGTACTGCCTTCTGCTGCTTTGGTACATAGAGTAGGTATAAAATGTGGGCAATATCGGCCCAGCTTTACAAAGAAGTATTGGGTTGTCGCCCGCCCGTCCAAGTCCCTTTTAATTGGCACGTAGTATCTTTTCAATATGCTCTCGGCTATTCTTCTGGGTTGTCTCGAGATACAACAATCTTTGGTTCAGTTTATCAACATCCCCATCAAGATCCTGCATCTGGCGCTGTAATTTCTCGTTCAGGGTATTGGGGGGAAGAGAAACAAACCTAGAGTCCACGAAACATCAGCATCAATTCCACTACCACGTTCCACGGTTGTTTGCATCTTTCACGTACATCTTCCCCACGCCCTCGTAAACGACTGAGTTGCTTGCAAAGCTCTGCAGCTCGCTCATCGTTAACCGGAGTAGACGTTGCTCTCGCTGCTTGCCTGCTATTTGGCTTCGGACCATGCCAATCTGCTGCTGTGCTGCAATGGCCTGGGTCTCGATCTCGAGCGCCAGCTAGTAGTCGAATTAGCACAGATTCTAGAATCTAGAGCAGCCGTAGTCACCTTCTGCAGAGCTTCATTGGATATAGACATGGTGTATGAGCAGCTATACCATGAGGCAGCTCAAGGCAAATCCTAAAGGTAATGGAACAAGCGTCAGACCTGCGGCTGCGAGACAAGCACTTGGAACAGCGACAACCTAAGAAGGCTAGTTAGTGCTGCTTCTAAGCTAGCGGTAGTCCAAGTTCTCCCCTACTGGTACTTAGCAGGTATATGTACATAGACATGTGGAAACTTTCACTGAAGAGAACGCCTGCCGGTAAAACATAACTAATTGAGTTGAAAATGTGAGTATGTAGTAGCCACAAAAATAATCATTCACATGTGAATCTTTTTTTTTTTTTTTTTTTTTTGGTGAAGGGCGGTAGATTTTTCGATGTATACAAACGCAAAAAAGGCAATGCGTACCTAGCCAAGGTACCACTGCCGCTGCTACTAGGTGCTACTAGCTTGGCGCCTCAGTTCTAAGATAAAGTTTGCCTCACATTTATCTGGTATAGGATATTTTCCACCTGCAACATCTGCATCAGGATATCAGGCACTGCTCAGCATAGTCTCTTGCCTGTACGCGCAATCTCTTCGGGCTCGCAGTCGTAAAGTCTATCACTAGGTGATAGAATTGTGACATCTTTTGCGCAACTCGAAACATTTCTTGCGCCAATCGAAATATTGACCGCGCGCAATCGCGTCTCTCGCTTTTTCAGATAACTGTTCATTACTATCTATTACCCAACAGCACGAACCGACTTTTTCTCTTTAGCAAGATTTACCACGGCCCAGCATGGGTATTCCCGCTGCCTTTAGATGGCTATCTAACAAATATCCCAAAATCATTTCACCAGTGATTGAACAAACGCCGATTGTCACCGAAGATGGCATCACGATCCCCGTCGACACCACGCAGCCCAATCCTAATGGGGAAGAGCTGGACAACCTATATTTGGACATGAATGGAATTGTCCATCCATGCTCCCATCCAGAGGATAGGCCAGCACCAGCTGACGAGGAGGAAATGATGCTCGAGGTTTTCAGATACACGGATCGTGTGGTGAACATGGTTCGCCCACGAAAGATTCTAATGATTGCTGTTGGTATGCGTGACGTCTCATCATCCTAGTCTACCAACGTTTTTGCTCGATTTCAGCTAACAAATTCAATTCAGATGGAGTTGCGCCAAGAGCCAAGATGAATCAACAGCGATCGCGACGATTTCGATCGGCCCAGGAAGCCAAGGAAAAGGAAGAAGACAAGCAAGCGCTGATCGAACTCCTCAAGCGTCAAAATGGTGGCACATTCGAAGCTGCGGACTCGGAGACGGTCGTCAAGAAGGCTTTTGACTCAAACTCCATCACCCCAGGCACCCCATTCATGGATATCCTCGCCTTGAGTTTGCGGTATTGGTGCCAGTACAAGCTGAACACAGATCCAGCATGGGCTAAGCTTAAAATCATCATATCTGATGCTACTGTGCCCGGTGAAGGTGAACATAAGATCATGAATTTTGTCAGATCTCAACGCACTTCTCCAAACTATGACCCCAACACCCGCCATGTTATTTATGGTTTGGATGCCGATCTCATCATGTTAGGACTTGCCACGCACGAGCCTCACTTTCGAGTCCTACGTGAAGATGTCTTCTTCCAAGATGGCAAGAATAGGGCGTGTAAGCTGTGTGGCCAAAAAGGACATGAGGCGAATAATTGTCGTGGAACCGCTAAACCAAACGATGATCCTGCTGCTGCTGACGAAAAAAGCAAAGGCCTTCAGAGCCCCGTCCAAAAGCCTTTCATTTGGCTGCACGTTTCTGTGCTGAGAGAGTATCTCGCGGCCGAGTTGGCTGTGCCCGATCTTCCTTTCAGATTTGACCTAGAGCGGGCCATTGACGATTGGATCTTCATGTGCTGCTTTGTAGGTAACGACTTTTTACCTCACCTGCCTGCTCTTGAGATTCGAGAGCATGGAATTGATACTTTGACCACAATCTGGAAGACGAATTTGCCATCCATGGGCGGTTATGTCACCAAAGATGGCCATATTGACTTAGCGAGGGCGCAAGTCATACTTGACGGCCTTGCAAGCCAGGAAAATGCAATTTTTAAGCGAAGAAAAGAGCAGGAAGATCGTCGAGAGGCCTCTAACAAACGAAGAAAGCTGCAAAATGAAGGTTATGCCAGAAATGGACAGCATGGCTCTTCTAAAATTGATGGACACGCCGATCCTACCAAAGGGCTGCACCTTTTCCCTATTGCTGCATCACAAACCGCAAATTCGGCTATTAACATGACGCACGATATGATTGTCAGCCGCAATGCGACTCAAGATGTGACGTTAGCCAACAAGGGCGCGGCCAGCGTAATGCGAGATCGACTGCGGGCTGATACTAGCAAGAACGAGGATACCTCTACCGCGGCGGCAAATATTACTCAGCCTCTACCTTCGTCCCTGGGAAAGAGGAAAGCTATGGACTCCGACGACACCGCTGATGCCACTCCAGCTGAATCGCCCAGCGTCAAACCCTTGGCACCTACAGAGGTAGAACCGGTTGATAACGTGCGCCTATGGGAGGATGGCTATGAAGATCGCTACTACCAGCAAAAGTTCCACAAAGATCCACAGGACATTGACTTTCGCCACAAGGTGGCACAGGCATACGTCGAAGGGCTGGCTTGGGTATTGCTCTATTACTTCCAAGGATGTCCGTCTTGGGAGTGGTACTATCCTTACCATTATGCCCCGTTTGCTGCTGATTTTAAAGACCTCACCAAGATGGAAATTGCTTTCGAAAAGGGGCGAATTTCGAGGCCATTCGAACAGCTGATGAGCGTCTTGCCGGCGGCATCCCGCCATGCTCTCCCCACAGTCTTCCATGAACTGATGTTACAAAAAGACAGTGAGATCATCGACTTCTATCCAGAGGAGTTCCAAGTCGACTTGAACGGGAAGAAGATGGCATGGCAGGGAGTCGCTCTACTTCCATTTATTGACATGCCACGACTCCTCAAGGCTGTTCAAGGCAAATATCACTTACTAAGCCCAGAAGATGTTGCACGAAACACAGTGGGAAAAGACGTCCTGCTATTGTCTGATAACCATGATGGACTCTATGACGACATCCTAACCAATTTCTATTCAAAGAAGCAGGACCGTTTAAGACTCAGTATTAATACGAAAAACAGCAACGGCTTAGCAGGAGAAATAGAAAAGCAAGAAGACAAGGTTCCCCATGGGTCTTTGAACTATCCCCTGGAGCGACGATCTATGCCGGATCTAGATTACGATCATTCAATTAGGTATTATCAAACTAATCTTTCTTCTTTGGTAATTTTTGGCTAATCGGGCGCAGCGTTTATTATGACATGCCGCAGGTAACCCAAACTCATAAATCAATGCTACTACGCGGAGTGCGAATGCCGGCACCTGTTTTGACTAGGAGCGACATTGAAATACTGCGAGGAAAGGGAAATCGAGGAGGTCGCGGCAACTATGGAGGATCATTTAGGAATAACCAAGGTCGGAATGGGCCTGGCTACGCTGGTGGGTACAGAGATTCGCGAGGATCTCATACCGGGCACTACAGGGACAACCAACGCTACGATTCACACAATTCCCACCATGGTATGCCTCAGCATGGGAGGTGGCAACCTCCAGCTGGGCCAGGGTTTGATCCAAGAGCTAGCTCCTTTGCAGCTCCGAATATGCAGCACCAACCGCAGCAAGGTTGGCATGGGAATAGACCCGAGTATGGCCACCAGGGCCACCAGGGAAGACACGGAGGAGACTATGGAGCGCGGCCTCCTCACGGTAATCAGTGGCGCGGCCGTGGTCATCAATGATCGCCATAATTCTCTATCAGGTGCGTATACAAGATTAGCTGCTTATTCTGAAACGCATTTTGTACGTTGTAGGGCTTCTGTACCGAAGAGCATAATCTTCCAGCCAGTAAATCTTGTTCATACGATAGAACCTTCCCACGACATGATAGTTACCTCGCACATCTACACTTTATCGTGTCCATGTGCATGGTGATTTAATGATGAATAATATACCAATTCCTGCTATTTGACTTCAACCAAGCCCGCCCCATATGCCTCGAATTCTCCTCGCCAACTGAATGTCTTTTTGCATCAGTGTCACTCTCTTCGCATGGACCGCGCATAGCTGCGCATCTTCAAAAAGATGTACCATGAATGCTTCTGCGGCCTCTTGTAGTGCCTGGATGGCCTGACTCTGCCATCTAAAATCTTTTCCTCTCGGGCGACAATTCAATCCAATTTCGCGAACCTATATACAGTATCAAAAAAGGCAATTCCATTGCCGGAAGGGGGTTTATCATGACGGCACTAACAAGTCGCATAAATGGAAGTTTTAGAAGTAGAAGCTTTGTATTAGCTTGATATTGCCTGATCTCTCGTAGCGCAACGGTACCCGGTCGATATCGCCGTTTCTGCCTCGTAGGTAGTGGATCGCCCGCTGGATTGATAGTTAGCGAAAAAGTGGTTTTGGAAACATGGGAGCTCAACGCGCACGCTGTATGTCGCTTGGTCTGGCACGATATCGTTGTTTGGGCGCTGCGGTTGATTGACGAGGAGCCATTGCAAGAGGGGTATCAATGAAAAGGAAGAAAGAGCGGATCGAACAGCCATGCGTGGTAGTTGAACGCAATGGGCTACATCGGAGCGGATGTGAGATCGAGTAGAGAGGCTCAAGCTTGTTTGTTCCGGATTGTGGAACGCGTCTCTGGGTCAACCCGGCGACAGGTCATCCAGTAACGCCTGATAAGATAAGGGGTCCAGTCCAGTTCGGGTCTAGGCTGTGTCTAATAAAAGCGTACAGCACGCCTATAATAGCGGTTGCGCATGGAGTGTCAAGGAGCTGTGAAGCGAAATAGGTCTCAACTGGTAAAAGAAGAATATCATGTGGAAATTACATACTATTTTGGCTGTGCGTAAATTCAAATAAAAGAAGCAATAGGCATTGACGAGCAAAGGCATTACCTATTTCGCCTAGCATTTGCTAGCTACTATGCACCTAAAGCTGTAGTGTGGTTACAGCTAGGTAAGGTAGTCAGTCGTATATCCACCTACGTGTTATGTAGGGGCGTTTTCTAGAAGCTCGGCATCATAAATTGCGACTACGTATCTCAGCCTTTTGTCCTGCATGCTCAACCAATCGTGAACCTCAATTCCCTCAATTGGTGGCATGGGGGGAGCGACGACATGTTCTCCATCTCTAGCGCTCCAGCGAAACAATCTGTTGGCGACACGATCTCCGTTCTCAGTGGCCGACTCGGTTCTGCGACCCTTCTCGAAGATCGGCGAGCTGCGATTCTAGGCCTGCGAAGCTTCGCAAAAGACTACCCAGCGACTGTAGCGTCCGGGGCTCTCAGGGGCTTGATTGGCAGCCTCACAAAAGATGCCGAAGATGTCGATACAATCAAGGTCGTGCTGGAGACGCTGTTGATGCTGTTCAACCCGAACAAGGAGAGTCCAGAAGCGTCGGATGAAATCGCCTTGTGGCTGGCCGATGAATTTACCCAGCGTCAAGAAAACATCACGCTGGTCCTGGATTTTTTAGATTCTACCGACTTCTATTCACGCCTGTATTGTTTACAACTTCTCAGCTCAATTCTCACCGCACGAACCCAACGAACCGAAGAATGCGTTCTCTCTGCACCACTAGGGATCAGCCGCCTCGTGGCTGCTCTCGACGATCAACGGGAGGCGATCCGCACCGAGGGTATCAATCTATTGATACTGCTGACATCGAGTTCCATTGAGATACAAAAGCTTGTAGCGTTTCAGAGTGCCTTTGAAAAAATATTCGTCATCATTGCTGGTGACGGTTCTCTCTCTGAAAGCGGAAGGACTGTAGAGGATTGCTTGATACTCTTAGCCAACTTGTTGAGGGGCAATGCGGCCAACCAGTCTCTCTTTAGGGAGTCTGACTGCATGGGAAAACTTACAGAGATGCTCAAGGGCCTACTCGAAGCTCGGAACCAGGAAGATGGTCTGGCCAAATGGGCGCAAATCCAGGTCAATCGAAACATATACGCATTTCTCTCCATCATCCGCCTGTTTTTGTCTGCAAACTCGGCAGAGACGCATCAGAATCAAGCTACATTCTGGAGGCACGGCCTTAGCTATCTTATCCTTCAGCTTGCGTTCGACCCTAATGTTCAAACGCGAATCAAAGCCGAGGTGCGGAGGCCTACTCCCCTGCTTCTTAATATGTTTGAGCCACGATTATAACATTTCGAACAGGCTTTGGTTGCTTGCGGAGACCTGATTCGTAACAACATGACGCTCCAGGAAGGATTCGCCTCGCTCACAGTCTCTCCACCACTGGAATCCATGGCCGGGAACCCAAAAGTATCCAATGGCAATGCTCCTTCCAGGATCTACATTATTGACGGCCTGCTTGATTTGACATTAAACGTGCACGATCTTGCCGCGTTTGACTTGCGATATGCCGCCTGCCAGTGTCTGACCGCCTATTTCTCCAACCACGCCGAAGTAAAATCGCATTTCCTTGGCAGAGCCATAGAAGGGTATCAATCTGGACGAGACGAATCTGCTAACATCTTGAGTGTTCTGCTGAAGCTACCTGGTGATGTATTCTTGAACGACCCATACCGAGTGTGGTTTGCCTCTGTTATCGCATTTCACCTTGTCTACGACAATCCTGCTGCCAAGGCAGTGGCAAAGGGCTTAACTGAAGGCGATGCCTCTAAAGGCGAGGAGGTTGTGACCAGCATACAGACGATCACAGCGCATCTACTCACGAGGATACGTCGAGATGATGACACCCGAATATTGGTGGGGTATCTTATGCTACTTCTAGGCTGGCTGTTTGAGGATCTCGACGCCGTCAACGACTTCCTGTCCGAAGGCAGCAATGTCCAGGGCCTTATTCAGGTAATCTCACAGCCAGTTCGTGTAGCAGGGGAGCTCGTGCAAGGTTTGTGCGCCATGTTGCTGGGTTTCATTTATGAGTTTTCTACAAAGGATTCACCTATTCCACGAGCAACATTACATTCTATTCTGGAATCGCGGCTGGACAAAGATGGCTATTTAGACCGTCTAGTAAAACTGCGAAACCACCCGTTGCTCCGAGACTTTGAGGTCACGCCACAAACTCTCATTGCTTCACCCACTGGGGAAGAAGAAGTGAATGTGTTCTTCGATGGCATATTTGTTGAGTTTTTCAAAGATAACTATAGTCGGGCAGCCCGTGCTATTGATAAAGCACCTGATGTGGAAGTATCGGTCATCACAAATGGCATGGAGCAGGGCATATCAAGACAGCTCGTAGATTCTCTGCGGCATCAAGTAGAGGAGAGGGATGGCGCGATTGTTGAAGCTAACGAAGCCAAACAAGCACTGCAACGAGCCGTTAATGAAGCACAGGAGGCACATCGCCGTGCCAAGGAAGATGCCGAGGCCACAAGTGCGAAGTTGACAACAGAACTGAGGTATGTTCGATATACCCTTCCCAATGATGAGTGTCTAGAGCTCAGCTGATGAGCATGTCTAGCAAGCTTCAAAGCCAACATGCTGCTAAAGCTGCGGAATACGAACAAAAAGTCGTGCAACTGCAGCAGCAACTCAATTCCAAAGACCAAAATCATCAATTACAGCTAGATGCCAAAGATACTCGTCTGAAAAGGGAATTGGAAGCCAAAGATGCGCGCCTAAAAAGAGAGCTGGATGCCAAAGACAAAGAGCTAAATGCTAAAGAGGCTCAATTTCGAAAAGAGCTGGACGCTAAAGAGGCCCATCTCCAAAAGCAACTAGATACCAAGGAGCGGCAGCTTCAAGCTCAACTGAGTGCCAAGGACCAGCACCTACAGACGCAACTGAGTCAGGCTCAAAAAGCACACGAGGTAGAGGCAGAGCGAGCTAAGCAGAAGGCTGAAGCGGAAATCGCTGATTTGAAGGCGACTGCCAGCAGACTTGAAGTCGATTTGATGAAAGTAAGTGTTACGAAGCATGATGTGATTACCGGTTACAGATTGTTAACTGGCATTTTTAAAGGCCAATAAGACCAAGACGATTGAGCTACAGGCCCTTCGTACAGAGTATGCGGACGCTTTAGCAGAGCAGGAGTCTCAGCTAAAGAAGGCCAACGAGAAGAACGAAGAAGTAGAAAAAGAGCTAAAGGCGGTCAACGAGAAGCACAATGAGCTAGAAAAACAGCTGAAGACTGCCACCGAGAAGAACGAGGAGCTGGAAAAACAGCTGGAAGATGCAACGTCAGAAGCTAAGAAGCTGCGGCAGGAGGTTGCGGAGGTAAGACATGGCAGACTCAACGCTCAAAGGTTCATTACTGATGGATTTTTTCTAGGCAAAGTCAGCAAAGTCAGCCGTCAAGAATGCAGAGGAGGCCAAGGATGCCGTACAGTCCGAACTTGACGATCTCCTTATGGTATTTGGCGATCTAGAGGAGAAGCTGGCACAGTACAAGGTAAGTGATCTGGCGTGACATTGAAACTTAAGTCCACGTAAAACAGAATGATATGATGCTAATATAGAGTTCTACCAGACTCGTTTACGGGATCTCGGACAAGATGTGTCTGATGGTGAGGACGATGACGACGACGAGGACGGAGACGACGGTAGTGCCGACGAAGATGAGGGCGAAGAAGACCAGAAATAGCAACGCCGTCGACCAACTTAGAGCAATAAAGTAATTTTTCTTAGAGGTGTTAGGGCTATGCAGGCGCTATCTGTACCAACTTATTTGATATTGCGATTGATTGTAAAAATTGGTGTAAGGCGTTGGTTAAGAGCACTGCAGCGAGCGGTTTACGCGCTAATGCTAATCCTTTATAAGGCGCTGTTGAATGAAAATTATTGGAGTGGGACCTCCCATCGAATTCACCTCTTGCCTTTTACCAGATGTGACCGTGGGATTGGCCCAGCAGACTCCATTTCAATAATCTTTGGCATTACCTCATCTGGAAGTTCCAGGTTCGAACACTAGTTGGAGATTTTTTCTCACCATTTTTCTCTCTCTTTTTTTTTTTTCTCTTTTGCCGTATGCCTTTCAAAAACAATTCTTTTTTTTCTCCCTCCCAGTTCACTATAGGAATATGTCATCTAGAAGGGACAATTACCTTATTCTCAATCCCTGTTCGGCTGATATGCTCTCTTTGCAGTGAAATCTGCCCTGTCGGTACGCTCCATAGCGGAGCAAGATCTTTTTTGGCTCTACCTAGCGAGTACCAGAAGTGATTCTAGCATGGGGCATGGCGGGGCAATCTTCTGCATCTAGGGATACTTTTAGAAAACCTATCTTAAACTTAGCAGCTGCTCTTTTTAAAGTGACTTTCCTTAGCAAGAGAAAGTAACTAACAGGTAGCTGCATGGCGTGTTGTGCTAGTACCTTGATATCTGAGCAGGTACCAGCCAAGTAGAATCCAGCTACCCTACTCAGCGTTGGAAAAAAAAAGTCGTGGTGAGCCTCACACCTCTCACTAAGAAAGCGGGTGCAAGTAAATTCTTATTTTACGCACTTAATTTCCTTGAAAAAAAAAAAAGAAAAAGAAGAAAATCACATAGACAAAATGAGTGCGAGATCATCATCTTCTGGGGCCACCGATGTATCAGACGACGGAGAATGGCTCGACGTCGAGCCCGAAGAAGAGTCCACCACCATCGTCTCTCTCCTCGACTCTCAGACATTCTCCAGCTGGGCTGAGATGCTCAACCACTGCAAGCAGCGCTACGACTTCGATCTGATTGCCACCATCAAAAACCTCCAGCTAGACTTCCACGGCGCCGTCAAGCTCGTCAATTTCATTCGCAACCAGGTCCAGAAGCAACAGACCCTTCCCGGCACCCTGACGCTGGCAGACTTTGAAGACGACGGCTACTTCAAGCCCGTCCTCCAGAACGATGCCCTCATCATGTCCCTAGACGAGATCCTCGACAGCGACCTGGTCAAGGTCGATATTGCTCCCGGCCAGGCGGGCGCTTCTACTTCTCAAGACGAGCTGCTGGCGCAGAAACAGGCATTGGAAGCTGAGCTAGAAGCCGTCCGGACGCAATTCTCAAATTACCGAGTTGCCGTTGAAGAAACCCTGGATCGCCGCTGGGGAGAAGACGTGGAGCAGAATCTTCCCAAGGCCAAGACTGGTGCTGGCGAAGACCGCGGAAACTATTATTTTGAGTCTTATGGCTACAACGGTCAGTCAGAATGAGCGTCATGTCCTTAACTCTTGGAAAATCCTAATCTGCTTCAGATATCCACGAGACCATGTTGAAGGATACGGTCAGGACAGACGCCTACCGTGACTTCATTTACAACAACAAGCATCTCATCAAGGGCAAAGTCGTTCTCGACATTGGCTGTGGCACCGGTAAGAGAGCACGCCTATCGACTAACTGCATGTATCCATGATTTAACGCCCACATATAGGTATTCTGAGCATGTTCTGTGCTAAAGCTGGTGCGGCTCAGGTCATCGCTGTTGACAACGCAGACATCATCAAGAAGGCAGCGGAAAACATCTTTAACAATGGCCTCTCTGACATCATCACCTGCGTCAAAGGTGCCATTGAAGAGGTTAAGCTGCCTGTTGACCAAGTCGACATCATCGTCAGCGAGTGGATGGGCTACTGCTTGCTGTACGAGGCCATGCTTCCGAGCGTTCTCTACGCTAGAGATAAATATCTCAAGCCAGATGGCCTACTGGTTCCCAGCTCCGCCACCATCTGGGTAGCCCCCGTGCAAGATACAGAGTACATGTCAGAATTTGTGTCATTTTGGAGAGATGTCTATGGATTCGACATGAAAGCTATGCAAGAAGGCATCTATGATGACGTTAGGGTCGAGGCAATGCCCCAGGCCGCTCTCTGCGGAGAGCCCTACCCCTTTAAGACACTCGACCTCCACACTGTCAAGCCAGAAGAGCTGTCCTTCACAGCCAAGTGGCAGTCAAAACTGCTGCGGCCTCAGGATGGCCTGGACGGCTTCTTGATCTGGTTCGACAACTTCTTCGCCACTGCTCGCAGTGAGCCTATGCCAGAGCCTGAGGTGACCCCTGAGGTGTTTGTAAATGCGAAATCAGGCAATGTTGCATTTACAACGGGCCCATCCGGCACCGTGACCCATTGGAAGCAAGGCCTGCTTATGGTGCCGCCGGAGAACCCTCCTTCGACACTGCCAAGTGCCATCTCTGGCCAAATTACTTTTGCAGCTCTCGAGGAGAACGCTAGAGCACTGAAGATTGACGTCACATGCAGTCATGAAGGCCAATCTACAGGAAGTCGAGCAGAGAAGAAATGGTCCTGGAAGTTGGCGTAGAGGTAGAAGTAGAGGTAGTTTATGAGTAGTGAATGGGCAGAAATTTTTGTCATCGGCTAGCGATTGCAGCTTCTAATAGTGAGGCACTTTTAGAGCCTGTAGCCATAGATTCACAATGCTCAGGAACCCTTCTCCCAAGATGAAGCCCTACACATAAAGTCAGCAAGCGTATTACTTTCTACTGTAGCTGAAAACCTTACCGATGCAATGATGATGAGCGGCGTGGTCGACCGTTTTCGTAAGCTCAACCAGTACCAGCTGAAAATGCCTCCAATGGCTCGAGCCAAGGTAAATGAGGGCACGTTATACATGCCTGAGTATGCGAGTTAGAGCAAGTTGACTCAAAATCACATAGGAATAGATAAATACTCACCGACTGCAACGGCAATGCCACCGGGGATCAGCGAACGCCATCGCTTCCCAACAGACAAAGTTCGCGCCAGCGTAGTGACAGCAAATAGAACGCCGGCTCCTGTGGCCCATTCTTTGGCCATGTATGGCAGGCCTTGTCCGGTTACAAGCCTGGCGGTGAATATCCAGACGTAGGCTGTTGGAACTTGGAAAAGTTTGCCGGGGATCTCGTACACTCTGTTGCCAAAAGAATTATCATCATTTAGTCAATACTTTAGAGTAATGGACTTGTCAGGGGTACTTACGCCGTGTAGATACGATACGCAAAAGCACTAAACAGCGCACCACACGTAGCACCTATAATCTGTCCCCAAAACTGCGCCTTGGGGGCAGCTCCGAGCAGGTGACCTGTCTTGAGATCTTGCATCAAGTCTCCAGCCTGCAATGCACCCTACCGAGATATTAGGAGAAGGTACTCAAGGGTGTATACATGCGCATATATATATATAGAGAGAGAGAGGGAGAGAAAGCTTGGAGATTTAGCTTACAGCTTCAGACTAAATACGGTTATAATTGTTAGTGGGCTATATATAACACAATGAGGGTCATAGGAGAAGATAGTGGACGTACGATGGCGCCTGCGACCAAGTTGATGAGAACACTAGATTTGTGAGATTGTGGGATAATCAGAGCAAAGAAGAGCTGCGCAAGTTTGCTTATGCCGGAAACGGGGTTGAGATCAGTCTCTCCGAGGGCCCTGACGCCCATGATGCTCAGGACCAGAGCCATGAGGACAGCAGTAACAACCGCGTAAAGGGGCACCAGGTCGCCAAACACAATGCGCGTTGTAAGAATACAGAGCAAGACGGATGCGAGAAGACCCCATGTGACAATTCGAGTGCTGACTTGCTGCTCTGCTGGGGTGTCATCCAGACCGACATTTTCATCGTTCGAGGCGATGGAAGCATCGTCATCATCGAGGGTTGCTGGTTCGTCTTGGTCTTCCTCTCCGTGGGGGATTGGAGAGTATTGATGGCTTCTCTCGAACAGAGCGGCGATCCTAGAACGTTGCGACCATTCTCGCAATGTAGTAAAGGCTCTCGTAGCGTGGTTTGCGAAAAGGGGCCGAAGGGCAACGTAAGCCAGACTTACGACGGCATCGACGAGCATAATGGCCAGAGACACCCAAACAATCCAGCCTTTGCTGCCATTTTCCCAATCGTCCACTGGTCCAGGAGCCCAGCCCTTCTTCTTGGCCAAGGGACTCAGGATACCCCAGCCGACAACTGCGCCGAGCGTCATGTGCAACGTTGTCTCGGTCCCCATGATAATGCCCTGTCCCACGTATGCGAGACTTGGGTTCAAGGTCCAAAGCCAAGTGGACGCCGCAACAGTGCCGAAGATGGGGAGGTCTCTCAGGATCGGCAAGAAGTAGTTGCAAATGGTGAAGATGCCGGACACTAGGAAACTGACTAGCAGGAGCTTCATGTTGTATGCCCAGTCCACGTCCTTTGACGCCGCCTCTGGCTCCTCGTCTGCCACGTTGGAACTGGTCTCATCGACTAATAGAGGGTCATCATCACTATCTGCAAGACTGGCAAATCCACCCTTGGCGGCGGCATCAAGTTCCTGGGCAGAAGAGCTTTGGCCTCGGCCGTGGAGGACGCGAATGAGCACGGCGGTGCTAAAGCCGCTAGGAAACCTGAGTCGTTCTCTAATGATAACTTGGTGGCGCCTAATATCATACACACACGAGCTCGTCTCAGCGAATCTGCAACTTCACTTGCATTTGAGGCACCAATAAATACACTTACAGGGGAACGGCAAAGACGACTCCAAAGTAACAGAGGCCGATGGACCAGACAATGAGCTGCCACATGCTCAGTGACAAGGGGCCCTGCTCATCGGCGCCTAGCAAGTAGTTCATTGCCGGAATCTATACAGCAATCAGGACGATGAACCCAAGGATCAGGAGGACTGGTGACGGCCTACGACACCGACAAAGCCGCAGCCCAGAGGCATGATGGCCATGCCCCCGGCAACGCTCTGCACCAGGACATTCTCAACCGGGGTGAAGGGGAATTGCAGGTGCGGCTTCAGCAGCTGGAAGATGGCAAAGCCCATCAAGCTGGACGGCATCGACATGATGGACACCCAGCCCGTCTGCAGGCCGAAATACATGTTGGCAGAGCATATCACGGTGCCGACGCCCAGGCCAGCAGCGACACCGCGCACGGTGAAGCTGCGGCCCTGGGGGGATGGAGAGGCCATGGATTATTGCGCGTGCCGTCCCTGCGATACTGGAAGCATTTGGGGCTGTTCGAGGATTAGTTTAGTGAGTCGGCAGAGAGTTTTTCTGGGAGCTTGGCGAGGGCTTCAATGCTATTTTCTCTCTCTGTTTCCTTCTCCAGGTAAGCTGGGTGAGATGAAAGGGAGTTGAGCTTATAAGAGACATGGAGAGAAGCTGCGGCGCGCTTAGTGGCTGCAGACAGGTATTAGTAATTCGAGCGGGTGCACTAGCGTGATTTTAGTGGCGTCCAGCCCCGGAATGGTGGGATTCGCCGAGATCTATTGCTATTCAAGGCCTAAGCTCTATTACACCATACCTAAACACATGGACTGTACAGACAACTTGGTGTAAAGCAGTGCAATGATGCGATACGGGACGTAATTTAAACCTGCATCACGGTTATATGATCCTCGGGATATGTGGAAGTAGCTCCAGGTCTATTGGGATTTCTTCGCTTGGTCCTGATCCTGGTCCTCTTCTATCATCTTGAGATATGGGACAGACGTCAACAGCCTCGGCCAGACGAGGGCGTATTTGTCGCCGCGTCCTGCAAGGCAATGCCGTAGCCAAGTGCCCCAAGTGATGTAATAATAAGCTAAAAAAAAAAAAAAAAGAACTCATCAGTCATAAGCTCAGTGATGTTTAACATGGAATATACTCAGGGGCAGGAAACCATCATTCATTCAACATAAACATAAAGGTGAGTGAGGAAAACAGAAGCAATCTAGAATGTTCATACCTCCTAATGAACAAAGTCAAGTCAGCTTCGCATTCAATCAACGTCATCACATCACCACAATTCACAATGAGAGGAAGCTGCTGTTCAACTTACCGAGCCCGGTCATGAGGTGCCACCAGGCGTGGCCCTCGAGAAGAATGGCCCAGGGGAGGCCAACCGCATGTCTCCATCGTCGCACTTGGGAGCAGAAAAAATTATCGAGATTCCAGATTAAGAACCCGCCAACGAAAACCGCCAGTCCTGTCGCGGGTGATTAGCCGCCTGCACTTGAACCCTGTAGCCTCGCCTTGCTCTTCAGGATGACACACCAGTAGCTACCATGGCCCACATCGTATTCAGCAGCTTCGAGGCCCGTTTTGGGTCTTGCGCGTGCAAGACCGGTCGTACTTGTGACTCCATCACCCAGATACTCCGAAAAACGACGGTAGCCGTCAGAGCAGCGTAGGCTACCTGATGGAAGATGGGGTCCTTGGTAAGGTAGTAATAGAGCTACTCTTATCTCAGCGCGTGGCTCACAGAGAATGAAATCTTCAATGCCTCATATGACGTATATGCGTGTGAGCAAAAGTAGCATGCTACTTACTGTGATTGATCCAGCAAGCGAAAGTAGCCCAGCCCCTAAGATAACCGAAAAGACTTGTGAGCGTGAGTAAGAAAAACTAGCATGCATCATCAAGCAAGTAGTATAAATCATGGATAATTCATCGACCAATTGCATGGGATCTTGAGCTCTGGCTGTCAGCTCGCTTCATCACGGATGGTAAGTACCTTAGAGGGAGATGCATACACTTTAATGTCGCATGAAAAAGGATGGAGCCTAGGCCCACGACCATATACCCGATATAAGAAATCAAGAATATTGACGGATGGTCCTCCTTCATACAGTTTCTAATGCCTCTAATTCCAAGCCACATGAAAAGGCCATTTGTGAGTGTCTACCATCGTGTTAAAAAAGAGAGACGACCCAATCGGGGTTTATAAGCAGGCGGTACTAACATTACAGAGCTCAGCACAATACCACGATAGCGCATAGTCCTTTGGAGAAAGAAACATAGAATTAGTGCTTGACACTGATATAAATCTTCCAATCTGCAGGAATCGTTCAAAAACTCAGGATTCACAGTCAAATTTGCCCACCTCTTCGCAAAAGTTCAGTGTTGACGTCTGCTCGCCCCAGAATCCATGGCCAGGGCTGGCGACTGGATATGGAAGCGAGATGGCCGAACGCAGAGCAGATAAGGCCATTGATGGTTGACGTGGGCGATAATAAGCTGAATATTCAAAATGTTTATTTGTTTATATAAAATCAAAGTAGAATATCGGGAGAAGAGAATATGTTTGGAAGAAAATGAACTCATGAGGCGGAGAGCTGGCGTATACTCTTCCGCGCTACCCGTGCTCTCTTGGATCACCAGCGGGGCAGGCTAACAGCAGCTACAGCGATCTCTTGAAGCTGAGCTGTTTAAGCGTCCAGGTAATCGGCAGTTGACCTCTACAACACGAAACTCTAAATGGTATCGACAAAATGAAAGGAAATAACAGATAGCATTAGTATTTAGAGAACGCGTCATGTTCTATGAAATGTCGCTCAACTACAGCAGCCTACTAGTACTATTATATTCAACATTGTAACCGCCATGCGAAAAAGTAACTCGTAGAAACCAATAAACAGTGCATAAGCGACAAATTCCTGAGCGCCAAGTTTGTTGGCTTTGGGCGCCTGGGCATCAAACGGCACGGCAGATGCCCCAGACCCAGTGTTTTGGCGCCCGTACTTGGGCCTAGAGCCTCGCCAACCCGAACATTTGTCGCGCCCGCTACCTACCAGTGACATGGTTTTCCATTGATGTATGCCGCAGTCCTTGATTACAGGTATGAGCAAATGTCACCTATAATATCTCGCCCCGAGTAAGTCACTGTCATTGATGCACAATCAATACAAAATAAAAAAAAGGCTCACATGGATCTTTTCGCAGTGGCATCTGTGCAGTCTCAATACGGCGACGGCGCTGCGCCGGATAGCCTTCGCGCATCTCCCAGTCGCGGTCCTCCAGCCAAGGAGCCGTATTATTCGAATCGAGGTAGAGCTGTCCGTCAGTTTTTCGTTCGTTTCCTCGAACTAATAACTTAGATATTACGATATTACACGCTGTCATTACGGCGGCTCAAGAACAGCTCGATCACGCTCCGGGCCCGAAACCACTACCCGCTGCTGCATTATTCAAAGCGTATGACGAAGTTCTCCCCGAGCATGGCGTCGATCCAGATACAGACCAGCATCTCTCAGCCCTCGTGTTCAGAGTGGGCGGCGAGCAAGGGGGCGGCAGCTTGTTAGAAAAATTTCAATCAATACTTGGCCAGATCGGCATCGTTCTCGAATTCAGCGACGACTCTATCACTACTCCGCAAGATTATCACCAACATCCGCTATCCCCAGAACCAATCGATACCGGTCACTGGGATCCCGATGATCTTCCCATTCAGGAGGATGATGCGCCCGTTCGAACGAGGCGTCGGACATACAGCGCTGGCTCCCTAGACTACGACCCCAAGTTTCAAAAGATTCGCGCTGAAGCACCAGGCTATAAGAAAAGAAACCAAACAAAAGATGATCTCGCCCTCATGGAAGCCGATGCGTATCCCTCTGTGCCGCTCTCGACAACTGCGACACGGCATCTCAATCATTATCATCAATATCCAAGCCCGCTTTTTGACCACCTGCATGTTGACTTCCGTGCCGTTGATGATGGCATCCTTTACGATGATGTCAAAGCACACGCCTTGCCTCCACGAACCGATATTTCTCGCAGTTCTTCAAAGCATAAATCACAGCAAACTACTCTTCCTTTGAGAGTAGAGTCTCCTCGACCTATGAACGATCGGGATCACAAGCAAACCGGCCATACCAGAGATAACGGGAAGATTAAACAGTCGCCTGGATTGCAAGCCAAAGGCAATTTACCAACTGGGGTGGATCGAGATGCTAGCAAAACTGATGCCTTAGACGTATTGGCGTCTCCCGTCTATATACCTAAAGATGGCGGATTGGCGTCGCATTTAGTACAGGACGAGCTACCACTGCCATTTCCATCCCAGAACGAAAATACACTGTCGAAACAACAGCAAGCGCTACTGCTTACGAGAGCAACCCGCGCTCGCGAGATATATCTAGCGAGCAAAGTGTTCAACCACTGGGCAGACCGGACTGCAGCGCGGCTTGAGCGGGAAGGCGTAGCTAGAAGACATATGATTCGCTTTCGCTGTTTCCAAGGCTGGAGCCGTGCGCCAAGTTTACAGCTTCCAATCATCGACCACTTAAAGGCCCTTACGGCGGTTCAGAAATTGCAAAGAGCTGTATCGTACCAAGAAGAGCAGCTCCGTCTCGCAGCATCGGCCATATCTCAAAAATATCGGGCTAGAACGGCGTCTCGCGTCTATGACCAATGGTGCTCTCACCTCATATCTCTCGTCTACCGCCAGAAAGTAGATAGGAGACTAAAACAAGGCGCCTTGGTGGCATGGAAATCAAGCACTTCCAGCAACACCATCAAGAGCCAAGCTATTCGTAAGTTTAATAAACACGAGGGCGTTGCTACCACATTGTCAAAACTACAAGACCAAGTGCTCTTACATGATCATCAATTTCAAGCAGCGCGCCAAATCGGCTCACTTAGGCTGCTGTTTGGTTCTCTTGACAAATGTGAGCATCAGATCCACGTGAAAGCGCGATCATCAGCCTACAAGGCCAAGTTATCCACCGCAGCTGTCATTCATACATTCCACAACTGGAACTTATCAGTACGAGTGCAAGCGTTCCGGTGGAGAGCGGATTATATGTCTGTCACGCGAACCCTCGATGGCTGGCGAAGGCATTACGTGCAAGACGAATGGAGGCGAAATGTGTCTGCGAATCGTGTTAAATCATACCGCGCATCAAATCTTTTCCGCACTCTGCAACGGTCGAGTGACGCTGATGTGCAGTTATCGGTCATGGGCAATCGTGCCAGGCTATTCCTTGTCACAACACGGACATTACCTATCATGGACGCTGCTGTGGAGGCACGAAGACTCCAGATGAAAGATATGGTTCGACAGTACTTGATGATGAGATACACGGAAGTCTCTTCCGCTAGGAAAAAGCGAAAATTCTACGAGGTATTCGATCACTGGCGAGCAGTGGCAACTGAAGCGGCTTCTGAAAGCGATTTTGCTGCTCTTTATAATACAAAATACTATTACGGTCAACTTGATATCGCTTTGGAAAAGTGGAAGAAGCAGACAGAAGATGACGTGCAGCTTCAGCTTGCCACCTACCAACATTACACGCAGGCCGTGTTGGCGGCTTGGAGTGATGTCGCCAAAGAGCATAATCAGGCGGATATGCAGTCGCTGGAACTGTGGGCTGCTCGCAGGCAGCGGCAGTACCTCAAAGCATGGTCCATATCATCATTACAACGAAGCGGACAGGCACATACCGCGACCAAGGTACAGCAAAAGAAATACAGCGAAAAACGAAACCGCACATTTCATTATTGGAAAGAGGCTTGCATGGGCCCGGAATTTGATAGTGCAGAGCAAGATCTACGATTTACGCCGAACCGTGAACCGGCTAGTGGCCGTCGCAGCGCTTGGCGGGCACTCTCTGTTCGCCGTCATCTGTTGGTGGAAAGGCACAACAAACCAGATGCTGCAGCCAGGCCAATGGAAACGCCGACGCGGTCGACTGGTGTGCCGTTGAATATGTCCTTCCCCTTGTCTGCGAAGCCAATCCTTGCATGGCGGGGGACGGACGAAGAATCGACTGCATCCAGCGATACTGATGACATTGGAATGGTGAAATCCCCAAGTAAAACCCCTGCGACTGCGCGGCGCGGCATATTGTCATCTACGACTCCTCGAGCGCCCGTGCCCGTGCATTTGAACATCAAAGCTACGCGGTCAGAGATTTTTACTTCTCCTCATCGCTGGAGCACTGGTGACGTTGTAAGAAATGCAAAGCCGGGTCTATCACAGAATGTCTCGAACGCACCCCAGCCAACTTCAAGGCCCAACTTGAGTAGATCTGTTGCCTCTTTTGGGCGTTCTGTCCATACACCAGCCAAACCTCCTGGGCGCTTAGTAGCAAGCGCCAAACCATCCAAGAAGGCCGGGTCACTACTTCCAGCTGCAGTTGAATAACTTACGTGAATGACTACGGGGCGGGCTGCAAATGTCGTGAAATTAAAAGGCTTGATGAAGCAATGCCTGAGGAAGCATTTATTTATATATATTAGCGAGAACACCTCTAGCGATCTAATGATATACCTGGATAGTTATGATTTCAAAACCCCTACAGCCTCTAAAAACCTATGAGTAAAGCCGGCATTAGAATACCTAATTCTTGTCCTACAGACTTATAAAGAGAAATCGGTAAGTAGTATGCACGTTTAGGCTGTCATAGGCGGGTGTCCCGTCCCAAGTATGGGTGAGTGAAACAAAACAGCTCACTTGATATCGTGGGTGAAAAAGAGCAAAAGTATTTCTTTTCAAAAAGGTTCTTGATTGTATCAACATTGATTTAATTGTGCCGAATAAAAGTGAGCCGATGTTTCCTAAACTCTTTTTATTTTGGGTTAGAAAGTCAGATTATCTAAGTGGGCTATGAAATTCCAGTGCTTTAAATAGCTTAAAAATTATCCCTGCTGCAGCATTAATTACTAACGCGTCCTATCACTTGAGACGCGATTTGCGCTCTGCTACATGTGCCAAGCAGGACGCTTTCTTGCTATCTTACGCCGATATTATCTATTCGCTTGCTCCATTGAACTCCGGCTTACGGTCGACGTCTTCTATTATGCAGCCTTAAAAGACTGCTGATCAAACACAAACAAAAAAAGGGCGCCTCAAGTGACTTCCATCTCCCTGGAGAGCTGCCTCCGCTACGTCATGGAGCTGCTTCAACGAATCCGTAACATGTGGCAGTTCGCCAACTTGTGTCAATGGATATATATATTTGGAGATGCTATCGCGATTAACACATCTATTGACGTCGAGGTAAGTGGAAGTTCTTTCTCTGCTATGCCTTCCTCATAGCTGTATGCTGATGCAACGACAGTATATTGAGGCGGAATGTCTCAAGCCTAGTTCACCAGGCCTCGACGATATTGCTTTGGCGCTCTTGAAAACGGTCACTTCACATCGCGGTCTTACGTATGCATATATACTCTCGCATTCTTCCTCTCCGAAGCCAATGTCCGACGGCTAACCACTAAACAAAAGCCACGAAGCGTTCGACAACCAAGCTCGAATGCAGTACGTTTTGAGGTCGCCAGAATCAAATCCATTTGGCGACGAAGATGCCCCCAAGAGCTTTTCTGACCTCGATATATTCACCAAAGTAAGCACTACAGTTGAGCTGTATCTCCCAAGCATTCGCTAACGGCGGCCGTTATATGGTAGATCAAAGTGATGCAACAGTTCACCCAGTGGATCATGGCCCGGCCGGAGCTCCTCCGAGAGAAAATGAAGGAACAAAAAGATACAGAGCAAACATCATGGGTGCGCACCGCTTCCTTTGTGCTTTTGACGCTGTCTAATTTTGCTTGTAGCGAATCGAGCCATATGGGTGGGACAGAGACGATCGCATCTATTATGTCCTTGATGACAATCGGGTATATCGACTATCAGAAGCCCCCCCGAGCTCTAAACCTCCAAAGCCTAAGCCGAGCCGTGGGTCTCGACGGCCAGGCAAAAGGCGACGCGTATCCGAATCGATCGATGATGCTGCTTCCTCCTTCGAAGACTCGACGACGAAAGATGGCGCGGAAGCCGAATTGGAATATAGTTTTCTCGGAGGCATGGTTTGGGAGTGTATTGCCGTCACGCTTGCGGAAGTCCAGAACCTCGTCGATAGTATGGCCTCATCCCGAGACGAAAACGAAAAAATACTTCGACGACAGCTCCGAGACCATCTTCTGCCTATTCTAGAGAAACAGGAAGAGGACAGAATTCGCAGAGAGCTGAAACGCGAAAAGGAGTTGCAGACACTTGCCAAGATGGCCAATGCCAAACGGTCAAGCAGAATTGCCTTGAAGGCAGAGCAGCGACAGAAAGAAGAGCAGGAGAAAGTAGAGACCGAACAGCTCCGTGAGGCAGAAGCAGTTCAGCGCCGCGAGGAACAAAAACAGGAGAAGATCCAAAGAGGGCTTGAAATGAGGCTTGCATCTAGAGAGGAACGTTTGAAAAAAAGAGAAGAACGTCGCACCACTCACGACGAAGACGACACACAAGTGCCTGCAGGCGAAGGCGACGATACCGTAGTAGCAGCTAGAAGGTCTCTCCCCCATCAAATCAAAGCCAGAGAAGGCTCTGAAGGCGTCAAATTGGCGCAGGACGAAGAGGAGGGCTGGGTATTTGACTGCTCGTGCGGCTTGTATGGGCAAGTGGATGACGGCAGTCACAGCGTCGCATGCGAGAGCTGCAATGTGTGGCAGCACAGCAAATGCTTGGGGATCAGCGAAGCTGCTGCCGATCACCCCGACTTCCATTTTATCTGCGCCTCATGTCGTCAGAAAAGAGATGCCATTGCAGCGCCAGAAAACCCCCCAATGGCCGAACCTACACTTGGATCCGAACCAGACCTTCGACCTGAAACTACACTCAAATCTGAGCCTGCACTGGCATCTGAGCCTACACTGGCATCTGAGCCTGCACTGGCATCTGGACCTGCACTGGCATCTGGACCTGGACCTACACCTAAATCTGAGTCTAGACCTGCACCCGAACCTAAACTCGAAAATAACGTTGGGCAAAATACTGCTTCTACCGCTCCTACTGTTTCTACCGTTGCTGCTGCTGCTGCTGCTGCTGTTGCTCCTACCACCATTCCTACCACTACTCCCATTATCTAAATGGCGAGCTATGCAAGGCCGAAACAGATGATCACATTTGAGCATCGCTAAAGAAGCTTCATATCAATAGTTGCGGGGGCCATCTGTTAAAGCTTTGTTCGCATTTTATAAACAACCACGGAGGGATCTTAAGACGGCACAACGCTATTTCTCTCGCCACGCACACGAGTACATCAGCTGCTAATGCCTCTCTCTCACTAGCCCCAACAGATGGAGTCCCTCCGTTTGAGAATTGCTACCTTTCAGAAAAGATTTCTGTTGATTTCACAAAGCAGCTTATCACCTGATAAACCTTACCCGAAAGAACTGGCTGACGACTGTCTCAAGGCTACAATGCTCTCAAACCATTGTTGATATCGCTGGTCAAGTGCCTACAAGTAAAATACTCGTCAAGATAATTTTAGAGATATCTGTCCGTTTGCAATAGTTGATATCACAACAGCCGCTCAAAGGAAGCAACTGGCTCAGCTGAGGCTGCTTCTCCGAGCTGCTTCTCCGAAATGCTTCTCCGACTTTTAGCAGGCCTGTTGGACATCCACTTGACACAAAGACATTATTTGAAATTGGAGCCTTCCAGTAACGGACCCATCTCGCTGGATAGCGGCTAGCAGCTATCAATGTTTAGGTACTGCTTCCATGTCATGCATACAAGATTATTGCTAGCGGCCGCATCTGTCAATTTAACATACCATACCTCAGCGAGTCCCATCTGTATTGGAAAAGATGATGTTGAGTGTTTCTCAACTCACAGTATAATTGCATTCATCTAGCAACCCTTCAAGCCACAGCTAGCTCTAGTCAATAGCAAAAATATATACATTATTTGTCAAAAATCAGCCTTCCAAATATCAGAAGCGTACAGTAAATGCGGACGTTGCTTTCAGCGTGAGGTCCTCGAGCCGATAAGACGTGTCCGAGCAACCCCACGATGTGCACAACCAACAGTTATCTATCAACGCGCATTTCAGCTGCTTCGAGCACTTAAACTTGGCTCGGCACATGTCATATGGCCATCCTATGTACCGTCCTTCTCCTCTCCATAATCCGTACCTGACGTTGTGCGTCCTTGCGTTCTCAGGCTATCTCTTTTCGGCGTCCGCGACAGATTCAAAGGCCCGTGATGCATGGCGCTGCGGTGCACGGAGTGGCCCATGACGAAGGAAATTAATGCCAATTGGACTTGAAGTACCGCATGCGGCAGAAGCTTTGATAATTACTGCTTGATTTGTTTGTGTCCTTGTAAGTCATGCGTTTGGAACGATATCGTAGGGCATGGAGCGAATATGTATAAGGGCAGCCCGTCAAAGGATGCTGTTCCGAGACAAAGACAACAATTCTTCCCTTTCTGGTTCATAAAGAAGAGTCGTCGCCTCATCGCATATATTCCTTCTGTTATCATTACAATAGAAGACTGAAGATATTCTCATACGCCTCAGTACTCCTCATACACCCTCGGTGCCTATTGTTCTCAAAGCTCTCTCTCACAGCATCCTCTTGCACCAAGCATTCAACAAGTTCAGACTTGGGACATCCGGAGTCTCTACTTCATATTTTCAACATCAACATATTATCCTCTCAACAGCATCCCTAATGGAGCGCAAACGTACTGTGATTCAGGGGAACACAGACTTCAGCTTGTCTGGCCATCCCTACTCGACCCAGGTTCTCTTGCCAGTAAGCTCAGCCAATACATGTAGCGAGTTTTCTCCAAAGATACTGACTTCTCCCAGTCATCTCACGCACAGCGACGTGCAATGCCTAGTACTCACTACAACATGATGGTAAGAAACCGATGCAATGCTACTTAGCTAGAACATTGCTCATGATACCTGAAAGAAACACTCGCTGACAATCATTGCTAGGCCAACTCGCCGTATATGTCTGAAAGCTCAGTGTATGACTTTCCTAGCATGGGAGATTCTTTCCATGCTCAACCGGCAAACAGGAGTTTGAAAGTATCCGATTCTTCTGAGGAAGAGGCGTACCGTCCGACCAAGGCACGAAAAGCCGCAAGAAAGACGAAAACTCCAAAGCACAGAGAGCATCATCCCACGTTCCTCGGCAAAGTTCTTTCCGACATTTCATCCATGCCTCCTTCCGTCGTGCTCAAGAATGCTGAATTGTTCGCCACTCGCGCGACAGAGGTACGGCTAGCCGAAGCTGACAAGGCCGGCAAGATCAAGCGCCCTCTCAATGCATTCATGCTATACCGCAAGTTCTATCAAGACGTTGCTAAGAAATGCTGCACTAAGAACAACCATCAACAAGTTTCGACAATTTGTGGAGCATCTTGGAAACGTGAGCCGAAACATCTCACGACCGAGTTTGCCCGCCTCGCCTCAGAGGAGAGGAGAATGCACGTGGAGGCCTTTCCCTCATACAAATATGATCCTCTTCACTCAAAGAAGAAGGATGATAAAGATTCGCTGCTGCCTTTACCGCTGGACAAGGACGGGTTCGAACACAGCAGCGGTCGGGAACTGCCTGAGGAGAAGAAACTAAAGCGAACAAGAAAGGAAGTACCTGAATACCATGAGCCCTTGCACCTGGGCAGTGGGCTATACCCACCAATCGTTGAGCAACAGCAGGTCTTCATGAGGCCCGTTGCCACGCAAGCTTACTGGGCCCCTCAGCCTGTGCAAGTTGCCCCCTACTATGAGGAGCGCACATATCAGGTGGATGCTGGCTCGTTCCAACCGTACCAGGCATGGCACAGTGATGACTACTTCACTGGTGGAAATCCACAGCTTCTCGTGAACGGTCTGCATGGAGCCACAATGGAGCGTGGGTTGAGTGCCCAGGAGGCCTGCATCGACCCTATACTTCTTCCCTGTTCGCCCGGCTCGAGATACGATCTACCAAACGGTGGATCAGCCCAAGAGCAGTGGAATCATGGAGGACATGCCGAGGCATCACACACTGACGCAGTGATTCCTGGAGTGAATGTACGTTCCTATGATGCATATCTCAAAGGAACTGACAGCGACTGGAAAGTTGAACATTTGGAGGAGCCAAGTCATTTTGATGACTGGATGTCTCAAATTGAGGGGGGGTTGTAAAGAAGGGGGCAAAGAGGGAATAGAAAAATCATTCGGGTTGGAAAGATGGCGTTTCTTTTTTTTCTTTTTGTAAACGTATGTTTTGTACAAGTATGGAGGGCAATTGGCGTTGGAACATGCATTAGCTACTTAGAGTGTACTTTTAGTGTATTTCTTCAACTGTTATAAATAGAATCGAATACCATATATGCAATCACATTTTCAAGCTCATCAGCGGCAGTACCGAGTCACATGACCTTTTGAGAAAATGTATATTGTTAGAGATGAAGAGACTGAACAACGAAGAGAATCAATAGAGGCGAGGCCAACAGTTGGATCACCATGCCGTAATTATTTGCTCGTATAGTGAGGTGCAGGTTATGTTCAATATCTAGAGTCGGTTCTCAGGCCTTACTCAGTATTACCTAGACACCAGCGCTAGCATAATTCCATAGCAGATCAGGCTAATAATATCTGCTGCAGAAGTACCTCTTCGTACCAGTATTGTCTCTAGTAGTACTCTGATGGATTCTTGGCCATTTGAAAAGGGAGGCAGAAGAGAGATGGGTTTAGAATCGACATGGACAAGCTCAATCTGCCCGGAAATCATACAGCAATTTATTGGCATTGCTGGCAAATTTAGAGTGTATACTCCTTAAATGGGTACATATGTAAAGTGACTAAGCGAGCACCCGTAACGCCTAATAAGCGCCCGAAGCCCGGGCGGTTGTCACTGGATCAGGCCTAGAAACTCAGCAAGGTGGATCCCTAATCATAACCGTACAGAGCTGGAACCTGGCTACGGGGGGCTTCTCCGTATTCTTTAACTCACTATCGCTGCCGCAGCCACAGAGTATGGAGTATAGTCGCTAGCACAGCTTAGTAGGGACTGGCTCGGTTTTCGTCACTCACTACAAGCCCTCCTCTCTCCAGCCCGAAACCTTGACTCCACGCAACAGGTGCATTCCACCGCGTCGGATTAATACCCGCATTTCGAGCGTCGAGCTGCGTTTAACGGAACCAACAAAGGCGAAATGGGCTTCTTGGGGATCTACCGGGCCATCTACGACTACACGCCCAAGGAGGATGCCGAGCTCGCCATCACGACGGGCGACCTGCTGTATATCCTCGAGCAGAACGACGACGACGGCTGGTGGAAGGCCAAGAAGAAGGCCGGCACCGACGACGAAGATGAGCCCTCCGGCTTGGTTCCAAACAACTACGTTGAAAAGGTAGAGTCCATCCTCATTGCAGGCGCTTTGCATCTCCCGAGCTCCCGGCCTCCGTCTCGACCCTTTACGTCAGCCTCCTGGAGCATCTGCGAGGCTGCTCGGCCGACGGCTGCAAATGTGCGACGCCAAATCGGATTGCGTACGATAGGCTAACGTTCGTGTCCATCAACCAGGCAGAGACAGTAGGCCACGCGCGTGCCATTTACGAATATACCCGCCAAACCGACGAAGAGCTCTCGTTCCCCGAAGATGCCGTGCTAGAAGTCTTCGACACCAACGACGAGGACTGGATCCTTGCCGGTCTGGATGGCGAGTATGGCTTTGTCCCAGCCAATTACATCGAGGTGCAAGCTGCCGCTTCTGAAGCTGCAGCCGCGCCAGCGCCGCCAGCAGCTCCGGTACTGCCAAGACGGCCGCCCTCCCAAACCATTGCTGCTCCTCCTGAAGAGGATTCAACGCCGTCTGACGAGGCACCAGTTGCCAACCCGGCAGCCGCTCTCGCCAGTGTCATCCAAAACCGGCAATCTGTCAGGGAGCCTCCGACTTTACGTTTCAAAGAACCAGAGGTATCAGATGAAGAGTCTATCAAGTCTCCTGCATTGCCCACGCGACCGCGACCGCAGTCTCAAGCATATTCGCCCCCCGCAGAGTATACGCCCAGACCTCAGCGAGAGTCACAGATTGAAGCTCAGCCCAAAGGGCACCTTATTCCTGGTGGATTCCATTTATACAATATCAACGAGATGGTGTCAGTCATGGGCAAGAAGAAGAAGATGCCAACAACTCTTGGCATCAATCTTTTGACGGGTACCATCTTGATCGCACCCGAGAAGGCTCAGGACGATCCTCCCCAAGAATGGACTGCCGAGAAGATGACTCATTACTCTCGCGAGGGGAAACACGTCTTCATGGAGCTTGTTCGCCCCAGCAAGAGCATCGATTTCCATGCCGGAGCTAAAGACACCGCAGAAGAAATTGTGGCTTCTCTTGGAGAGCTTGCAGGCGCTGCTCGAGCAGAGGGATTGAGAGAAGTAATCGCGGCTGGCTCTCAAAAGCGACAGAGAAAGGGAACGGTTCTCTATGACTTTATGGCGCAGGGCGAAGACGAAGTTACCGTTGCTGCGGGCGACGAGGTGGCTATTATTGACGACACAAGGAGCGAGGACTGGTGGCAAGTTCGCCGCCTCAGAAACGGCAAGGAAGGCGTTGTGCCTAGTAGCTACGTCGAATTCTCAGGTACCATTACGCCGCCACCCGAGGGTCAAGCAGTATCAAGAGCCAAGTCAACCGTGGAACAGAACCGCATGGAGGAGATGAGACTCACTAAAGAAGCAATGAAGGCTAGCAAGGAGCCTCAGCAGGTAGGCCTAGATATGCGTTTGCCTAAACGAGGCAGCAGCCTCATAACTCCGGACAATGGTAACGTTTTGGGACAACAGCGGAATCGACGCGAGAATGGACGTACCGATAGTGGCAGCAATTCGGCGAGCAAAACAAGTGAGTTCTCTCTCCTTCCGCGAATGTAGTCTCGCTACGCAGGCCAAAAGATGTCGTGCAACTGACACTCAAGTTGTAGAACCCGACCCAACCAAGGTGCGGACATGGACGGATCGATCAAAGTCATTCAGCGTCGAAGCGCAGTTTCTTGGACTCAAAGATGGCAAGCTACACCTCCACAAGATGAATGGCGTGAAAATTGCTGTACCCATCGCAAAAATGTCGCACGGAGACCTCGAATATGTCGAGAACATCACCGGAATCTCTTTGGATGACGAGAGACCGCTGGCCGACGTCAAGCGATCGTCGAGACCCCCGGAGCAAAAGAAGGCTTCTGCCGTTGGAGCATCCATTGACAAGAAGCCAGAGTATGACTGGTTCCAGTTTTTCTTGTCTTGCGACGTGGCTGTTGGCCTTTGTGAACGCTATGCTCAGGCATTCACGAGAGACTCGATGGATGAGAGCGTGCTGCCAGATGTCGATGCCGGTGTTCTACGGAATCTAGGACTACGAGAGGGAGACATCATCAAAGTAATGCGTACTCTAGACACCAAGTTCGGCCGCAACAAAGCCAACGGCGACGGCGACGGCGGTCTCTTCTCAGGCCCAGGGGGAGCTTTGCGAAACAATACAAGAAAAGGCCGGCCTGCCCCTGCTGTGCAAACTGGCGATGTGGTTGATGCGGCTGTTTTCTCGACCGGCCAGGAAGCGTCTAGCTCTGGTGAGGCTGCGGCCAAACCAGCCACTCCTGCAAGCCCGGCAAAATCACCCAAGCGCCCGACAGGAGGGTTTGACGACGATGCCTGGGATGTGAAGCCAACGAAACAGGAGCAGCAGACAAAACCGCAGGCCTCGCCGCCGGCAGATGCTCCCTCTGTCAACCCGACACCAGCGCCAGCTCCTGCGCCTATACCTTCAGCGCTCACCGGATCTTTGAAGGACCTCTCTCTACTGTCAGCGCCATTAGAGCCTAGCAAGGTTGAGCCTCCAGCCCAGCCTCCTGCTGCCAACTTTGTTGGCGAAGCACAGCAAGCGGCTGCACCTGCACCTGCGCAGCAACAGCAACAGCAACAGCCACTGGGAGCAAGCCCGTCCTTCTTCCAAACAGTCCCACAACCAAACCAGGTGGTTTCGGCCCAGCTCCCTCAGCTTACCGGAGTCCACATCTCTCCAAAGTCTCTGGGGAGGCAGCGACCCCTCGCGCCATCCATCTCGCCGCCAGTTCAGGGCTCACTCGGTGTGCCGCCACCACCGCAACGACCGCTCTCCGCCCCTCAGTCTACCCTCCCTCAAGGCATATTTGCCGCTCCTACGCTCCTCCCTCAAGTCACCGGCCTCGTTCAGGGCCAGGTTGCGCCACCGGGGCAAAGCCTCAACGACATTACTCAAGCTCGGTTCCAACAGCAGTATACCGCACAGTTCCAAAACTTGCAGCCCCAATTTACGGGATATTCTGGGCCTCAGCCCCAGGCCCTGCAGCAATTTCCCCAAGGCGCTCCTGGACAGTTCATACAGCCTCAATTCACTGGCGCGCCTGGCTATATTGACCCAAGCCGAATAAGCCAGTACGGAGGTCTTCAAGCCCAGCCCACCGGCTTCCAACCTCAGCCCACCGGCTTCCAACCCCAGCCCACTGGCTTCCAACCCGGCCCAACACAGTCTCCCTTTGGCTCTGGCAGCATTAACAACTATCTGCCACCAGCTCTGCAGCCTCAACCGACCGGATTCCAGAGCCTGCAGCCGCTCCAGCCAACAGGTAATACAGATGGATTGAAACCACTGCAACCGCTCGTACCGCAGAAGACTGGACCTCCTCCGCCAGTGCGTTTTGGTGTAACTGAGACGAAGAAGCTGACGCCTCAGGCAACCGGCCGACGGGCCAACCTTTCTCAAGCAAGTAAGTTTTGTCTTGTCCCCAACACTCTGCTACTGCCTTTTCTAACAGCATCATTCTACAGCTCCTGACAACCCGTTTGGTTTCTAGACGGAAGTTAGTGGTTTCTACACTGCAACTTTGTTATATACAGCCGATAATATAGTCTGATTTAACACAAGAACGACTGCCTGCTTAATCTAGCCTTGATGAGTAGAGAGCTAGATATTTGTTATTAAATTTTATGTAATTATAATACGAATATACACATATTGATAGATACTGGACGTTTTCCGGGCCAAATTGGCAGTTAGTAGTTTGCCGTGGAATTTACTCATGTTCTGATATGCTTGATCTCCCCAATAAACGCACCAGCCCGAGGAAGTGCGCTAATCTATCTGCTGGAGGGTCCAAGCTATTAGTATGGGCCACCCGCACTCTAGGTCCCTGGGCCTACCTACTGCCCTGTGCTGCTGGCCATATGCGCTACGTGGTTGCTACTCCATAGGCTGCATTAATCTCCTGCTCATGCAAGCTAAATCTAATACTTGGACAAACACCATCTGGTCTGATCAGTGCCTCTCTTTACCTGAGCTTTCCATCTCCCAAGTCAATGCGCCTTTAATCTCATTTGGTGTCCCTCATCTCATTTCCGCCATGGCAGAAGCTTTGCAGGATCTGCTGGGCAACGGCCACAGCGTGGATGCTGCAACCTCGGATTACATCTCGTACCTGGCGGGACAGCCCGTTGATGCCCTGCGGACTTCAGAGCGCCAGCTTCTCTCACAGGCCTCCAACTCGACGCTGCTCTCGATCCAGGGCCTCTCCAAGAAGTCGTACAAGGCGGTGGTCAGCTCGGCCGAAAGCCATGCTTCTCTACGCGAGACGGTGCCGGCCCTGTCGACCAACGTGTTGCAGCTGAGCCGGCTCATCTCCAGCCTGGATTCGCAAGTCGAGCACTTTTCCACCAGCGTCAGCAAGGCCGGCGACAACAAGCTGATTGCGCGCCGGAAACAGGTGCTGAAGCTGCTGGAGAACGCCGACCGCCTGACGGATCTCATGCAGGTCCCTACTCTGCTGTCGTCCACGGCCAATATCTCGCCCCTGGGCTTCTCATCTACGCTTGACCTGTATGGCCACATCCAGCGGCTTGGGGCCTTGTACCCAAACTCACAGCTTGTCCAGCATGTGCTGAGTGAGTCTGAGGTTTCCATCCTTCGGCTTGCCACGGATCTCCTCAACACGCTGAAGGCGCCGAACCTCAAGCTGGCAGCGACGCTGAGGACGGTGGGGTGGCTCAAGCGAGCCATTCCAGACCTCATATCTGCAGCACCGGCAGAAGACATGATCCCCGCGGTCTTTCTGATTTGTCGGTTCGTCACATTGACAGCCACTCTTGACGCATTGGAGCCTCTCCGCCGCCTGGCCGAGGACGAGCGGCTGAGCCAGGAGAAGACGCCGCAGTCGCGATCCAATGGGCAGCACACAGAACGCTTTCTCAAACGCTTCATCGAGGTGTTCCGAGAGCACAGCTTTGGCATTGTCTCCATGTCGAAGAGCGTGGACACCAACCTTGGCAACGCATCGCCCGACGACCTCGACCTGCTCCATCCTCTACCATCTGCGCTGTCTACATTTCCCATCCACCTGGTCAACATCCTGCTCGAGCCAATCCGCGTCTATCTCCCCACCGTCAAAGACAAAGTCGCCCGCGAAAGCATTCTCACACAGGTGCTCTATTGCGCCGGCAGCCTGGGCAGACTCGGCGCAGACTTTGGCATGCTGTTAGCCATGGCGGGAGTTGGCGAGTGGGTGGATTTGGTCAAGCGCCACAGGCTGCTCGCCGGGCGGCTGGAGTCTGTCATCGGAGATTATCGGTAAAAGGCAAGGGCCTTTTTTTTTTTGGTCACTGTGCGCAGTGCGTCATCGCAAACCTTGGACCGCATGCATTGAGCTACAAAACCTTAACCAACCTCTCAACAAATATCTACCTTTACACCGTAGACTATATAATTAGCACTAATATCTTACCGCCACGCTATCGATTCACAGACAACGCGCACAATTGGAGCTCTTTTCGTTTTGTTTATATCTACATGAGGGTTTTCTTTGTGCTCGGTGTTATCGCAGTGTAGTTTATCAATTAGCAAAGCTCACCTATACTCTATACTCCTCTGTAGGAGTTACGCTCTGATATAGCTATCATGGGCACAACAACGCCGTCGTCATCGTCATCATCATCAGCAAAATCAGCTGTGGCAGGTGCGCGTCTCACAATGGCACGTTGAATGGAAATTGCTCATCCCAGCTCCTAGTGCAACACTTCCTCTCTGGCCTTGGGTCGGGAGTGGCCTCGGCCGTGCTCCTACAGCCGCTGGATCTCCTCAAGACGCGGACTCAGCAATCGGGTCGTCTCTCACTGCTGAGCTCCTGGAAGGAATTGACACAATCGCCACATCCAATCCGGGCGCTATGGAGGGGAACTGTGCCGTCGTCTCTGCGCACAGGCATAGGATCGGCCATTTACTTCTCATCGCTGCATAGCATCCGCGAGTTTATCCAGAGATCGAATGCAGTCAACCAGCAGGCCCATTCCCACAGCGCCTCGTCGTCGTCGCTGCCGAAGCTGAGCAATTCGGCCAACGTGGTGGCTGGCGCTGTGGCACGGACATGGGCAGGCTTTGTGCTGATGCCCTTGACTGTCATCAAGGTCCGGTTTGAGTCAACTCTTTATTCCTACCGGTCCATGTGGGCCGCCATCAAAGATATCAATCACCAGGCAGGTCTCCGGGGCTTCTTCTCTGGCTTTGGCGCAACTGCCATACGGGACGCCCCCTATGCGGGCTTGTACGTATCCATCTACGAGATGCTGAAGAGGGAACTGGGCTCCTTCGTTTCTCACGATGGCATGACCCCTTCCATGGCCAGCTCTGTCAACTTTGCCTCGGCCATCTCGGCGGGCGCAATTTGCTCGGCAATCTCAAATCCAATCGATGTCTGCAAGACGCGCATTCAGCTACAGCCGGACCAATACCGGAATATGTTTCATGCTGGCTACAGAATGGTCACTGAGGAAGGCCTGCATTCGTTGTGGCGCGGGCTGGCCCTCCGAATGAGTCGTAAAGCAATAAGCTCTGCGCTTTCATGGACGATATACGAGGAACTTATCCGTAGATATGCGGGGAGCCACGGCGCAAGGCGTAGTCTCAAATCACTATAATTTTGCGAAACCTGAAAATCAGGATTTAGGAGAAAAGAGCGGAAAAGAAGAGATGTTGCATAAAGGTCATGGAAATCATAAGAGTAACAAGAATATTCCACTCTTCCAATCAGAAATACAGCCTCAAAACCAATCAATAGCAGTAATACGGACTACATAAAATATAGATATCTGGCCTGAAAACAATTTTTGCAATAAAACATGGTCTCGTAAAAATCAATCATTCATTAGTTTAAGACGGACGAGCTCCTGCCAAATACATAAGCAGCGGTCCCGGAGACTTGCTCCTCTTGCGGTCGTGCTTGGACTTCTTGCGGACAATCTCAACGTCTGTGCTCTTGCTTCGGTGGTGAGAATGAGACGAGTGCCTGGTGTCTTCGACCATGAGGGTGGTCCTGCTGGTTCGCCTCTCTCGGACTTGCTTGGTGTGCTCCCAGAATTGGTCTTGCTCCCATTCGGGGACCCAGCGCTTGACTAGGACATACTCGGGATCCTGTTGGAATTGCAAACATGTTAGCTAGGGCTCGATATTAAAGAGTTCATTATTGCCAATCAGGAAGAAGGCCAACTTACAGCGTCAAACTCAAAATCAATGTTAAAAGTGCGCAGCGTCTCAATCGATAGGTACCTGCGTGCCATTCGCGTGTAGGTGTGGCGCTCCATATGAAGCTCCGGAGCTGGGAGAGCCGGCACCATTGCCATGTTGCCAGGGGGGTGAGCCATTCCGGGAGGCATTCCCGGAGCCATGCCCGGAGGCGGGGGCAGGGCCGGGGCCGGGGCCTTTTGCACCTTCTTCTGGCTGAGGATAGCCTCGATAGCGTGTTCGTCAAGGCCCGACTTGAGGAGATCGTCGTGTAGGCGGCGCTTGTACTCCTTGTCATTTTGCTCTTTTATCTTTTGTTCATGAGCAATGCGGTCGGCCTCGGCCTTCTTATATCTCTCCACAGCGTCGTGAGCCAAGGCGTCGCGCCGTCGCTTCTCCTCAGCCGCTTCCTCCTCCTCCTTGAGGCGCTTCAACTCCATCTCCTTCTTGATACGCTTCTCCAACTCTGCCTCTGCCTCACGCTTCTTGATGCCTTCGAGCGCAAGCTGGGCATGGCGAAGCTCAGCCTCGTCACGATATTCTTTATCACGCTTTCGCTTCTCGTCGGCGGCCGCTTCGGCGTCTTTGTGTCGCTTAAATTCAAGCTCTTTCTGCTTAAATTCAAACTCCATCCTGAGGCGCTTCTGCTGCTCCTCTTCAGCCTCACGTTCTTTGTGTCGCTGAAACTCGAGTTCCTTTTGCTTAAACTCAATCTCCATCTTGATGCGCTTCTCTGCCTCTTCATCTGCCTCACGTTTCTTGATTACTTCAAGCTGGCGCTGAGTCAGGCGGAGCTCCGCCTCTTCACGATATTCCTTCTCGCGACGTCGGTCCTCTTTTTCACGATCCTGGCTGATGCGCATAAGTTCAAGGTCGCGGCGTGCTTGCTCCGCTTCCCACTCATCTCGAGACATTTTTCCGGAACGAGGCCCGTGTGATGACCGGGAGGAGCTCCGGGACCGAGATCGAGAGCGAGACCTGGAGGAGCGGCGATAGACGACGGGCACTGCCGCTGGCCTGCGGCTGCGACGGTAGAACTCATCCTCCTCGTCCGAGTCGTGCTCGTTGTAGATGCGGTTGTTGATGATGATGGGCGCGGGGGCCGGCGCGGGAGGAGGCGGCACCGGCGCCCCAGCTCCAGCTCCAGCTCCAGCTCCGACGGCCGTGCGGCTGTTGCGAGGGCTCTCGCGAAAATCACGGGGATCACGAGGATCACGGGGAGGCGATCGGTTGCGCAGGTGTGCGGCGAGGACGGTGGTGCGCTGCTCAGGGCCAAGATAGCTGGGCGTGGTGCCGTACTCGTACACAGGTCCCCGCACCGGCGGGCTGGAGACGTAGCGCACAGCGGGCGGGGAGCGGTCGTGGCGAGCGACGCGGACGCTGATGTCGTCCTCGGAGTCGTAGAGGCTCATGGCTGCGGAACGGAAGACAATATCTAAATAAATTCGCTTGTTTGCTCGCTCGCCCGCTCGCTCGCTCAAGCAACGAAACGAAAAGCACAAGCAGACGCAAAGCAAACGCAGAGCGAAAGGTGGAATGAGCGAGTGGGGGTGTCAAAGGACAGGCTGAAATGGCGAGGTTACATACCGGAGCCAAGCGAGGCCTTGCCAGCCACCCGCTTGTATTTATACCCCGTGCGGCTCAGCTTCTGCTCCACAGGGTGCCAAACAACAGCGCCAAGCAGGTGCAGGTACCGCTCCGGCGCATATGTTGCATGTGCTGCGATTAGTCGTGACACGCAGCAGTGGTGGCCTCTCTTTTGCTCGAGCTGCAGCAGTAGCGCTTAGCGGTTGGCAGCGATAGCTGGGAGCGGGGAGGAGCTAAACCGGGCACGGGATGATGTGACGAATGACGATGCAACACACCCATTTCGCTCGATCTTGGGATCCTCATCCTGCGGTAAATGACAGAAGCGACGGGGGCAGTTGGGGGTTGAGGCTTGAGAGGGAGAGGGAAACCGACGAGATGGCGAGTCTCTCAGCTGCCATACCTGCCGAGTCTGTAGTGGATGCCCGAGGCACTCCAAGGTAGTTCTGTATAGTGCTACGCTCTAATGCCATTGTTGAAAGAAGCGCTGCTCGTTACTGCGCTAACCCCTTTCCGTTTTAGACCTGTTTTTAACGCATGGCAATCCCCCTCCCCTAGCGCAAGCAGGGAAAAAAAGTCCCCTGTGGCAGATGACCCGGCCCGCCCATAAGGCTGCTACCCAAACTCTCTCGACTCATACAGCCTCAACCTTTCTGCGCAGTTGTCTAAGCCGAAGCGTCTCCGTTCCACAACCATCATCCCGAAAAGGAAAAAAAAAAAAACCACCAAGAACAAATAACAGAGAGAAATACCATATTTACAATCACCCAATGACTGCGCAGTTTGCTTCCCATGGGCGCGGCGGCGCTGGCAACATGGCCGACGCGGCGAAGTCGCCGTCCATCCAGGCCTCCGATCTCGAGACGCCGGTGCTGAAAACAGCCGTTGTGACGACAGGCCGCGGCGGCACTGGCAACATGACCAAGAACGACGACCCTCACGAAACCCGTCTTCGCCAGGACGTCAAGGCGTAAGTTGCGAATACTCCAGCATACTGCAACACATGGGTTTTTCTCTTTTACTGTCCTGCACACCATCCCTTCTCCTTAAGGCATAACCTTCTCTGGGTTACCATCCCTCTGCCCCCGTTTCCCCTGTCTCCCCTGTTGTTGAAATCTCTACCTCTTGGCATATGCGAAAGTCATTCAAACAGTGACGTACAGTCTCTAACAATGCGCGCTTGTGTATAGAGTACCCCGGCGACTTAGTTCAGGAGCCCAGTACGCTGGACGCGGTGGCGCTGGCAACGTATTCAAAGGCGAAGACGAACTCGAACAGCTGGCGCGCAACCGAAGCGGCGAGCAAGCCATCGATGAGGCCCCCGAGAACGCTACCGAAAAGACGTCTGAGAAGACGACGGAGAAGAATCTGAACAAGACAGAGAAGGTTGAAAAGGTCGAACCAGCCGCAGCAATAAAGAAGTGGCTCATGTTTGGAAGGAAGCCATGACAGCACTCGTCAACTCCCCTTTGTGTCTTCCTCTATAATTTCTTTTGTGTTGTCTCTTCTCCAATTCTTTACATGTCTCCTCTTTTATAGAAAGGACTTGGTTCATGGTGTTAGGGATTCTTGAGGCGCATTTGTCGATTGTTAACATTTTGGCACGGAGTCTCTCGGCGGTGCAACGGTATTCAAAATGCGTAAGCTTGTGGGTTTTAATTGGGAAACATTGTCTGGAGCCATAAGGGTATTCCATTAACGGAGCGATTCTGGGGTTTTCTTTTATATATATATACCTATGCCCCGGCTTACAATATGACGTGGCTTATCGTTACAATATACTAATTGGTGCTGTTGCTAAGTGGAGAGCCTGTCACCTGTGTTTCATCATGTCGCCTGTCTTATGATGATTTTTCATGTTTTCTCTTTTTCATGGGTCATATTTCAAGGTTTTGTCAGTCGGTGAATCTCCTCAAAGAAGAATTTCAGGTTCTCCGGATTCACTCCTGGTGTAATACCTATAGACGCAAGTTATTCAGTAAACACAAACACCTCGAATAAGATGGGCATATTTCTTACCATGTCCCAAGTTTGCAATCCAGCCCTTCTTCTCGCCAGACCAGAAACCCTTGACCATCGTCTCAACAGCCTCGGTGATGGCTGCCTTTGTGCCATACAGCACTCCGGGGTCGGCGTTGCCTTGGAATACAATGTTTCGGTCTCCTCGGATCCGCACAGCCTCGCTAGGATCTTGCAGCCAGTCCATGCCGACAACGTTGTAGCCCAGATTGCACGCCGAGTCGAGAGCGAACCAAGCGCCCTTGGGGAACACCGTCATGGGCACCTTTTCAAGCCCAAGCTCTTGCAGCTTCAAAGGAAGCTTCTGAGCAATGTGAGCGAGGTAGGGCTCAGAGAACTGCTTGAAAGAAGCAGGACCCAACTCTCCAGCCCATGAATCGAACACCATAACCAACTGGATGAGATGAAATTATTACTTATCCCAAAACAATAGCACGAGATCATGAAGTGGTGTAAAATGTCATGAAATAGAGGAAGCGGCGAGGATTGAACATACCTGAGCACCAGCCTTCACCTGGTGAGCCAGATGATCCACACAGACATCGGCAATCTTGGCCAACAGCTTCTTCGATTCCTCCGGGTACTTGTAAATCCAAGTCTTGACCTGAGCAAACAGCTTCGTGCCGCCGCCCTCAACCATGTAGCAGAACAGCGTCCAAGGTGCACCACAGAAGCCAATCAGCGGCACTCTGCCCGCAAGCTTCTTCCTCGTCAGGGTAATGGCCTTGTAGACGTAGTCGAGCTCAGCGGCCACATCGACCTTGCCGTCGAGAACCTTTTCGTACTGTCCGTCGAGCGGGTTCTGGAGCGGGTTCGGGAAGTGCGGTCCCTTCTTGTCCACCATTTCGACCTGCATGCCCATGGCCTGTGGGATGACGAGGATGTCGGAGAAGATGATGGCGGCGTCCAGCAGGCCCTCGAATCGCTCGACCGGCTGCAGCGTCAGGGTGGAGGCGACCTCGGCGTCTCGGCAGCATTCAAAGAAGTCGCGCGAGCCTTTGGCTTCATGATACTCGGGCAGGTAGCGGCCAGCTAAGAGAATATGTCAGACAGGCTGCTTCCTTGTCATAATGCTATTTTTCCCAAGAAGTACTCGACAGCCAAAAACTCACCTTGGCGCATCACCCACATGGGAGGTCGTTCCACGACCTGGCCTATCCAATAGCACACACACAACGTATAAGCAACCAAACTCAATTCACGTAGACTGCGCAAGACAGTGAGACAGCGACAAACCCACCCAGTGCCGCTCGCAGCAGCAGGTCGTTCTTCAATGGCTCGAAAGAGTGCTTGGACATCTTGGCGGGAAAAGAGAATGAATGGAATTTAATATGTAGCTGAATATTGTAGGAGCCCAAGCTGTCCATGCAAGCCAAGTTAGCCATAAGAAAAGGCAAACCACGAGCTCGAAACCCCACCATCCATCCCAATCGACCGTTATGCCGAGTTTACTGCCCCTCCTCGTATGTACGAAGTAGTACTAGCTGGGTACGTACCGTTGCTGGAATACGCTTTCCGCATTTTGTTTTCGGATGTCATCGGCCCGCGTTTCTTGGCCTCTCGCGCGCTACTTCATTAAGCTGTCACCAAGCTGTCTTATCAGTGCCGTATCGTACATACATGCACACCAGCATCGTTGTAATAATGTCGTCGGAACAAGAGCTTCAAATCAATCCCGTTGTTGGGGACTCAATCCTTCATAACAACAAGGTGCGTCAACCTGAATTCCTCTCGCAACCGCGCATGAGGGTTTCTTATAATCCCCCCAACTAACGTGCTAACCTCACCTCCGCGATACAGGTCCTCACCAATCTCCACAGCCTGACAGCGTCTCTCTTTGGCGTCAGCGCAGGCATTCTTGGCCTCGAGTCCTATTCTGGCTTCTTGTTCTACATCGTCTTCTCAATAATTACAACTCTCCTGTTCTACACTTTTCAGCTGGCGCCGGGCGCTCTGGCAGAAGGACGCAGCCCGGTCGACACCACCCGGTATTACAGAGGCGCCCTTGATCTCTGGACAGGTGGCATAACGAATGGATTGCCCGGATTCATTCTAACATGGACTTTGTTCTACGGATTAGTGAGAGCTTGAGAGAGGAAGGAGAAAAAAAGAGGGGGAATGGTTAGCCAGCGAACTGTGCAATGCAGATTTGTGATTACGATATCTGTCAAATCAATAATTTATTCTTAATGCATATTATAACGACCCAATGCTTTCTCTCAACGCTCATAAAAAACGCTTCTCACACAACACACGCATACATATATACAACCGCTGACACGGAAAACGAGTGTTAGCACATGACGTCTGTAATCTTTCCAACAAAACCCTGCAACCCCGATCCATCATGGCTACCGTTTCCCATGATGATCACTGATGACCCTAGCTCAGCCCACTTTCGACTGTGCACTAATTCTAAAGTTACCTTTGTTACTGCATCTCCCACAGAGTCTTCTTTCATAGTTTCTGCTCTGTGGTCCGCGTCGAGTGGCCCCACCGTCTCGCCTACCTCGCCGCGGTGCTGAACAGAAACATCAAGGATCCGAGCAGCAGTTCTGACACAGGCAAAGAGAACGTTGACGAGTGTGCCAGAAGGTGGGAACTGGGCACCGTCCTCTTCAAACACTGCAGTGAACCCACGGGAAGCGTGGAGGGGCATTTCACTATCAGGCATGCCCAGAGTTGGCGTGCTAATAACCATGCCTCTTCGAATCTGAGGGGTATCTGGTAGGACTGTGAGATCGCTGTGGTCTGTCTCAAATACAAGCCCAATCGATCCAACCTGGCCAGCTTCTAGTACTCCGACAGGCAACCGAAGGTTACGAATGCTCACAATGCGTGCTTTCTGCCACTCATCTGAATCTGTTGGCGGGGATACTGAGCCACCTATCTTGTTCCCATTGGGATCCGTAGCTGAAATTGCGCGCAGTGCCGGTGATCCACGACCCTCAGGTGATGATTGGTATTCAGTTCCAGAACCACGGTCAAGCGTATGGCCCGACGAAAATGGTCCAACAATAATGGTCTGTCCTATTGAGAAGCTGCCAATACGGACATGGCCGGATACAATAACTCCGTCCAAATTCGCCAGCGAATCATCAAAAGATCTGGGCAAGCTGAACGTGTCATCAATATGGAAAAGATTTCTCGGTTGCTCTGACTGAGGGACTGCGTCTTTGGAAGTATGAGGCGTGGGTGCAGGAGGTAAAGGTAGGCTCGCAAGTAGAGCATGGACAAGGCCAATACCCACCCCTTTCAAAACGCTAGTAAACACAATAGGAACATGCTTCAGCAGGTCCCCATGCTCGGATATATTTCCAACAAAGCTCTGCACCTTGTCCCAGTCCGTCTGTGGAATTTCTGACAGCTGGTCTCGCGGTTGTTGGTCAGGCTGCAGAAGTTTTGGTACACGATCCGCATCTCGTATAGCACCAAGGATCTTGGTCATTGTCTTTTGCAAGGCCACTTTAGACGCGAGATCCAATTTTGTAATGACGATTGCCAATGGAACGTCTAATTTGAGCGAGAGGTCCAAATGAGCCTTGACCAAATCAGTCTCCCCTGAATCTGGTGCCGGTGCGGTCACGTCATGGGCTCGAGACGTCATTTCAGCGTCGTCCGCAGCAATGCAGAGGACCATCCAATGGGGTGCCCAGTTCATGAGTCCACGAAACACGGTATGTCGATATCTTGGGTGGCCACCAGAGTCAGACACGAATACAAGTCGGCCATCGTTGGCATAGTCGTGAATGTCAAGCCATGACTCAATATTGCGATGGGAAAAGCTGAAAATGAGTCTTTCCTTGTATCCAATGAGCTCCTGTGCAATGGAGCTGGTCATTCCGGATGCCATCTCGTGACGATGCTTCAATAAGCTCAGGCGACTCTTGCCCCGGCCATTGTCCAGAGTTCCTGTAGATAGCGTTCCTAGAAGGCTGGACTTTCCCGATGCTATGGGGCCAGTCAGGGTAACCCGTAGCTGCGGTGTTGTAGATTTACCATGGCCTGGCACTGTTGTTGAGCCAGAAGATTGCAAGGAAGTTCCGTCAGCAGACTCGTTGGTCCGTTTTGCATCCTTCGAATGTAGCATCTCAGTGCTGGGTGTTATCAGTGCCTCAGCCACCCAGAGTCTGTCCCGTTTGGTGACCTGAGTCGGCCCGTGAGAAGCATTCACATTGAGGTCGATTATATCGATCCATTCACAATCACCCACAATCACCATTCGCAGGACAGTAACGCCGCATCCGAGGCTAGCCGCCATGACTCTCAGAGTCGCAATGCTCTCGTCCAGCTCGTCCTTGGCCAGTCCGACAAGGTGTCCATCGTCTGAAACGCCAATCTCGTATAGAGCTCCTTGCGACTCCTCAAGGCCGGGAATCTGAGTGCCGTAAAGATCTGGCGAATCTGTATCTGCGCTGCCATCAGGCAGCTTCGGGATCTTCACCTCTCTTGAACTCGACGCATGATACGGCGACGACTGCTGCAGGCGCCACAGCAGCTGCGTCGTGAGGCGCTGGAGCCGTTCCTGGCGAGGCTGACTTGACGATGCAGGAGTGGGAGAGGCCGAGTAAGAAGCAGGCGAGGCCGAATACAGCGCCGATCCGTCTCCGGGCTGCGCATGGAGCCTGTCTCTCTTCTGGTCCACCGTGCTCATGTACACATAACTGCGTCTTGATCGAAGCAGTAGATGAAGCTTATACTCGATCGGACCAGTCTGCGGCTCTGCATCCAGCCTCGTGACGCCATACTCGGACAGCAAACCGGTCTGAGTCACCGCTGTACCTGATGCCGGAGAAGTGTCTGCGTCGTCTGCCAAAATCCAGGGCGAGGAGACCCGAGGAGGATCCGGGTCGTAGGTAAAGACTGAGGCCATTGAAAGCGTTTATAACAATTTGATATGGATATGGCTATTCCCTTCCGCTACTGAGACAGCCTGAATCATACTATGAAGGTCCGATGTACTATTGCAAAGCAATGCCGGTCATGGAATATCATTATGGTAAGCAGCTGTGATACTAACTGCAGGGGGGTGCAAACAGCCTCCTGATGATCGAGAAACAGGGAATGAGAATAGTAGGAGCATGTGCTGGGCAGTTGGTAAGGAATGCAAATTGGATTAAGAAATGCGAGTATTTAAGCAAAAATCAGCTCGTCAACGAACGGAGCATGGAGGAGCCAAGCCACTGACAGCGAACGCGCTCAGCGCGAATGTGTGAGTCAACACAGTTTGACGGTGTCTCCTGACGCATGGCCGAGGGGAGCAGGTACATTAATAGGACCTGTTGATGCAGCCCGCTAGCGGTATGGACGCAAGGTAGAGTTTGGGAACTACCGAATACAGATCGAGCTATGACTAAGATGTTTATAGTGGCAATTCATGCCTGGAGAGGAATTAGCTAAGCCTTGTCAAAAGCCCCTTACAATTGCAAATGAATATAGAATATGTTGCTGCGTACAAGGAGATACAAGAGGCGTCCAATGAAAAGTGATATTAAACGTTTCATGTAATATATATAGCGACTAATATATAAAATAAATAAAATACACCATATTATGAAAACACACACGCAAAACCCAGCAGTCTAAGACCGAAATTCTATTCATCGCTTTACCTGATACGAGCCAACCGTTCTCTATTCATTCTTGTAGCATCATCAACTGCGTCACTCTGTTGGGAAAAAAAAGGTTAGCCATCTGACACCAAGCAAAGAAATAGAACATGTGCAATAATGGAGATCCGGGGCTGAAATACCTTGCCCATAATACGATCGATTTGTTTGTTTTGGACGTCCACCTCTGCGCCAATGGCTCTGCCGACCATGTTCATCATCTTGACCTGTCCCTCCAGTTCGGTGAGACCATCATCGATTTGATCCTCGAGCTCGTCAGCGCCCTCTTCATCATCCAGATTGAATTTTCCGTAATCCTTCTTGCGGTTTGCCCGGTTCCCCCCCGTACTGCCAATCTGGCGCATGTTCTGCTCCATGCGCTGGGTGGCAGCGTAGCCGTCTCGCCGAGTCATCTCTCGCTGCTCTCGCTCAGCTCGATGGCGGTTCAATACATCCTCATCAGCTTTCTGCTGGCGCTGCTTGGATGTGAATGGGTTCCCAACGTGGACTGCAAACATGCTGCGATTGAGCGTCTTCAACTCTGCCGCTCTGTCCTGAGCAATCTTATTTTGGTTGGCAGCAAGGTCGAGATTCTTTTCAGTGTTATGCAGACGTTCTCCCTGTGCGCCAAGACGGGCCAAAGTAGCACGTCCGACCTCGTTGGCTTGTCTAGCCATTTGCACCGAGCGGTTTACTGAAGAAACACTGTCCTGCTGAACTTGTCTCTTTTCTTGCAGAATAGCCTGATAGTCAGCCTCCTCCTGCTCTTCTTCTGTCAATTCCCGCTGCTCGCCATAGCCTCCATAGGAGCCACCCGACTGTGAATCAGCCCCGGGTGCTGTAGCCTGCTGCTGCTTTTGCTCGAGCCGCTCCTGTGCGCCGGCGAAGAGGGCGTCTCTGTTGCTGTCTGGCGCATCTCGGCCAAAGCCTCCGTAGCCTCCAGGGCCTCTAGCCCCCGCTGGCGGAGCATTGTTGAAGTTTGAGCCAGGGCCGCTGTCGTAGCGGTTGGAGCCGTAGCCACCGCCTGAGCCGTATCGATCGCTGCCGTACCCTGAGGCGGCGGGTTGTTGAGGGGCTGGGCTCTGTCCTCCTTGATATGGGCTGTAGCCGCCATTTGCAGGCGGTGACGGACGAGCGCCCATGTTTGCGTATTTGGTTTGCTCAGCATATGGGTCGGTGCCTCCTTGGTTGGCATATGGGTTTTCCGAGGGAGTGGGCGTCGAGTTCTTCTTGCGGCTGCCGAAAAGGGCATTTCGGTTGGCATCTTCGCCGTCGTCGCCTTTCTTGCCGAAGCCGAATTTCTTCATCGTGTTCTATGGGAGGGTTGTCAAATTTGAATAAACCGAGATGCAAAATCTAGCAGCACAAATCAAAGAAAGAGATAATGGTAGAGCAGGTAGGTATTGATGGATGCAGAGAGAAAGGAGATGTCACGAGCGGCGAACAAAGATGCGGTGGTGAAGGCTTGGGTGTCAACTCCCTATCTGAGCCACCCGCCTGCACGTACTCCGTCCTGGACGCTAGCGAATGCCGCAGAACAGCCCGAGACCCTGGGGTCTGTTGGGGCCTTGGGGCCGTCCGTCCCACACCGCCGCAGGTGCTGCAGTAAGCCTCAGCGCTCGTCCACTCTCAGCCTTTCACGCCGCTACAGGCTATATTTAGCCAGCTGGCGATCCGTATATGACTTGATACTGTCTTGAGAATATACGTAGACAATTAATTCTACAGAAAATGCATGACGCATTTTCAATTTAAAATGTTTTTTAGGAAATATTAACCCAGCTGATTCTAGTATGATATAATGCAAGAAGAATACTTTTATTTCTAATTAAAGTTTTTTATAGCCAGCGCTTGTAGGCGGACTAGTTGCCTGAGCGCCAACTCCTACGACCCAATTAGCTTAGCCTGCCACCCAGGCATGTGAAATTTTGAATTTTTGATGGTCCAATAGACCACTGAATGCGCCATCGTTGATACAGTCCAACAGTCCTTCCATACTTCAGCCTTTGGCCCTGTCAATCCATGATGGCTGCCCCAAACGCGACAGAGCATGCAGCCAAGAGGCGCAAAACACGGCAAGACTCTGGGTCTATCACAATTGGAGGCAAAACCATCTCTTTCGCAGGATATCTTGCACCATCTCAACCCAAGAAACAAATCGAAGCAAGCAGCGGTCCCAAGCCAATACTGCCAAGCTCGACACACGAACAGCAATCAAACTCTACATTAAAACAAGCGATAGACCAAACGACCAAGCCCGGTCTGCCCGATAAGAAAGGGACATACAATAAATCACAAAGCACCAATGGAACTGGGAACCAAGCTCTACTCAAGACTCGCCGCGAGTTGCCCATATGGCAGCATCAAGATGAGATTCGAACGGTTGTGAAGCGCATCGGTACCGACGTTATTGTCATTGTTGGAGAGACGGGTTCTGGTAAGAGTACGCAAGTACCACAGTTTCTCTATCAGGAGCCCTGGTGCAAACGACACAAGGTCAAGCTGCCAGGCCGGCAAGAAGACGGATATGTTGGAGGCATGATTGCTATTACACAGCCGAGACGTGTTGCAGCTACGACTCTGGCGCATCGCGTTTCAACCGAAGCTGGCACTCCACTTGGCAAAGGGCGGCCAGATGGGCTCGTGGGATACTCAGTTCGATTCGACCACCAAGTGCCACGAGGCGCCCGCATCAAATTTCTAACTGAGGGTACTCTGCTGCAGGAGCTTCTCCGGGATCCCTATCTGAAACAGTACAGTGCAGTAGTCATTGACGAAATTCACGAGAGAAGCCTAGACGTCGACCTCCTAGCCGGATTTCTGAAACAGATATTGTCTGGAGATAAAACGGAGAGGGGAGGCATCCCTCTCAAGGTCATCATCATGAGCGCTACGGCTGAGGTGGGCGTCATTCAAGAGTTTTTCGGCAGCGGGGCCACGCCAGGGACAGAAAAGGCAAGCAACGTCGAGGTGCTTCGGATCAAGGGTCGGCAATTTCCAGTCACCATCTCCTACGAACCCCGGCCGGTTGCGGATCTCCAAGATGCGCTATTGAAGAAGATCTTTAAAATTCACGTGGAAGAGCCGTTACCTGGAGATATTTTGGCTTTCCTCAACGGCCAGGAAGACATTGAGGCTGCACAGCGGCTGATTGAGGAATATGCTACGACTCTGGCGTCCAACGTACCCAAAATCATTGCTGTACCCTTATACGGACAGCTTTCCATTGAAGCACAGAGGTTGGCCTTTCAGCCGGCCAGGTCCCCTATGACACGCAAGGTCGTGCTCGCAACAAATATTGCCGAAACGTCCGTTACGGTCCCTGGTGTGAGATATGTCGTAGATAGCGGCAAATCCAAGGTGAAGCAATACCGACCACGGCTGGGCATGGAATCGCTGTTAGCCAAGCCCATTTCCAAGTCATCCGCCGTGCAGCGTGCAGGTCGTGCAGGTCGTGAGGGCCCAGGCAAGTGCTTCAGGCTTTATACTGAAGAGGCCTTTGACGCGATGCAAGGCTCAGATCTTCCTGAGATACTGAGAAATGATGTCCTTGGAGCTGTCCTAACGATGAAGGCTCGTGGCATCCATGATGTACTGGCCTTTCCGCTGATAGATGCGCCAGAAACCGCGGCCATAGAAATGGCACTGCTGCATTTACATTTCCTTGGCGCTCTTAACGATGATGGCACCATCACACCGGCGGGCGAAACGATGGCTAGATTCCCGCTCTCAGCTCCCCTTGGTGCCGTCCTCCTCGCCGCCTCAGGACCGGAGTTTGACTGCGTCCTGGAAGTAATCGATGCCATCTCTTGCCTCACATCCGGAGACGACATCTTCATTCACGTACAGTCAGAGGAAGGCGCAGAGGAAGTCGAGGAGCACCGAAAAGATCTTCAGAGACGAGAGGGAGACATCATCACTTACTTGACCACCATGCAGCTGTATGCTGCGGAGAACTCGGACAGAATAGAATGGTGCAAGAAGCGCAAAATCAATATTCGCAACATGAAGCAGGCGTTGAATATTCGTCGACAACTACGGGGAATGTGCTGGAAGGAGAAGCTCTTTTCGGAGATGCCGCCACCTGACCCTCAACCTTTTACTCCCTTGTCGCCTGATAAGGCAGAGGCAGTGATCAAGTGCTTTCTGAGGGGCTTCGCGATGAGAACGGCTATGCTGGCACCCGATGGAAGCTTTGTGACGGTCAATGGTAAGCATGTAGTTGCCATTCACCCATCCAGCGTCATGCACGGGCAGAAGAAAGAGGCCATCATGTTCCTCGAGCATGTGTATACAAATAAGAATTACGCGAAGAAAGTCAGTGCGATCCAGGCAACCTGGATTGCTGAAGCATTGGGCCGATAGATATGCGATTGAGAGTATATAGATACCCTTGGTGCTTTTGGATAGACATCACACACACGCATATGAGCGAATAGATAGATGGGTATATATATACAGCTGCTATTAAATACAGTCTAATGCTACAATTTTAGTTTTACGCAAGCCAGCGATAGTTCAAACTATTCAGTTTCTTCCCCGTTGCGATGCTTCTGTATGGCCTGCATCAACTCATACAACTGCTGGATTTGCTCATCTAGAAAGATTGTACATGAATGAGCCTCCGCACTTTACCAAGAGTCATCGAGCAGAAAGACTTACCACTCAATTTTTGGAGTTTGCCCTGGTCAATTTTTTCACCAACCCAGGACTCGCCTTCGATTTGCTGGGCATATATCTGCCACTCCGAGAGGAAGCCAATCTAACAGGTTGGAAACTTAAGATCAGTGAATCATACACTTAAGAGAAAAGGAGCACACTCCTGTTGAAAGCAAAGAATGGGTATAAAACGTCTTATAATCCTTCCATTACGTCAAACATACCAGATGCGCAGGATTGTCCACGTCGCGATGAGCTCTGAATTCGGCCTTGATATACTGGTCGCCGAGGAGCCTCATCTCTGCCGGGAGATACTTTCGGTGAGCACGCAGAAGCCGTCGGTAAAGGGGAATGGGAGGCAAAAGGGCCATGGGCTTTGGCCGTAGGCCATTCTGCACGGCCGAGGCAGATGCCAGCTTTGCGATTGTTTGGCGCATGGTGGGAGAAGGTTGTCCCTGTTGTCCCTGTGCCGGATGGACGAGACACTGTTTATGCAGCAACTTCTTGTTGAGCAATAATTAAAACGATGGTGGGCGACATAAAATGCTTCAGTACGCCAGAAAACTTGACAAGATTTTAAGCAAGCAGCATATAATAGCCTCGGCAACTGTTCCTAGGCAGGGAAATAAGAGTCGTTATACCGTCATGCTGGTTACCACCGAGACATGATTGCATCTATGAAGTCGCCTGTGGCCAATGATTTCTAAGGCTAATGGAATTGGATCCGCAGCGCCGAACCAGTTTTTTTTCTCTTTCGCAGACACAGCTAAGAAGCTCAAATCAGTAGCCCCACCAAACAACACTCGCTGAATCTTTTGAAATATTTCCTACTACTACTTCTAATATTTCACCATTCTTTTTTCCTCCCTCATTGCGTGACAGCCACATTTCCTTCTAGTTTCATAATTCTCAAAAAGCTTTTAAAACTGTTGTTTGATTTATTCAAAACAAGGCATATATACATCCACACGCCCACCAGTCACAATGTCATTCTCATTTGGCTTTTCCGGAGACGATATAGACAATGATAATATCACCGAGTCTCAGACATCAGCCCCTCCCGCAGCTCAGCCCCCATCCTCAACCTCTTACAGCGCTTTCCCCGTCCCAGGCAAACCACAGCTGCCCGCAACCCTCCACAGCCTCTCGGACTTCCTCTCCCAGCTGCCCTCCAAAATTGCCTATGATCTCCTCCCCATTGAGGCCACCGATGCCGGTGCCAGCGAGACGCAACTGCGGCTGCCCCGTCGCGAGCTGTGGGACGTGCGAGTGCAGCTCATGGCCGAGGATGACGAGATGGCCAATGGAGAGGACCGCGTCGACGATGGCGGGCTCGGCAAACACGACGTCAAGACGGGCATTTACGAGGGCGGCTTCAAGAGCTGGGAGAGCAGCATCGATCTAGTCAAAGTGCTTGCCGCCCAGGATGAATTGACTACTGCTCAAGAAGCCTCATCGCTTCGTGTAATTGAGGTAAGCAGACGTGAAAAGAGGGGAAAAAAGATAGAGTGAGATATGGCTTCATGTCAAATCATCTGATTCACTCACCCTTGCTTGTTTCACTTATAACAATCAACTAACTCATGTACGCTTTGACAGCTCGGCTGTGGAACTGCCCTCCCTTCTCTAGCAATGTTTACCTGGGTCATGAGAAGAATCTCACGCAACCAATGGCATCAAAAGCCCCTCTCCTTCACATTAGCCGACTACAACCCATCCGTTCTCCGCCTCGTCACGCTGCCCAACCTCCTCCTCGCCTGGGCCCTTGAAAACACCCACAGCCCATTACTTCAGCACGCATTTAGCATCGAGGGCGAGCTTGAGCTATCGCCCGAAATCATCCAAGCGTTTGAGAAGTTCCTGTCTTCCAGCGGCATTCACTTTTCATTCATTTCTGGAGCGTGGTCACCCGAGTTCATTCGTTGTTTATACGATTTACCGGCGTTCTCATCAAATCTCCCGGTGCCAACCACGCTCATGGTAGGGGCAGAGACAATCTACTCCCCATTCGCACTGCAGGCATTCACACAGCTCGTCTTTTCCATCTTGGAACGCGAAAAGGCGTCTAATGCTCGAGCGGCTGCATATGTAGCTGCAAAAAAGCTATATTTCGGAGTCGGCGGCTCACTGGACGACTTTGTCGAGGCGGCCCGATTAAAGGGCGCTGTGGTTACAGAGTTGAGAGAGGAGAGTGAGGGAGTACGACGTGGTGTAGTTCACTGTATCCTGCAGGAACAAGGCCATCAGTAAAGCATGACTGCATCTATCCCAACATTATGTCAATGCTAGAGGCAAATCAACTATAGTGGAAACTCTTGAGTCGGAATTCGCTGGCTATACTAATCGAAATCAAGGCAATATTTCAGCCACAGATTATTGATTACATTTTTGATGTTCAAATATTTACACAACATCATTCCTTTCTACTTCCCCTTGCGCAGCTTCTCGGTACACTCGGGACAATACCAAGTGCCATTAGGTTCGCTCTTGAGTCCAACACAAGACCAGTGAAACCACTCATATGGACAATTGTCGTTGTCGCAAGCCACCATATCTCCATAGCTCACGTTATAACACAGGCAATACTGTTTGTCATCGCCGCCATCCTCATCGTCATCGGCATCTCCTGGCGCCTCATTGCCATTTTTTCCATCCCTAGCCAAGGTGGTCCTCGGTCTTGGCTCGATGCTGTCATCCTCTTCACCACTGCCACTTCCAGCGTCTGACAAGTCACTATCAGCCGTTGAGGCTGGTGAATTTCTGTTCGACGCCTTCTTCACCCGTGACAGCGATGACCTATTGGGTGGCTTCTTACGCCCGCTCATTGTCGGGGTTCCTCTGCGGCCAGCCATTCCAACTACCGCTTTAACTGATCCTGCTCTCGGCCCAGCACTACCTGCTCGAACAGCGCCACCAGCTCCCAAGTTTGTCCCAGCTCCATTCTTTGGCGTTCCAGGCCCCAAGGATGAATGCCTCGCCAAACCACTTGATGTTGTGGGCATATTTCCAGGCCCCGTGATAGACCGTGGCCCTCTCTTCGTCGCTGGACCAGCTGAGCTCTCTCGCTGCCTGTTCAGTATTATGCTTGCGGCAGGCGTGGCCGGTGCGGAGGACGCGTGCTGCTGGTACTGTGCAACGTGCTGCTGGGCCTGGGGATGCCTTATCTGGGGTTGGTTGGGTAGTCGAACCATGGCCGGGTTGGCAGGGCCCGCAGCAGGATTGCGCGGTGAAGCCAGAGGACCGGGTGAGTTGATATTATTGGATAGGTTCAGTGTCCGAGCGGAAGGGGCGCTGTGATTAGTGGCACTGGGGCGAAGAAGCGAAGGAACTTCATCAGGGTCTGTGAAGCCAGGTTCGGCACGATCATAAAGCAGCTTGATCTGAATATCCAAACTACGCAGGTGCTTGTCCATGACGAGCTGCAGCCTTTGCATAAGATTGATCTTGTCTTGTGCAAACTGGTCTGCCCGATTGTAGTTCTCGCGGATCTGGGCTCGCAGCATATCTTCTTTGGGGTTAGGCTCATGACTCCCATTCGTCTTTATCCACTTTTGGATCTTGCCATCGCGGTCTTCGATCATGCGGATGCAATCATTGTATTGACGGTCCTTGTCTGATATTTCTTCTTGAATGAAACGAATCTCTTCGGGGAGGTTCTGGACCCGGTTGATCCAGTCATCGAGGATCAAGCCGGGGTCGAGAGGCTCGGCTTGCGGCATCCTCTTGACAAAATCGATGGACAAATCGTCTCTAGGCATGATGGTTAATGACTTGGCAACGCCGAGCCCATGGAATTTTGATGATAAACAGGTGAAGGATAGACGGCAGCCGCCAGAGATGAGATGGCCGGGCTGGCAAACGAGCTGAGGCTGATGCAATTTGATGAAATGAAAAGCTCTTGAATGAGACAGTGTAACGCTGTGGCAGAGGAGACGGGACGGGCACCGGCACAGCCGTAAAGAAGCAGTAGAAGATGAGACTTGAAAAATACAGGCTGATACTAATACTAGGCCATGTGCTTCAACGGTGCGGTGATTGCGCTTTCGTCTATTCCGTATTCACCATATAAAACGATGGTTCAAAGAAAAAGAGAATAGAGGAAGCGAAGAGGCATAGCCCATCTACTGATAGTAGGGGACACGAAGTGGACACAGCAGATAGATGTACGGAGAATCAGGCGTGCATGGCAGACAATAGCTCTGCGGCCGGGAAAAAAAAACTGTCACCAGCTAATAGCCACCTCCCCCCGCAAGGAGACGCCTCTAACGAATGACAAACGAGTGAAGGGACTCCTCCAACGATGTGGATGGACCCTCTCCAAGAGCAGAGAGTGGTTGTCAAGAGCAACGCAAGGCAAGGCAAGGCAAACGCAAACACGGGCGCAGAGCGACTCGATCAATGCTCACCTCGATGCCGCTTCACACTGCGGCGCCTGTCTTGCTTTGGGTCGGCTGAGGGAAGATGGACAAGTTGAGCCGGACGCGGCGAGTTGCGCGGGCAGCGATTAAGTTGGTCTGGTTGGGCTGCCAATTCGGAGGAGATGCAGAATTAGTGATGGGGCAAGCTTGGAGGTTTATGCAGGCTAGGAGATGCAAGTACGTCAAAATCGGGTGGTGGTTGCAGGGGGCTTCCAGCATGTTCCGAGGCTTAGCCACCCGGAAATGTTCCGCAAAGCTTGTTCTGAATTTCGCAGTTAGTGCTTTCAGCTCTAGCTGCTCGTCATTGCTAAAAGCCATGGAAACTATTGAAGAGTAAAAAGAGATTCATGAAGATTTTTACAGAAAAGAGAAGAAGACAACAACTACTTCCAGGCTACAGATACCTAGATACATATTTGTATAACAGCTTTCCTCGTGCTCTACCTCATCTTTGTCCTTGCAAGAGCTTCAGAGCAAGCGCATCTCTCACGTGACACTGCTGGATGAAACCAAGTCGCTCTTTCAATCTGGAACAGACTTTAGCGTAGCCAATCCCAGTCCACTTTACAGCTACAGTAATAACTTCATCTACCGTCTACATTACTCATCATGTTATGAGAGTCTATCCCTATTCTTCTCCTCGCTTCGCTTCGCTTCGCTTCGCTTTCGAATAGCTTTAAAACCATTCAGCATAATACCTGTTCACGTTTCAATTCACAGCTGGAGGAAAAGGCCACGCTTCTCACTTGCACGCTCATTCAGGTCTTCAGGTTTACGCACCCTGCCCATCGTTACGGTCTCTTCCCCCGAGGAGGTGAGCGTCACGACGCTGCACCGACAAGTGAATTTCTTGAATAATCAATCACCTGTTGCCATTTAAACTCGCCATCTCTCTCATTTGCAGCGCACTCGGCACCGTCACCCGTCATGGACGCCTACAGATTCCGTGTTCCTAAGCCAAACTACCTCCCTCATAAACTGGACATTGACCCCGATCACGACATAGTTCAGGAATACGTCCAGCCTCTTGGCTTAGCCGGTGAAGCGGAAAATGCAAAATACTATCAACAGTGCAAACGCATGGCCGAAGAATCGGGCATCACGCGCCCCAAAGGCCACAATGTCTCCTTTCATTGCAACCCGGATATGGAGCAGCACCACTTTGGCATGACACATCCGATGAAGCCCTGGCGTCTGACACTCTCCAAGAGTCTTATCTATTCATACGGCATGTCATTTGCAATGGACAACTTCGTAACCCGGGCTGCTACCTATGAGGAGCTGGCTTCGTTCCACTCTACCGACTATCTCGATTTCCTGGGCACCGTCCTCCCCGAGCCGGTTCCACGGGATCTTGAGAGCCAGAATCCAGATCTGAAGTTTAATTTGGGCGGCTCAGACTGTCCATTGTTTGATGGCCTCTATGATTACTGCTCCATGTCTGCCGGTAGCGCGCTTGATGCTGCAAGGAAAATCTGCTCCAAGCAGTCCGACATTGCTATTGCGTGGGGAGGGGGCCTACACCACGCGAAGAAGGCCGAGGCCTCAGGGTTCTGCTACATCAATGATATTGTCATTGCCATCCTGGAGTTGCTACGGTTCTATCCACGCGTTTTATACATTGATATTGACGTGCATCACGGCGATGGCGTCGAAGAGGCGTTCTTTTCAACAGACAGGGTCATGACTTGCTCATTCCATAAATATGATCCCAACAACTTCTTTCCCGGTACTGGTGCATTAGATGATAATGGCCCTAAGAGCGAGCATAATCCTGGAGCACACCACGCCGTCAATGTTCCGCTCAACGATGGTATTACGGACGAGCAATATGACATGCTTTTCAACAACATCATCGGCAGGATAGTTGAGAAATTTCGCCCTGGTGCCATCGCCCTTCAGTGTGGTGCCGACTCTTTAGCAGGAGATCGTCTGGGCCGGTTCAATCTGCAAGTTCAGGGGCATGGAGCGTGTGTTGCATTTTGCAAAAGGATGAACATCCCCATGATTCTCTTTGGCGGAGGCGGCTACACTCCACGGAATGTAGCCCGGGCGTGGACATACGAGACCAGCATAGCCATCGATTGTCAAGATAAAATCAACCCTATTTTGCCAGAGCATACTCCATGGAGAGATCACTTTCGCCAAGATACCCTCTTCCCCACTCTGGAACAAATCTTGGGCGAGCCGCGACAGAATCGCAATCCCCAGAAACGTTTACAGGACATCGTTCAGCATGTTACAGAGCAGCTACGCTTTGTACAGGGAGCGCCAAGCGTTCAGATGCAGGTCATCCCACCCAACTTGGGCGGCTTTAGAGACGACGTGGAGGCCAGGTTGAAAGAGGAACAGGACGAGAGGAACGATCAGCTACGAAAGGAAAGGGAGTCTGGAGCGGGAACCGCCATGGAATTTTAATTTATCAACGACTCATTATATCTTCACCCCAGGACCAACTGCTGCGTGAGCAGATTCTTTATAATTGGAAACAATAAACCCGTAGACAGCAAAGAGACAAGAAAAAAAAAAGCAACATTAAATGAGATCCAAGTGCTGTGTACCGCCAAAGAAGGCGTATGTCTATATATCACACGCGGCATCATGGCGGGCAAGCAGCCAGGGACAGCAGAAGAGAGGCGCAAGTGCACTAGTGGAAGGCCGAATGATCCTTTCAATGGCCCTCCTGGTATCGCGAGTACGTCCCCCTTTCATCCATACAGGCTTCGAACCAGGTTTTCCGTCACACGACAAAGACGGCCCAGATTACCTCCCACCACGTGCTCCGCACAAGTAATATGCACACGAATATCTAAATATAAGTACTGGGGAAATTTTCAACAGTTCAACCCGGAGCCGTCGCCTTAAAAGTATCGAACGACAGCGTTACCGCCCTTAGGCATGGAGGTCTATCAAATTCATGTTAGTTTTCTCCTTGTCTTTCCCTTATATTTGGGAGTGCTTACCGTGCAACCATTGCTACCGCCGGTCCACACGCCGTTGACGTATGAGCACTTGCTGCTGACATCACCGGTAATCTCAATGTTGAAGTCGAGCAGGGCAGTGCTGGTGGGCAGGTTCTGGAAGATGGAAAGCCAAGTGGTGCCATCGGAAGTCTGGCCAACACCGAGGTTGACAGGAGCCCAGTTACCAGCACCCAGCTTATCGAGAGGGCTGGTCCAGACGCAAGAGTCGGCGACTGAGTAACCCTTCTTGTTGATGTAGTACTGGGCAGAAGTCTGCTTGTTGTCCCAGACATAGTAGTCGGACTCAATGGGGTTGGTGATGGGAATGGATTCACCGGCGGTGGCACATGCGGGAATGACCATGCTCTCGATACCAGGGTAGTCGGTACGGCAAGTGCAAACAGAGTCATCGAGATCGTTCTTGACGGTCACGCCACCAGCGCCCTTCTGGCAAAGCGTGGGGTGCGAGGTGCGCGTAAGCTCGAGCATTCCATCCGCATTGCAGTAGAGGCCACCAATGGACTCCAAGGTAGAGCCCTGAGCGGCGGGCCATTGAGTCTTCTGATAACCAGGAGGGCAAGCATAAGAGCACATAGCATTCGGCTTGCAGCCCTGGCCAGAAACAGCAGTGATAATCGTGTTGATGACTTCGGAAGCCAGAGTATAATCAGGCACATACTGGATACCAGACCAGCCTCCCGTGCCCAGGTACTCCAGGGCCACCGCGCCGTAGTCGGATGGGAACTGAGAGCAAGGAATTTTTCCGCTGGGAAAGTTGGCGGTCAATCCGGTACCACCAGAGGGCTGCTGGGCAGGGGCCGAGGACTTGGGAGGAGCCGCCTTGCTGGTCGTGGGCTGGGCCGTGGTCGTGGGCGGTGGCGGGGGAGCAGAGGTCGAAGTCGACGCGGGAGCTGACGAGGAAACGGCCTCTTCAATGAACTGGGCCTTCATGTCGCCAGCGGTGCTTGAGGGCGCAGGAGGAGGAGGAGGAGGAGGCGGCGGGGGGACGTAAGTTGGCTGGGTCTCTCCGACGACAACGTATTCGCCCTTGGCCAGACCGTCCTTGGCTGCGGCAGCGTCAACGAGCTTGCCATCGAGCACGTACTGAGTGGCGGTTGGGCCGACGACGACGGTGGTGACAACGCTCGCGTCTCGCTTCTCGACCTTGGCAGCAGCCGCCTTCTTCGCGTGGTGGTGGTGGTGATGGTGGTGAGAAGGGCTGGCGAAAGCGCTAGCAGCCAAAGAGGCAGCCAGAATCGAGTACTTCATCTTTGCGGTTTGATCTCTAATTCGTACTGCTCACGGATCGCAACTGATTAGACCAACTATTCTGACCGATGTCGATATACCTCTGTGCTATACGAACACAGCCGCTGAAGCCAGGCGAGGGGAGGGGGGATGGACAGCAACCGCGATTCTTGGACGCTTCGAATGTACTTACCTGACGAAAGTAAAACAAGAAGCGATATATATCAAAAAACGAGAGTAATTGGCGTGATGAACCTGACTTTAAAAGAGTGTGATAGAGAGCAGACAAAAACTCTCTGTTGGAGGAATAGAAAAAGGGCACGACGCGAATGAGGATGATGAACAAGAACGAAGCATCAAAAGGGAGGGCAGGACAGGTAGAAAAACGGAGCTGGATGCATGGGGGAGGGGGGACCTGGTCAGTCTCCATGGCATTGACCCACGAAGATCAATAACCCAAGGAGGGGGATGCCAGGGATGTGCGCAAAGCGAGACAAGGGGGTGCCACTCCTGAGAAGGGGGTGGCCTCTGGGAAATTGCTTTTTCAGCGCCGGTCTGGCGCCAAAGCGAATCACTCGTCGCTCGCAATATGCAAGGCACACAAAGTGCTGCTACGAGTCTACGACTACGGCCGTGTTTATGATTTGAGCGACAATGCAATTTGCAGAGCGGGGAGAGAGGAGAGCGAGGAGAGAGCGCGCAAGAGGATGAAGAGCTGCTGCTCACCGCATCCCGCATTGCCTGATGCCGGGACGGAGCTTGTTGCCGGCTCTTCGCATCGGACGTGGTCCGCGACTCTGCCAGATCCAGGGGCGCCTAACCCGTCTCTCCTCACACATGCTTGTGCGTATACCTATTATTAGTACACACAGCAATTAGTACTGCATACAAGTATGTACCTACGCATTGTCTACTCCATACCGACTTTGGAAGCAGGGTTCATAGCTGTATGCTATGGAGCATTTCGCTGCGTTGCAGATAGAATGACGAGAATCAAAAACAAAAGAGGCCATCGCCAGCAACGCTGAAACGGCCGGGCCTGCAAGAGGCCGCTAGCCCAGCCGCCGACCTGCAGAGCTAACCAGCGCTGCTAGTCAACGATCGCCGCCGCAGGCCAGGAAATGAGCCAGGATGTTCCAGGTCTTCCAATAGAAGGCACCAGCGGCTGGGTAAAACAATAAAATGACGCCGGTACGAAGCTTTCTGGACGCCAGATTCGGCAACTTGTCCCTGTGCCCCGTAGCTCAGGTAGGACAGTGGTACTACAGGACCTGTTCTGTGCTGCTAGCACTACAGCAATGTACAAGTACTGGGTGCTTTGACAGTAGAGAGGCGCCTTGATGGTGGCACGAGAACAGGCACAGAGGCGTCGGACAACATTTCGCTTGTGCCAATTAATTACTAAATCACACAAGGTTCGGCGCAGGAAAAATTGGGTATAGCACGCAGCCCCTTCTGGAAGCGCCGCCAGCGAGTCCCATGCTGAGGCCCATGCGGTGGCTGTTGTTGGTACCTGAGCATGTACCGGCGGAGCGAGCGACGTGCTCTTCTCTGCTGGAATACAAGTATACTGAGTTATATGTGCAGATGATATTTAATTGAAGATTTAAGAGAAAGACGCAGTGTATAGAGACCGGGAGCAGAAGGCATACAGAAACAGCTTGGATAGAGTAAACCAGAACTTTGACTTTGACTTTGCTGCCAGAGTGACAGATACGCGTGTTTTTGCGCAGCTCGTGCCTTGCGTTAGCGGCGCAAGGTGCCTGGGCTAGGCTGGTTTGAGGCACTTTTTCCCCTGAGCTGGGCTCGCTAAAGCACTTGTGGCTACGGAGGACGCCGGCTCCTTATTGCTCCCTCCCTAGGCTCTTTTGAGATTCCAGAAAAAATGAGGGGTTCGATGCGTGAATGCGGAATGAAGTTGCGTCAACACGAGCAAAAGTGCAGAGGAGCGCCAAGACAATGCAGCAAACAATATCTGCAATTTGGCGTTAGTACTCCATTTTGCTTCTACTAATTATTCCACTGTCGACTTACTCTGCTAGGGTCCTATGACATCAAGTAGCAGCACGGGTAGCCCCGTCGGCATCGACATGAGCGGAAATCTTTAGTGCCATGCGTGTCAGATATATCCCCTTTTTTCCGATGGTAAGAAAGAAGAAAAAAACACCAAGCTTTGTTTGAGCGGGTTTCTGCTACAGAAATGCATCTTTTTGGCAGCTGTCAGACCAGGTCGATGGGTACCTAATTATGTAATTGCGCGGGAGAGCAAAGAAGGAATGGAAAGCACCGACCACGCCTTATTTCGCCTTTGTCTGTAGTACAGAGTTGTGGCTAGCATGTTGTAGTATAGTGTTATTTAACATGCCGCCAAGGAAGCCGCAGCATGTTCTGGACCCGACAACTCGCATGTGCCAAGTGAGCATATTTGAGTGTGCCTTGGCTTTAATTCTTGGAAGCGGGGGGGCTGTTTGTCTATCTGAGGGCTGAAGGTGGCTTTTCTTTTCCATTGAGTTTGACGTGAAGCGATTGAGGCAAAGGATGAAACAGCACATGCTAGGATTGTTAATGAAAACATGTTGAGAGACGAGATAGTAATTACAATGGAAGCGTGGGTGTATGACACAGATAGATTATGTGCGCAACAACTGTGCCTATATTGAATGCAATGTGTAAATTAATACGGTGCACTACAGCAGAACTCTTCGTCACATTATAGGCTAATCAGTTCGACATCTGACATGTTCAGCACAGATCTCTCGATGCATCTCTTTGGGCAGCGATTCACCCTCGTCCATGGAGCAGAGGCTACCGAAGAGTATGGATCGACCGAAGAGTATGGGTCGGAGAGAAAAAAAAGGAATTCGCCTGAACGCTTCTTCTACGGACTTTGCTGGATGCTTGGAATGCAACGAGAGCTCCAGAGCTTGAAGAAAGATAGAGCCTCATTGGGGATGTCCGCAGAGACGAATAGCAGAGGAGACGAGAAATCAGGGGATCTCTCCACCAGCGACGCAGGGTAGGGATGAATGCCGCATGGCCGTGGAGCATGGCACGACATGGCAGCAACGTTCTGTTTTGTACGGGCATTCCGATTGCGCAGGTTACGAGATGGTGCAAAGAGATGGACAGGATTTCCTAAGCCTACTTTTTCATGGATGCAATATCAAGCCCATGATACTAGGTATTCTACCAGTATTATACCCCGTATTGATCTATCACAGAAAATGACAGGCCGGGCACATGTAGTATTGATGCCACTTGCAGCAGTATTTTGGCACTTGTCGGTAAGATGACGTCGCCCTGGAGTGGCTGAGCCGAGATTCAGCTGGCAACTTTTGATTGCTCGTGTTGTTGTTATGCGCCTTCTATCCTACATTGGTATAGCCGATGGGAGTCATCAACAGGGAAAGCTAGGGCGGGTTTTGGGGTAATCACTGGAGAGAGAAGAAAAAATACAAGCAAGAATAACAAGACGAGGCAGAGACAGTTGGTATGTGAAAATGAAAGTAACTGCCCTAAAATTATTGCTGGGTTAGCCTTTCACACGAGTGCCCCTATGTGCAGTTGTAAGTGTAGAGCTCTACGTAAAAGGTCGGTCACTACTGGTAGTCTCTCCATGGAGAGGAATAGGTTAACTATTCCATATCTATTTCTTCGCGTGTTTCGTGTTCACTCTCTACAACAGCCAATCATGCTAGTGAGTGACAGGTGTCATAGAGTATCGTATATGGAACAACCCGTATTCTGCCCTTGCTGGTTTTACAAAGGTGGAGAGCTCTAAAGCCATGACAGTGGCTGATGCCGGGTTAGTGTGCGGTAGCACGTCGTTTGGCACCGCCACGCCCTCAACATGAACTCAGCCGTTGACCGTACCGTACAGTAGGCAGGCAGTGCTGGCAGCGCATCTGCAGAGAGCACGGCGAAGAGATGCACTGCGTATTGCGGTTCGCGTATGCTTCGTAACTACCTACGCTGTATCTGTGTGATAGCTAGACGAGTGATGGACTCTTGTGTGAACTGCCCGTTGTGCATCTATATCCCGAGTCAAGCTCATGGCAGGCTTCTCCTCATGACAACTTCATGAGGTGAGATGAGAGTCTTGACAGCTCATACTGTCTTGTATTGACACTGCAGGTACAAAAGAGCAACCTCGTATCCTCCAACCATAGAGGAATCGAATCTTTTGCTGCTTCATCGGGATCCTTCCAGCCTCACCAACAGGGGGGGGGGGACCGTCCTGCTCCAGCCACTGACATACAGCATCAAGGGAGAAAGAAGCCTCCTCTCTTCACTCTCTAGTCCTCTCTCACTCTTCTCACCTGAACTAACGGGCGCTGGCGTGGGCACTGCCGCCAACGCCGTGCATGCAGATGCTGCGGCAAGACGACAGACGCACCAGTCATGCCCTGCTCTTTCATTCTTCAGCAGAGATATGACCTGTGGCGGGCATGCAGGCTAGACTCGGCCAAAGCCCATGGCTGACAAAAATCAGCTTGCAACGCTGCCGGGCTTACCAGCCACTTGCTCCATCTGCCTGTCAGCATGTCGCCACCCAATGAGCTAAGACTTTATTCATCGAGGTGGAACTGGCGTCTTCTCTCTGTTTTCTCATCCTTAAAAGAGGCGCAGTTGTCTTGTGGCAGTTGTGGCAGTTTGTTGTGATAGAGCTGAAACCTTCAATTCTATGGGAGTGACAAGAATGAGTATCTTTCGATATATGGTCCCACGAGTGATTGCAGTAAGTAGCTACAGTTATCTTGAATTTTGATAACCTAGGCTTACTGACTGTTCCGATTGGAAGCTCGGAGAAGTACAGCGCATCAGAGGAGACAGCAGAGATATCCTGGTCCACGGAGCAGGCTGCTACAGTAGTTGTAGATACAAACCTGGCCGTTAATAGCCTACCTCCCCCCGTATCAAGCCCCCCCGATACCCTTTGCAGAACGGAACTCACTCCGCGAAGGAATAGAATACGCAGTACAAGTCAGGTAGGTAGGTAGGTAATGACAACATCATCAACATGTAACCGCCTCGCGATACCCAGGAGGTGGCGCCCGTCTTAGCAGCAGCACCATTAACGGTGAGTGATAAGCCCAGTCAAGACAAGATCGTCTCCAGTACCCAAGGCTCTGGGCCAGCAGCGCGCAAGGCCGAGGTATCCAGGACTCGCGTGGTCACGGCACCTGCGGATCAAGGTGCGCGCTAAGCTTGCCGTGATTATTTCCTGGTCGGCAGCCCAGTTGGAGATATCCGGCGTGGGAGTGGCTTGGTCGTTTGGCTTGGTCTCCGTAGAAGACATGGGAGCGCACTAGGCTTGGCATTACTACTGCTCCACTCTGTCAACAACGCTATGATGCTATGATATGTACCTACCTATGCGATCCTCAGAAGGAGAGAAGAAGAAAAAAAAAAGAAAAAAAAAAAAAACGGCACAACACAAGTGTAAGTAAAAAGCCAGCATGCCATGTGCAAAGCTACCCAGGTAGCCAGCCACCTTATTTTGGCTTGCTGGAACCGAAACAGTATCTAACCCACGTCATTCTACTCAAAATCTTCTAAATTGGTAGCAATTGTTAGGCACTTGAAAATGGATGGAAGAGAAAAGAAGACGACGTGACTTTATAATAGCGCCAGATCCTCCCATGATTCAAGTTTCGAGGCATGTCATCCCCCGGCTGGTGCTGCGCTGCCGCAGAAAGACGCGGCGTCCAATAGCAGCTGTGTGGCGCAGGCAGCCCACTGTCCGCCTTTTATTGTCCACCGTCCTGCCTCCCTGGCCCGGCTCCAGCACCGCGTACTGCGCTAAAGCTGGGCTCGGCCGCACTTCGACTTTCTCCCATCCCCAGCCTGTTTTCCAGCCCCAATACATCACCATCCATCTCCATCACCTTCATCATCAACCACCACCGCTTCCCATCGCCAACGCCTGCCAATCCCGGGACCTCGCAGAGCACCCGCTTGCCCCATGCAATTCACCCGCGTAGCCTCGGAATAGTCAGCGTCACCGCGCGGCAAGGCTGCCGAACCAACGATCCAGAGGAGCAGAAAATTACCCTACTCTAGCTCTCGCCACAATAATTCAGCCACACCTCGAGCAGCCTCGAAATGGTGTCGCTGGTTTAGCCTGCCTCGACCTTTTGCGACTGCATGCCAACCGTCTCCCAGGACTCGCCGTCGCCTTCATCGCCTTCCCCATTGCATCTTCTTATGGCCTCTCACGCTGCTGCCATCGCAACCGGAACCCCACTCCCGTCTGGCCTGACTCCAACCCCTCCCCCAGCTCTCCCTTTGGACGACGTCGCGAGACAGCCCAAGAGGCGGCGCGAATCTGATTCCTCATCGTCGCGAGCCTTTGCTTCCACCCAGCTCGATCCTCAATCGCCTCCATCGAAGTCGGCCAAGCTGCTGCTGGCAACTGGCCAAGCCCCGCCTTTGGAAGACGAGCGACGGCCCAGAGAAGAAGAAACAGGCGGAGAGGTTGAACAAGAGCATCTACACGCGACCGACGAGAGTCCCAGTCAGCGTGATCTAGCTGCTCTCATGTCTGCGGGGACCCAAGCCATGAGCCGTCCGGCAGACGCGCCGCAGCTGGCTCCCACGGCCGCCATGGAGCCATCCTCCAAGGTCGCTACGGCTGCCTTGTCCATATCACAAAACGGCGGCGGCGATCGTATCGAAGAACGAAGCGAGATGACTCCCCAGAGCCCATCAAGCATCGCCGGCGCGCAGGTAACCGAAAGCCCAACAGCGATGGATGTCGATGCGAAAGGCGAATCCCTCGTCTCTCAACAGGTTGCCGTACAAGACGAACGACCACAGCCTGGATCATTGTCCTATCCCGGTTCCCTACAAACAAGCGGCAGCATTCCGGATTCGCCAATCCGGGGCATGAGCTTTCCAATGCCTGCCCCAAGCCAGGGCTCTCCTCCATCCTCAGCGAGCAAGAAGCACAAGTGCCCATACTGCAACACCGAGTTTACTCGGCACCACAACCTCAAGAGCCATCTCCTGACGCACAGCCAGGAAAAGCCCTATGTGTGTACAGACTGCCAGATGCGCTTCCGCCGTCTTCACGATCTAAAACGCCATGGCAAGCTTCACACGGGTGAAAAGCCCCACGTGTGCCCCAAGTGCGATCGCAAATTTGCTCGAGGTGATGCCTTGGCTCGACACAGCAAAGGATTGGGCGGGTGCGCCGGCAGGCGGTCCAGCATGGGTAGCTTCGCCGATGGAGATGAGCTGGACGGCGCCATGGAAGGAGACGAGGCTGCCGTCATGACGGGCATTGCCTACGATAATCCCGACGAAGAGGAATTGAGGCGACAAAGCTTGCCCAGCCTCAGTGCGCAACATATCCCAGGACCAGCAGAACAATATGGAAGTCACTCCCGGACGTACCCCCCCGCCGGAGCGAGGTCTGCGACAGCTGCTGCCGGCTTATATCCCCCTGGTGTCGGCCAGAACCCAGCTGCGGGGACTAGCAGTACAAGTGTCTCTAATAGTATTGGAGGCAGTCACACGCCAAATACTAGCATTTCTTCGTCCGTTGCGGTCAGCGCTGCAAATGCAGGTCTTTATCCACAGGCTATTGTGCCGGACGGTGGAAAGCCGTTGAATTCCGATGGAGGGCCATCTCACGATGCTTCCGGTATCGCGAGACAGCGATCGCCCAGTCTATCCCATCAATTACAGCAGCAACAGCAGATGGGGAGACGACAGTCAGAAATGCAGTCTCCTCACAGCGGACAGAATAGACCAAAGCTTCCTGGATTGACACATCCAGGATATGCCACGGCAAGTTCCCCGGGCTTCTCTCACGGCGGCCGTCCGCCAACCGCGACGGCGTCGACCGGCGACAGTGGCAACATGTTTGCGCAGAGCGACCCGAGCGTGTGGGCCTACATCCAGACTTTGGAGGAAAAAGTCAAATCACTGTCGGACAAGGTATTATCGCTCGATCACGAGATGACTACGCTGAAAAGCAAGCTTGAAAATCGTGAAGGAGTTCCCGCTGGCTGAGAAAAAGCCAGCATGATGTGATACGACCCGCCTCATCATACAGCGCCACGGTGTTCTAAGAGGGTGGGGAGCAGGGCTAAACAATCTACATTTAGAATGCATTCGCCTTTTGGGGTTCAATTTCTCTATCTATTTCATACTGTTGGCAACTCATGTTGGTCTCCCGGACTGGCACAGAATCCTACAAGGGGGTGGGAAATGGCGTTCAGGTTTTTGGGAATCTGGGTGGATGGTGGAAACCTCCATGCAAAAAAGATGGCGACCGGTTATTTACGATTTGGTTTATGTTTTCCCTCTCTCTATTGTCCCCATGTTGTAGTAGTATACAGAATTTGTGTGATTATCAGACGTGCGATCCTGCTGTGCGGCATTCGGAAAGGCTTTCTCTCGTTTTTTTTTTCTTCCCCTCTATTTTAGAGTATGGTAGGAATGGACTGATGATTTACTCTTATGAATTCTTGAGTTCTGGATCTGTCAGAGTTAAGCAGGAAGAGTCCCCTGTCTGTAGGCTTCGAGATGTCAAATCTAACGCAGTACCTAATGCAGGACCTCTGTACAGCAGCTGTTCACGAGCAGACGGGACAATGGGCTCCAATAAGACAGCCGAACTGAACCGAGGCTGATGCCGACTTTCTCAGCTCCGTGTGAGGCGCAGGCGTGCTGGTCGGTACGTTCCGCGCTCCATTCGTACCTTTTGCTCCTACCTACGCGCCCCAGGGGTGTTTCTGGACAGAGGTCTGTAAGGGATTACTCCTCTAGTAAGTGCCCTAGAAGCCTTTTAAAGGCACTAAAAGACTTTGAAGCCTTATAAAGGCCCTGAAAGATTTCCTAAGCCCTTTCAGAGGAGTTACCTCTTGCAGAAGCTCTGTCCAGAAACACCTCTGGGGCGCGTAGGTACTAGGCAAGCTGCGGGGCTATGCATATATCGGGGACTCTGACAAGAGTACTCCGTATCATGGCTATTTCTTACACTGTGGTTGTCAGGTTCACTGCTCTGATGGCCGCCATAGGCTCTCCAGCAGGTACCTCCCGGGCCTCTCTAGCGCGGAGTGTCACGTCACTGTCCAGGGGCAGCAGCGCCTGCAGCTCGGCGCTCCGATGAGGTAATGGACGCAGCTTGGAGAGCCTGTTTCAAGGTGCCTGGAGTGTGGCGCCGCGCCAGACACAGAGAGGCTGCTATCGCAACTTATTCTGGCGGCTGCGCACCTGATATCTGCAATATATGTAGAATCAACCACCACAGTAGACCATATATTCGCGAGTGACTTCGCATTTTCACATCTCTTTCCGGATCACTCAACGCCACTGCGCACCGCTGCTCGAACGCATCAACCGAAAGACGAACCACAAGCACGTGCTACCTACTACCTACGACAAGTATCCCAAGCTCTTTATGGTGGAGGCCTACTAGCGGCATAGTCCACGAGGCCGCTTGACTGCATCTCAACCATGGCTACGGCTGAGAAGGCGATGCGGAATGGCGAGGGCCGTTCGACACACCCCAACGGCGCCGTCACGGTGAACGGAGACCACGGCCACGACGCCGATCGGCCATATCCCGTCTTGCCGGACAATGGACATACCCAAGGCCATGAGTCTGGCGCTTGGAAGGCTGCGGGCATCCGCTTTGCGCCGCTGCGCATGCCCTTCCCTCGCCGTCTGCAGACTGCCGCCGTCTTCTTCCACTGCATGACTCTCGTCACCTTGATCTCGCTGTTCTGGTTCACCTGCGCCAACGTTCTGACGTGGCCCATCTTGGTGCCGTATCTGGTGCATCTGACCATGTCCTCCGCGGCGACCAATGGCAAGCTCAGCTATCGATCCGAATACCTGAGATCTCTGCCCCTCTGGAGATTCTTTGCGGCGTATTTTCCCATGAGGCTACACAAAACGCACGACCTTCCGCCTGATCGGAGGTACATATTTAGCTATCATCCACATGGCATCATCTCCCACGGCGCCTGGACAGCTTTCAGCACAAACGCCCTAGGCTTCTCGGCAAAGTTTCCCGGCATCACAAATACCCTGTTGACGCTCGAGTCAAATTTCCGAATTCCCTTTTACCGCGACTGGATCTTAGCAATGGGCATGGCTTCGGTGTCTAAGGAGTCCATCCGCAATACGCTGACACGAGGCGGGCCCAGAAACGACGGGACAGGCCGTGCCGTCACAATCGTCGTTGGTGGAGCTCGTGAATCCTTGACGGCGCAGCCAGGAACCTTGAGGCTCATCCTAAAGGGCAGAAAGGGCTTCGTGAAGATGGCTCTGCGCACGGGAGCCGACCTGGTTCCCGTCCTTTCCTTTGGCGAAAACGACTTATACGACCAGCTGACCGCGGAAACGCATCCCATGGTCCACAAGTTCCAGATGTTCGTGCTGAAAGTGTTCAAGTTTACGCTCCCGGCAATTCATGGCAGGGGCATTCTCAACTACGACGTCGGCCTCATGCCTTACCGTCGCGAAGTCAACATTGTAGTGGGCAAGCCGATTCGCATCGACTCGCCCCCTTGTGAGCAACCGTCACAAGAGGACGTGGACCGGTACCACGAGCTGTATGTCGAAGAGATTGAGAAGATTTGGGAGACTTACAAGGACCAGTTTGCCAAAGGCCGAACGTCTGAGCTTGTTATTGACGCTTAAAGCTTGACTGGGGTGTTAGAGATGTCCTCGGCTTCTCTCCGTCTTCTCTTTGTTTCTTTTAGCTTTTCTTTCTTCCTTTCTACTCTTGTTTTTTCGTGTATTAATTTTGATATAACATAGGGATATGAGTTATTAAACTCAGGGTAATTCGGAAAGGATGGGCAAAATCATTTCAAGTAGGGTACATAGCCTTAATCGCTGGAGTCGTCGATTACGGATGTCAGAGTAAGAGCGCTGCAAGCAAGCATGTTACGGGTCAATAGATTGTAGAACTGAAGAACTTTTGAATATGACGATTTGGAATTATCGTCGGTTCTGACTCTGGTATTACCAATTTGATTTAATCTCATGCCTTTTAGCAACAGCTCTTATAAGCTTTGGTTGCTCTTTGCCCTCTTCATTTAGCTGTTGCGATTGATGTAGCTTTAAGATTGTCACCTGACCTCGCGTCTAAGTCCTGACGCGGTTGTCCCTTTCGCCACCGTGAAGACGTGCACGGCAGCTCACCTTTACTAGTTTCTTCCAACTCAATTCTAAAAGTCTCCCAATTATTTTTGCTTTTTTTTTTTTTTTTTGCTTCTTCTTGTTCCTCGTGACTTTCCTTTTGTGCATATACTTCCAAATTTCATCTCTCAACAACACAGCACACCGTCCGAATGCCCCGCCCTACCAGAGGTAGCCAAAAGGCTACTATCAAGCGCGAAGAAGACGACATCGACGAAGTGAAAGCTTCCAAGCCAAGAGATTCTGCCGCCGCGACAAAGCGAAAAGCAGCTTCCGAGCCCGATGTCGATGTCGATTCTAAGACTCAAGGTACCAAAGCTGTAAAGAAGCGCAAGGGAAAAGGAAAAGGCGACGAAGAAGCAATGATTTTGGCGGAGAGGACTGCTGTATCGGGTCTGGGCAAGGCCATGTATATTGGCGCTCATGTCAGTGCTGCAGGAGGTATTTCGACGCTTATGAGCTTTCAAAAGCTATAACAGCAATATTGAGTGCTAATGTTGAAATTTGTTTCCAATAGGCGTCCAGAATGCCGTCACAAATGCCGTCCAAATCGGCGCCAACTCCTTCGCCCTGTTCCTTAAATCCCAGCGCAAATGGAGCAACCCTCCCATCACAGCAGAAGCGAAAAATGGCTTCATAAGCCAGTGCAAAGAGCACCACTATCACGCCAATGAACATGCTCTCCCCCACGGCTCATATCTTGTCAATCTCGCGCAGGCGGACGAGGACAAGGCTAAACAGGCATACGACAGCTTTGTCGATGACCTCGACCGATGTGAGCAGCTGGGCATCAAACTCTACAATTTCCATCCCGGATCTACCGGAGGCGATACAAAGGCCGCCGCGATCAAGCGCATAGCGACACAGCTAAACAAGGCTCACAAGGCTACAAAGACCGTCATCACTGTTCTGGAAAACATGGCGGGCAGTGGCAATGTTGTGGGATCAACCTGGGAGGATTTGAGAGACATCATCGCTCTGGTGGAGGACAAGTCTCGCGTGGGAGTGTGCATCGATACCTGCCATGCTTTCGCAGCCGGCTACGATTTGCGGACACCCGAGGCTTTCAAAAAGACTGTCGACTCTTTTAATGAAATTGTGGGCGCAAAGTACTTGAAGGCATTTCACTGTGAGTTGCTGCCTGTTTCCCCTCCCCGTGCGTATTTTCTTGCACAAGTACTAATTACCGAATATCCAGTAAACGACAGCAAAGCACCCTTCAATTCTAACAGAGACCTCCATGCCAATATTGGAACCGGGTTTCTAGGCCTTCGAACCTTCCACAGCCTCATGAACCACGAAGAGTTCCAGGACAAACCCATGGTTTTGGAGACACCCATTGACAAAAAAGGAGCAGATGGCAAATCAGTAGAGGACAAGCAAATCTGGGCCGACGAGATCAAACTTCTAGAGAGTCTCATTGACATGGACCCAGAGACGGAAGATTTTAGAAAACTAGAAAAGGATTTGCAAGCCAAGGGCAGTGACGAGAGGAAGAAGATTCAAGATCAGGTAGATAAGAAGTCCAAGAGTGCCCCGAAAAAGGGCAAGGCTACGCCCAAGAAGAAGAAAGAGGCGACAAGTGACGAGGAGAGCGATTAGGAGAGGTAAATCCAAAAGCTTAATGTTAAGATACCTAGTGTTGACTAAAATACGGCCTTGTTCGATTAGGAGACGGTTGTCATAGATATTTGAAAGCGGCTCTCATATGTATAACATGTCGAAATGATGAAAATAAACTGCAGACGCGTTATACAATCTATAGTTGAAGATTGACTCTATAAACAAAAGCGACGCCCCTACTCTTTCCATCTTCAAGAAATGCTGCAAGTCTTTATACATCTTGGTCCAAATTAACTTGCACTGGTTCAAAGCTGTTACCAATTTAAGTAGCTGTGCACCTGAAAACCCCCGCCATCATCCATGTCTCTTTAGTGCACATGCCTAGGCGCTTTTCAACAACCGCATAACAGCAACATCTACATTTTGAAACGAGCAAAAATGAACATAAAAAATGCAAAAATGAAACATACAACAGCCGGTGTTCGCTGATGGTCACCCACTCAACTACTAATCTGCCGGTTAGTGGCTTATCTATGGGGGAGCAGACGGGACCCCGAGTTCTCCACTACCTATGGTCGTATGTACCGGACCGTTCAACTATTTCCTTTATAACAGTAGAGACGCCAATCAACTTACAGCATTGCTTGACTACAACTTAGTACTCAGTACTAGTAGTTGCTTCACAGAGGTCAAAGATGAGGAGTGCTTAATTTTTCCTTGCGAGCATCTGTCGCTGTAGCTTAGTTGTCCTTTAGGTAAAAGAAGATATTCTATATAAAATGCATTCAACAACAAGACCGCCCAATCTGGCTGTCGCTCTTGCATGGTAGGAATGACCTCAGACTCTGCATAAACAAGCGCGAGATTCATGTTCTCTTTCATGTATGTGCGGTCGTTGAGCAGATTACTTAAAACTGGTCTGCTCAGTGGAATCCGCTTTCATAGACTATGCTTCTCTGAATCGAGTATTTAGCCTTTCTTTTACTTGATATCTTGTCATCGGTCGTATGCATGCTCCGTGATATGGTTGGCATTTTCTTGAGCACCGATTGAATAACGCGAGCGACGGCATCGTTCGAGGCGTTCTTATCGAACGGCGAGCTGGAATTCGTTGTAATGGCGTAGCCCTGTCGTTGCTGACTGATTGACTTCTGCCTGCGAGCTATGGTCGAGTAGCCGCGTACCTGCTGGGCGCTCTGAAGTTTCCAAAACTTGGCTTGCAGCCTATGCAACACGGCCAAGCTGAGAACCAATGTTGGAATTCCCTATTCCAGCATGTCCATGAGAGACAAAGTCCTGAAAGATGGAAACCAGAGCATTCGAGTTGAATTCGCATCCGTAGTAGAAGAAGACGCTACCATTGCTGTTGAAGCTGCCATCAGACTTCTCAAAGAACCAAGTCAGATTCTCATCTGCTTCAGGTACTATCCAATATAGAGAAGGGTGGTCCTTTCTTATAGCCGAAAAGACGTTCTCAACAACATTACTAAGCCATCCGGACTTGGTAATATTAAGGGTAGCTAGTGTAGCTATAGGCCTGTTTGCAGAAGGCGGAAGGACGATTGCAAGACATGACATACCATCGTCATAGTAAGCCGTAAAGGGGTTCTCTGCAAGAAGCTCAATAAAGCGATCAACTGTAGCCTTAGTATTGGGATCTTTATAGTCTCCAAGAAGCGTCTCTTTAATTTTGTCAATATCTTGAAATCCAGCTAGTGAGGATACCTTTTGAATCTTGTCTCCACGACGAATCAAGGTACCAGCCCCAGAGTTAGTAAACAGCTCTTTTAAAAGATCACTAGGGTGAATAATAGTGACACTAGAGCTTTGTGGAAGAGTATCAAGGAGTTCTTTACTCTCCTTAATCTTCAGACGAGTTCCATATCTACACCATGGCTGAGACATAAGATCGTCGTACTCCTCATCAAGGTTAATCTGGGATATTTTGCTGCCATTACCATCAAATAAACCCCCCTTTTCAGACAGGTATACTACCTTGAGGGGTTCAAGGGCGCGAGCGAGTTCAGCAGCAGCAACATCTGCGTTAACGTTTAGAAGTCTCCCATCCTCGGACTCCGCTAAGGATGTCATTATAGGTAAATAGCCGGCTTTAAGGGCATGTGCTGTTGAAATGTTAGTGCATGGTAATAGAGCATATTTGGGTGGGGGGGCTCAACTGATTGGGGCGGAATTGACTTTTGTGATCTTGCCAACATAACCCCATTTCTCCTCATCAAGGTAATCAGCCATAAAGACACCGCTGAGGGACCTAGTGGCAACACCAAGCTGGTCAAGTTTATCTGTAAGCTTGAGGTTCTCCTCAAGAAACAGCTTCCGGGCAACACCAAGGGTCTTGGCGTCGGTGATCCGTATGCCTTCTGAGAATTGGGGCTCGACGCCAGCCTCCTCGAGCAAGCGGTTTAGCTGCGGCCCGGCACCATGTACCAGGACCGGAGTGAGTCCAAGCTCAAGCAGGAATTTTAACGATCGGCAAAGATCTTCAAGATTCTCTTGGATGATAGCACCGCCTACTTTCAGCACACAGAACGTCTGGGCAGAACTGAAAAGCTTGAGCCATTGCTGGGACTCCCTTTTCTGGCAAGTGTTAGTGGTCGATATTATGGCGCGGCCATAGGAATCGGCGGAGCCCATGACTCTTTTCAAGGAGAGAAGCAATTGGAGAGAGAACCTACAGATCCAATAGACCGCAAAGCCTGGCTCACAATTTCCCTAGTGACATTCCCGGAAGAAGACGAGTATCGAATGGTCGTAGTGTTGGACAACTTATTGAGGTTGCGATTGAGGAGGATTTGGGACGTCTTGGGCACGGCACTTGAGACTGGCTTGGCTCGTAGTGCCAGCCTACGCCACGAGGCAGAGAGCATGGTTTGGGGGGCTGCTTGAACCCAATTGACTCGGTGGTGGGCGCAGTGGTCGTCGAGATGGATATTGAAGGATTGAAGAGGCTTATATTTCCGATCGGCGACGGTGATTGCCTTGGTAGATAGCTAGAGTGATTGATACTGGTGATGGTAGTGGTGGGGTTCGTAACGTGTCCCAGCACATGACTGGAGAGAGACTAAGCTGGTGTTGACTCAAATCAATACCTAGCTTAGGTACGGAGTACTACTTGCTGGCAGCACCGATGCCGGAACTCTGGCACCACACAGCGCGTGCACGTTCTATGGGTATGAAAACGGTAGCGCTATCTATGTTTCAACCTTAAGCCTAGGATGAAACGGTTATGACCATTCTAACGCGCGGTTGATTAACTGCCAACAACGGAATCCTCTATCTCCAGCTTTGGAGTCTTGGGATGCAAAAAATGCAAGACATCGCACTCAAGAGAAGTGCTTGACAGGATCTCGAGCTTTCCACTCCCTATGACCAAGTGTGCTAGAGTTCCCGACTAATCTGCTTCTAACAGAGCATACACAAGTCAACTTACAGCATTGATGGCATACATGTTGATATTACTTAGCATAGGTAGTCCTATTGTAACAGAGATTAAGTATAAAGAGTGCTCAACTTTTTCCTGCGAGAATCTGTCGCCATAATTTGGCTGTCCTTTATGCAAAGGAACACGTTCTATATAAAGGAAGACGTTCCATTAATTATACGTATCACACGCTTGCATACATTTTTGCCGGGTATAACATCTATACATAAGTCATAAACAAAAGTTAAAATGAACAGAGAATATGAAAAGAGTCGATGAACCAAGGGGAAAAAAAGCAAAGGTTTCTTTTCACTTGCGACTCTTCGTAAAGGCCTCAACTCTGCCCATCGCAGCCTTTAGTCCCGCCCCCTTTTCGCAATTTATCTGCAGCCACGCCTCCATTCGCTCGCGTACAATCCTCATCGACCGCAGCACAGGCATTTTGCCGCCATCCTCATGATCCAAAAACGACGACGGATTGAGCAGCACCTCGAAGCAGTCTGACCAAATATCTGTCTGCCAGTACCGCTTCAGGCTCTCCCTGATCTTGTGCTTGGGCCCGCCTCGTCCTAGCCCCCCTTGGTCGGACCGCACCGTCTCAATGTATTTGCCGAAGAGAAGGCAATGAATGACGCCTGCGAGCCCGTGGTAGTCAATCTGCCACGTCCAGGGCCGGCCTTCCCGCATTTCAGGGCAGTCCTGTACGGTTGTTTTCCAATCTGCGATGAATTCCACGTCTGGCACAAACGCCTTCATGTCAATGCCCCTCCCAAAGTCAATGAGAACCACGCCGCGCGAGTCCCAGCCGCCGCGTCCATCGGCGTACCATTGACTGGAGAGAGCCTGCTCAAGGGACATGGAAGACGACCTGGGGTCAAGACGGAGGAGGCAGTTATCGGGCTTCAGATCGCCATGAAGCACGTCTTTCGAGTGAAGGGCTTCGACGGTGCGCAGTAGTTCAATCGAAAAGAACATGGCAAGCTGCTCATCCATAACCCCTGAAGGCTCCGCCCGAAAGAAGTTGATTACATCTAGCAAGGTGCCGTGGGGATGATACGGGAGAAACAGGAAGCCCTCGTCCTGATACAGGTGCATTTCGTGTGCTGACGAGATTGATGCCGTTGCCCGATGCTGGGGACCTAACCGTGAATGGGCGGTGCGCATGATGTAAAACTCCCATGGAGTTGGAGGAGATTCCATCTTCAAGGCTTCTATGGCGGCGCGATGGTTAATGGCGAATGCCCCCTTGCCCATAAAGACCCCATCTCCATTGCCTTCCTCTTGGTCCGGCCGTGAATTTTCCACCAAGTATACGGGTGCAAAAGCGCCCGCGCCGAGTTCTTTCCTCACAGTGTATCTGGAATTGCAGTCTGCGAACTGGATAACTACTGGAGGATTACCCAGCATGACTTTATCTGTACCCGTCTTCCCAAGTCTGCTTGCGGTTTTGGCGAATCTGCGAATCTCTCCGCCACGTTCGTACTTTTGGCTGTGATGATCGTAGAAGCCAGGGTATGCTGCCAACGGAGGATGTTGGTTTGTCAAGATCTTCAGTCTGATATTGCCATCAACAGGGCTGCATTGTGCCTCCTTGACGATG